GAAATCACATACGATAAACATCCCAATCTTTCACTTGAGAAATAAAGAGATTTTAACATTTATATAAAGAAGGGTCGTAATAAATCCCTCGCGCCTGTATAATGTATATTAGTTGCAATCATTTTCCCTGTTCTTCTGTTTGACAATTTGGATTAAACAAACCAAGTCTGCACGTATTTTTATTCACTTGTTTATCTTATTAGATCTATTTCTCCTACCACGTTGGAGAACGACTATTAACCATATTTCTAAATTAACACACACACACAAAATAAATATTGTTTGTCCTTCCCACCATTGAGCGTCCACTCTCATTTCTTGCTCGTCTTTTCATCAGTGGAAATATGTAATTATATAATAACTCTGGTGTGTTGGCATCCAAAGTTGAGATGGCCGAGTTGGTCTAAGGCGCCAGATTAAGGTTCTGGTCCGAAAGGGCGTGGGTTCAAATCCCACTCTCAACAACATATTCTTTGGATTAATATTATTTTTGGTTTTTTTCCCCCTTTATTCCCCCACCGAACACCTTTTTAAGGAGTTTTATCGGGGTCAGATTAAGGTTCCGTTCGAATAAGTAGCTCTTTTGTTTGATTGTGACGAAGCAGGGAAAAAAAAAAAAAAAAAACACTTTATCGAGTTTGATTTTGACAGAACATACAAGTTGTGAAGAATAGGAGCATATTTATAATTGCCTCCGATTAATAAAATAAATGAGTAACGACATCAAATACAGATGAAGACATTTTCTCGATCACTCGATGGGATTAAAATGCTGGAGTCCCCATCAACTTCAACTATAAAACTGCTAATAAATAAATAATCGATGGCCTTATCCATTCAATTTCCTGCGTGTTTTCAATTTTTTTCTGATTCATTAATTTAATTTTGTGCCCAATAAATTCCTGTACAGAATTACACTTACATGGAGTGCAGAGAAAGAAGAAGAAGAAATCTCATAACCCTTGCGAAGAGGAATTGTAATTGAAGCCAAATAGTAGAGCCCTTAGGGGGAAAAAAAAAAAAAGGAATTTGCAGATCCTTTGATTAATTATTAAAGGAAAATGTTGGAAGGCTGTGAGTTTGTTTTTAATTGGGGTTGTTTTTCGGGCTGGAGAAGAAGAAAGAAGTAATATGATGTGGGGTGAATAGGTGAATGTTTTTACATTTGAGTAGATTTGTAAAGTTAATTGCAACTCAAAGGGATGTTTAGTTGCTTGAAAAGTTAGGGAAAGTAAAATTAACATTCGTGGGATTTTAATTTTGAAGAACATTAATACTTTATTTTACTTTTTAATTCTTGTGAATATGATTATGAAGAATATAAATATTTTCTTCTGTTTCGTTATATGTTGGAAAATATACTTGAATGTGAAAAAAAAGAAAAGCCTATAAGCCCCCAAAATATTTTTTATGAAATTCGATTCAAAATCTTGAGAAAACATGCTCAAGTCTAACTACACGAACAAGAATTTATTCAAGTCATCTCCTAGTACGTTGACTACATGTATACCTATGTGTTTGTATATTTAAATTTTTAATCCGTCAAAGATGATTTAATTTTGAGTTAGATTAATCAAATTCAAATTTTATTATGTAATAGACATGAGTTTTTGAGTGTCAAATTTATTTACAATCACTATGTTATTATCACAAGTTAAAACTACTTTATAACTACCATAGTATTTTTCAAAAAATATTTCTACAATATTTTGATATACCCTTAAAGATGTATTTAAAAAATCTTTTTCTCATTTTTACTCCTAATATAATCCAAATCCTATCTTTTAATTTTATGTTGAATTTTTTTTCGAACGATTTACTTTTTTACTTTTGTATTATTGGTTATTGGTAAATTAAAAATTCATTTTTTATTGATTAAAAAATTATTGTGATAAAGTGTATAGTTTTTATGTGGCCAAATCAAATATTTTGTCAATAATGTAAAACGATCATTAATCAAATTGTAAAAAATTTTAAAAATATATATAAATAAATTAGATTAAGAAAAAATAAATAAAATATGAGTGATATGAAAATGATGATTAAAAAAAAATTATGGAGAATAAAAAATGAGTAAATATTAAAATCCTAAAAGTTGGGAATCACAATACCACCTCCAAGGTGAGAAATCATAATCCAGGAAAGTTATGTTTATTCTCCTTAATTTCAGGATTGTTTTTCTTTTCCTAAAAGTAAACAAACAAAGGAATTTTAAAATTAGAAAAATGATTACTTTCTTACGCCAAACAAACACTTGAATTTAAAAACAAGGAATCATATTACTTTCCGACCCAAAATCTGTAGCAACCAAACAGGCCCAAAGAGTATTGTTAATCCTTTTTTCTTTTTCTGCTGTGAAGATAATGTAGGCACGTGTGTATATACGTAAAGAAGTATATATCTTGAAACAATTGAGAAAAATATGATTCTTTGTCCAAGATATCTATTATCTATTATTATTATATATATTAAAGTAGAGTTGTTAAATGACACGTGCCGCCCGCGCATCGTCACCAAAATTCTCCTTCATTAAATAGTTAAAATTTTATTACTAATACGTAAAGTTATTAAATTAAATTAAATAATTCATCATTAGTTGATTTCATAAAAAATAAACGCGTCTTTGGAAATTATTGACAAATATATGACATAAGGAAACATTAATCATCCAATTAACGATTATATTAAGAATACAGTTTAAAATTAAGTCTGGATACACTAAGCATAAGTTAATATTATTTTTTAGATGATTTTGTTTGATATATTTTTTCAAAAATTAAAAGATATTAGTTAAAAAAAATATTGTTACGAAATAACTATATTACGAATACAATTCGAAACCAAGTCTACCTACATTACAAGTATGTTGATATTATTTCTTAGATGATTAGTATATTTTTCATAAATAAAAAGAGACTACTTACCAAAATGAAGAGATTATTTACAAAATAATTATACGAGTGTAATTCAAAACTAAGACCGGATACATTAAACATAAGTTGATAATATTTTTCTGATGATTCTATTTGATATATTTTTAAAAAATAAAATAGATTAGTTACCAATATCAAAAAAAAATATTTGTCACCAAATAGTTATACTGAGAATACAATACGAAACTAAGTTTGGATAATTAAACGTATGATCAGATCATTTTTTCAGATTATTCCATTTGATATGTTTTTCAAAAATAAAAAAGAGATTAGTTACCAAATAATTATACTACAAATACAATTCGAAACCAAGTATGTATAATGGAAGATAGGTTAATATTATTTTACAGATGATTCCATTTAAAATATTTTTCAAAAATAAAAATAGATTAATTTTTTAAAAAAATAAAAAGATATTAGTTAAAAATAATTTTATTATGAATACAATTTGAAAATCAAGTCTAGATTCTTTAAATACAGATTAATATTATTTTTCAAAACATTTTATTTGATATATTTCTAAAAATAAAAAGAAATTAATTACAAAAATAAAGAGATTAGTTAAAGAATCATTATATTACATATACAATTCAAAACTAAGTCTAGATACATTAAATGTATATTAGTATTATTTTAAATGATTCTGTTTGATATATTTTTCAAAAAAATAGTTATAAAAAATGTAAAGATTAGTTGCCAAATCATTATATTACAAATACAATTTGAAATCAAGTTTAGATACATCATACATATGCCAATATTACCTTTTAAATAATTTCATTTGATATATTTTTCAAAAATAAAAAGAGTTTAATTTCATAACTAAGAAAAAAGTTATAAGTCCAGATAAATAAAATGGGTCTTAGACCTACCAGGCATAGCCTATTTTGCTATTAAAAAAAATAAGGAAAGAATTTGGAATATGGATAAATATTTAAAAATGTTTATTATTATTTTTTTTGCCATGGTCTTCCCCCCTATTTTTTTGTGCTTTATTTACTTTTGTTGGAATTTTTTTTTATTTTGTGTTATGCCTAAAAAAAGATTTTTTTATAATATTTGATTTAATTACTACAAAACAATATATGCTTTTCACTCAATATATTTTAAGAATATACATGATTTAATTTCTTTTGTTGAAAATAACTTTTATATACTGATTATATCCCTGAAAAGTCGAATAGTAGACAATTGATCATATTAATTCATATTTAGAATTTTTTTTATATACTATCACTCCTAAAGAAGAAGCAAATTAGATAGTTGAACATATTAATTTGTATTTTAAAATACCCTATATGCCTAAGAAGTACTTGATCAAAGTGGTAACGATATTGGATCAAGTTAACTACAATCCATAATTAAATATGTGCATGGACATATAGTAATGATTGTTGGGAGATGTTTGTCTTCCAAAAGTGACCTACCCGATTCAAAAACGGATTAGTTGGAATAATGATTTCAATACTGGATGCACTTTATACCAAAAAAGGAAAAAAAAAATCATATGACACTCTTGAATTTGGACTCCGAATGCCTGATATACCAAAAAATAGAAAAATTAAAACACGTAACACTTTTCATATGAAAGTAATAATATATTAATATTACTCTAAAATATGAAAATAATACTAGTTAGTATAAGAGAAGTTTGTAATATATAAAATCAATCATTCGTTTTCAACAATTTGCTCACAAGAGGGTTACTTGTACCCTTCAAATACGCCTTCCCAAAATATAACCAAAGAATCAATCACTGAAGTTTGAGAGTTATTTATTAGTTTCCTCCTTATAACTAAATAGTGAATGAAAAAGGAGCATAGGGTGCCATAGACATCATAGTTTCAAGTTTCAACTGCAAAGAATCAGAGGAACGTGAATAATTAGACCAAATTATGGTGGAGTTTGGACAGCTTGGAATGGAACAGACATATTGATTCATCATATCTGTACTGTTCTATGATGAATAAAACCGTCACATTTTTTATTTTAGTTATTTATGAGAGGCATATGGGTCCTATCAAATGGATTTTATAATTAGTCGGTCCAACCAAGTCCAGTCATCAACTTGCATCGTCATCAGACTGATCATCCCCCAGCCCGCCATTTATGCTCATTCTCTGCTCTTTCTTTTCCAACCATTTCTTTCTTTTTTTAAAAAAAGAACTGCAGCAAACCAACAGACAGACCTCCACCTCCCCTAAAACCCAATTCAATCATTTCATCCACAACCCAAGAAAAAGAAAAAAAAAAAAACCCTTTCCCCCTTTTCCTGGTACCATTTAAAAAAACTTCCCAACAAGATAATAAAAAGGAAGCAGAGCAGAGGAGCATATCATATCTTTAATATTGAAGAAGAATGGTTAGTGGTTCGTTATTAGGAGAGAGGCTGAGCTCCTTGCTTAACAACCGATGGCTAGTATTCGTGGCTGCAATGTGGATTCAATCCTGTGCTGGGATTGGGTACCTTTTCGGCAGCATATCCCCAACTATAAAGACCTCTCTCAATTATAATCAGAAGCAGATTGCCAGGCTTGGGGTGGCTAAGGACCTGGGTGACAGTGTTGGATTCTTGGCTGGCAGTTTATGTGAGATTTTGCCTCTTTGGGCTGCCCTTCTCGTTGGTGCTTTCCAGAATTTGGTTGGTTATGGCTGGGTTTGGCTCATCATCACCGGTCAACTCCCTCCCCTCCCATTGTGGGCGGTAAGTCAATCTTCCTCCTCTGCTTCACCACCACCCCCTCTTTGGATGTATAGATTCATTAAGCATAAGCTTGATTGAGGAGAGCAGTGAAAGCTTTTTCCTTTGATCTCTGCTCATTGAAATAGTCGAACACTTTTTTGCGCTTCCTAAAGTTGCAACTTGCAAGAATTAATTCAAGTTTTCATTTTTTTCTAAAAAAAAATAAAATAAATAAATTAAACAAATTCGGGGTTCTAGATTGTCTTTGCTAATTAATTAAGCATAGCCGGACTCCATTGATCTGCTACAATGAACCAGCTAAGCTTTTCAGTGTTTTCAAGATTCTGCTCTCTTTAAATGAAACATGAGTTGAGGTCCGATCATCATTCTCTTGATGTTTATCTTAGTTACTACTATCATTTTCTTTTTGCTCTCTGCTTGGATTGGTTATCTGCGAAATGAACTTTAATTGCCCACTCTTCTTGAAACCCCAGCGCTTGTTTGAAATGCTACGAAACCTGCTTATTTTTAAGTTGAAGAGGATCATTCCGAATGCAACTGGAAAGTCCTCCTCAAGGGGTAGCTATTTATTGAAACACAAAGCAGGAATGGAACTACATCAGCTTTGGTAGATTGAGAAAGCTGCTTCGTTAATTGCTTGTTTGAACTATATGAGCATCCCTTTGTTTAGTTTAGTATGATGACTTAAGCTTTCGTATAAGAAGAAAGACACCTCTGTGATTTCCTTTTTGTGTTAAGTTGTGTACATTCACATTTGAACATCTTGTCAACCTTTCTTTTTTTGTCGATGAATTTCCAGATGTGTGTACTGATATTCATTGGAACAAATGGTGAGACATACTTCAACACAGCAGCATTAGTCTCATGCGTGCAAAACTTCCCCAAGAGTCGTGGTCCGGTAGTTGGGATACTAAAAGGGTTTGCCGGTTTAGGTGGTGCTATATTGACTCAAATTTACGCTGTTATCCATAGCCCAGACCATGCTTCGCTCATATTTATGGTTGCAGTTGGACCAGCAATGGTGATTATTGCTCTTATGTTTATTGTCAGGCCGGTTGGAGGTCACAAACAAATTCGCTCCTCCGATGGGTTTTGCTTCTCTGTCATTTACAGCATCTGTCTCATCTTAGCTGCTTACTTGATGGGCGTCATGCTCGTTGAAGATCTCATCGAAGTTAGCCATGATGTTATCATAATTTTCACCTTAGTTTTGTTCATTCTCCTGATCATTCCCATTGTTATCCCAATTGTATTGTCTTTTGGTGAAGATCCTCCTCGAGTGCAAGTCGAAGAACCACTTTTGCAAGCTGAGCCACAAAAACAAGAAGCAGGAAACTCTGAACATGATCATCAGAATGAGATAATATTTAGTGAAGTGGAAGATGAAAAACCAAGTGAAGTGGATATGCTTCCTGCTTTGGAAAGGAAAAAGAGGATAGCCCAGCTGCAAGCTAAATTAGCCCAAGCAGCTGCAGAAGGAGCCGTAAGGATTAAGAGGAGGAGGGGGCCTCATAGAGGGGAGGATTTCACACTTGGTCAGGCTTTGATAAAGGCTGATTTTTGGCTCATCTTTTTCTCTCTATTACTAGGTTCTGGTTCTGGCTTAACTGTGATTGATAATTTGGGTCAGATGAGCCAGTCCTTAGGGTACGATAATACGCATGTCTTTGTTTCCATGATTAGCATCTGGAACTTCTTGGGTCGTATTGGTGGTGGATACTTTTCTGAAATGATAGTCAGGTAAAAAGACTAATCCTTTTAATCTCTTCCATTTTGCCTTGTCTTTTCCCAGCCCGGCACTGTTTCTTACAATGTTCACATTGGTGTTAAATGAATCAGGGACTATGCATATCCAAGACCGGTGGCAATGGCTATTGCGCAAATCATAATGGCAATTGGACATTTTATCTTTGCTATGGGTTGGAGTGGCGATATGTACATAGGGACCCTTTTGGTTGGACTTGGTTACGGAGCTCACTGGGCAATAGTGCCAGCTGCGGCGTCAGAGCTTTTCGGCCTAAAAAAATTTGGAGCCCTGTATAATTTTCTTACCCTAGCCAACCCGGCTGGGTCGTTGGTATTCTCGGGCCTCATTGCCAGCAGCATATACGACAGAGAGGCGGAGAAGCAAGCGCAAGAACGGCATCCAGGACTACAGTTTGGACCGCGATCCTTGTTATCCAACATGCTGTTGTTGGATGAGCCTCTGAAGTGTGAAGGCTCGATTTGCTTCTTCCTGACATCATTGATAATGTCAGGGCTATGCATAGTTGCTGTCATATTGAGCATGATTCTTGTATATCGGACTAAGGTTGTGTATGCACAACTGTACGGGAAATCGCGGGCATGAGTTAGAGGTTTATCCCAGCGAATCATTCAAATATTGTAAGAAACACAAGTGGTTGTACATGATTTTTGATGGAGAAAGGAGAGGTTGGTTGGCTGCATGTTGGATAATGGAGGTGCAGTCCTTTTTTTTTTTTTTTTTTTCCCTGGGGAAATTGGAGGTGCAGTTTTGAGTGTGCAAATTCTAAGTTGTAGTATGAGATAGTATATATTGTATGTAAACTGAATCTATTTAGTCATTCGTTCCGCCCATTTGTTTTCCACTGTGATTTTTGGGGAAAAAATGTACTCCTTAGCTCTTTTTCCCTCAATCATAGAAGGAGAAGGGGAAAAGATAAGGAAAGAGAGAAAGAAAAGAAAAGAAAAAGTAGTAGGTGTGAAGTTTATAAATACAGTAATTATTTTTTTCCAAATGCCACTACAAGTTATTTCATCCGTCGGAAGGAAACATAGGGTATTTGGGATCTTATTTGGAGCAATGGATGGATGGATGGTGGGAATCATTTATTAATTCAGAGCAGAGTTAAAGGCGGTGCAGTCCCTGCGAACTTCACCTTGGTTCCCCGTCTTCACTCCTGTCCTACCGAGGCTTCTCATTGCCGACCCAAACGCCGCGAAGAACTCCGACCCGCCATTGGCGAATCCCGTAACCGTATCCTGAGTTGACGGCTCGCTGAACAGCTCCTGGTCTGAAGTAAGCAATCCCTTCCCTGCCACCAGGTTCCGGTAATACGCATTATCGAAAGCGTCCGGCGTTGTGGGGTCCAACTTCACCACCACTTGGTCCGATTCGGGATTGGGTGGGCATTCCTGCTTCAGCTGCTGGGCGTAGTCCGGGTCTAGGGAAGGGTCCGTCGGGTTGGAGTAGAGGCGGCCGGAGAAACGGCTGCAGTGAGAAAACCCCACGGTGTGAGCGCCGGATAGGGCGACGAGCTCGGTGGTGGTGAGGTTGTTCTTGGCGAAGAGGAGTTTTAGGGTGTTCCAGTCGTCAGTGGGTTTTGGTAAGTTTCCGGGGACCCGATCCGAGCTGGAAATCACTCCGTCCTTACGCCCCAATTCTACATTGAACCAAGGCCCTCCAGCCTGCAAAATATATATATATATATATATATATTATATATTCCAACTTTTCCATATCAGATCAGTATTAATCTGTTTTCAGCACCAAATCCGTTTGCGTTATTGTTAAAAAAGGCCTTAAAAATAATTTTTATACACATCAAAATCGTAGTCAAATGCGCTCAACATGAGTTAAATATTACAGTAAAATCCACCATTTTAAAATGATCATTCAATATATAACCAACCTTGTTTTTGTATATCTTCAAAAACAGTGATCGAGAGTTTCATTTGATAAGTTTAATTACATGTATAATGTATTTGTTGGTAACATACACTCGATCGATCACATATTATACACAGGATCCACATTATAAAAACCCCTTCTACGTAAATCCATCGCATTATTTTTCAGCAAAGTAATTAAATTGTAGATGAAAGAACCAACGATAGTATTGTAGGGCTTGTGACATAGTACCAATTTTAAGTAGAATTTGGGAGCTTAGCATTCCATAATAGCGCTTGCTTACCAAGACAACAACATCTCGAGCAGCAATGGCTAAAATATCAGCACAAGAAACCACACCGGGGCACTGGGACTCCACCGCTGCTTTGGCCTGAATCACCGTATCAAACCCATCTCCCGCCAGGGAAAGGTTGTCCTCTGCATCTTTCTCCGCATCCATATTCGGGGACGCTATCAGAATTGATCCATCACATCCCTGCAGTCCGCGCATTAATTAGTGGTACATCAATCATCAATATATAGTTCGAAACAACTTATAAGTAATGCACCCGCGGGAAGCACACATACATACATGTGTATATATATATATATATGTGTGTGTATTTCGAGGAAAAGAAATGAAGTTGACCTCAACAAAACAGTCGTGAAAGAAGAGACGAAGGGTGGCCGGAATTGGAATGGTCAAAGGTGCGGTCTGAGACAGCTTGGTTTTGACGGACTGAAGCACTATATCTTCCAGGTTTGGACAAGTTGAACTGTAGAAGTTCTCTGCTAATTGCGACTCTACCACCACTGTCCCCAAACTCAAACTCATCAGCATCATCACCAATATCCACCCCTTCCCTCCCCACATCTTCTTCCTATTCATACTCATCATTTCCATATCTACGACAATATGTACATAAGCGAGCTTGCTACCGCCTTGTTATTAATCTTAATTTTTTTGATTAACTTTGTGATATCATATGTACAGAGAGAGAGAGAGAGAGAGATCTATTTGTCACCGAAGTTGGATGATCTTGCCCTGCCTTCTCTCCCATCATATATATAGGCGCCAATCAGTTGTACTAACTGAAGTAGTATTTGATTGTCAGTTTTTATTTTATTTTTTGTTGGTCAAATTTCTCATTGATTAACAAGTCCATGATCTTTGTCTGTCGTTATTTAACTAACAACAAATATTCTATTCTTTAGTTCTATTCACTTATAAATAGTACTCTCCGGAAGAGAGCTACGTATAAGGTTGTTTAATTTATCATGAACTATAGTTTTTGTTCTTTCATAAACCCTATCCACCCCCTACATACACACAGGCAGAGGCAGAATGCAATTTAGACAAACAAAATGGACTAATTAATTCCCCTCATAATTTGTGGAATCAGTTCTTTTTTCCCCATATGCATAAGCCATACATAAAAAAATAAATTAAGAAATATTATCCCTAAAATTATGAAACTTAAGACAAAACATACTAGGTGAAACTTAGACAAAGCAAAATACCTTATAATAAGGATGAGAGAGAGTATATCAAAAACAGCAAAATCTTCCTGGTCTTTCACACATTATGTATCGATCCAATGAGTCCAATGGAGCTAGCTATCTATAGCTTTCATTTTCTAATTAGGTTAGGAATCTCCAGTTGTCACATGGTAAGCCTTCTTCATCCAACAATTGATATTACCTTCAATCCACTACCGTCAAAACTATCTGTTCACCGTTCTGTTGTACATTCATACTTCTATTTTCCACCTGTTTCCTTTTTCTAGCTAACTTTCCATACCAAAAGCTTAAGTGTATCAAAGAATTCACATTCCTCCATGAATTTTTAACATCACTAGCTCCTCACATTGTGAACTAAAATCAAAAGCTATAATTGACATTTTTTCTGCTTGAATTATTAATTTATTCTGGTACGTACGATACGTAGGTCATCGAAAAGTGTGTAGTTGCGGGTTACAAATTATATTCTGATTGGACTATATATTGAGCTCAAATCGCTCTCACGATATCATTATTCGTTCCAATTCATGACCATACATATATTCATTCACAGTGATAGAGACAATTGAAAGCGATACACTAACAAATTGATGAATTAATCAGACTGATGGTGAATATGGGTGAAGCTCCATCTCGGGGAGGCAAGCTAATTAGGGGGTGAAAATTAAACAACAGGCAATATTTCAACATGCAGCTTGATGCAAGCCTGACCTCAACGACTGTATACATATTTGGTGCATTAACTCATAAATTAGTTGCAAAATCAATTAAACTTAGTAAGACTCCATCCCTTCACTCAAACAAAGCTTACAAAAAAAAAAAAAAATAAAAAATAAAATTCAACTATCGTAACACACTCAATTTGTGTAGGCATGATAACTAATGAGAGCATTCCAGATATTGACCAAACAAATAAAAACGATTAATTAGTTCAATGAAGATACGTAATGAAGGGTTAAAGAAATATTTCAAGGAAATTTAAGCCGGAAAAAGAAATAATTACTTCTCAACTGCTTCACAGCTATTGCAACCTAAATGGGGGCATGCGTCCAGCTTTGAGTTTCTTAGAGCAACTCATCTTACGCGTACATCTCTTTAATTAATTACAGCAAAATCTTCAACCCAGTCAATCATTTTTTAAAAAAATTTTATTCTATTTTTCTTAATGGGGAGTGGTTTAATTAGGATATGATAAATTATGTGATTTACGTAACTCATTCACCTAGCTCGGATTAAGTATTCCCCATGAAAATTTTTTATTTGTTACATTTGGAAAAGAAAGTAACTTCTATTAGTTATTACTGTTAGAAATGGTTCAACAACAATTGAAGTTGTATCTGACCAGAGCTGATACTTTCATATTTACAATGAAACCCGCAAATGGGATAAATAATCTGTCAACAGATGACCAGAGTGAATATTACAATTCAAAAGCCTCTCAGGTTTGCCACAACATAGATAGGTGCTAAAATCTAAATCAATGCAACTTTATTTCTATTCTTGTGAATTCAAAAGTTGAGAGGTATGTTTACCGAATTATTTTACTTTAAACAATGTAATTCTTGTTTTGAGATGCATTTTAAGACTTAATTCCATGTATCTAAAATTCTAACGAATAAGATATTGATTTAATATGAATTGGGAAAAATAAATTGTTATATTTCAAGAATCAATTAGAATTACCCGTAACCATTTACTTATGGCATTTTCATGCCCATGTCCGGGTTCGAACCCAGGGTCATAATTAAGTTAACTCAGAAGAAAATGAGAATTTTGAAGAATAATTAAAAAATTAATGAGAGATGAAATAAAAAATTACATTGTGACTGACTTGAATTCCAAAGAGCATTATTTATAGACTTTTCTACACATGATAATTAACATATTTCCATTACTAGATAATAATTAAAAAATTTATATCAACTACTCAACACTTATCATTCCAGCTCTTATCTACAAGACTAACTCATCAGCTAAACAAGGACTCTCCACTTCTCCTCTTCATAATTATCTTTAACATTCTTCCTCAAACTGAGTCGGGGTTGGAGACACAGTTTGTTTCTTGATTGGTACTGACCACGCTTTGGGTTGTTTTTCCATATATATGAATGGTGAGAATGTGAGTGATTTAATGTGTATTTTTGAGTGGTATGCTCAAATTATTGGCTGTTAGAAATTGTTAAGAAACGAACTGTATCGATTTCCAATGTTGTGTTAGATTGCTGATGACAAGTCCAACCTCTTCTTCTGAGAGGAGATCGAACGTTTGTCATAATGTGGATTTTTTGTAGATAGAGATGATATTTTCCTCTTTGTCATCTACGTATTTTTTTTCTTTTGTCAACCACAGTATTTTGTGATCGATATGGGACTTGTATTTGATAAAAAGTGGTGGTGATTGAGAGTAAGTCAGATGTTTATGTTGCCTGAGGCTGGCTTTGAGTGAATCTAAGAGGAAGACCCGGGATGAAGTTTGGAACTTTTGGAATTGGAGTTTGAGTCAGGGATTGGTGATGTCAACGAGGATGATAAATAATGCAATGGGGCTGAGTAATGATTATTTGTGGTGGTGATAGTGGTGATAGGGAGTAATTTTGACGAAGAGTGATCTTGATCTGTTTGGGATATCCAAGGACATGGAACATAGATGCGAATAGAAGACCGATGGTTTATTTCTTGAAAGAAAAAATAAGCGGAAGCAGCACAGAAGTAGGGCGGAACCCGCTCTGATGCCAAGAAGAAAATGAGAATTTTGAAGAAAAATAAAAAAATTAAGGAGAGATGAATTAAAGAACTACATTGTGACTGACTTGAATTTCAAAGACTGAGATAGGAGCCTTAATTATAGGCTTTTCTACACATGATAATTAATTTATTTCCACTACTAGATAATAATTAAAAAATCTAAAATTATCAACTATTCAACACTTATCATTCCGACCCTTATGAACAACACTAACTCATCAGCTAAACAAGCACTCTCCACTTCTTGATGATCTCCTTTTCATAATTATCTTTAACAGACCCAATACCTTTACCACTTGGATTAAGTGTTTGTTACAACATCTTGATAATTAGGTTACAGCTGAGCTTCGAAATTCTTTGTATGACTTTTTTTTTATTAAAAAATAGTTAAAGGTTCGAAGGGCACAATTATTTTTGAACGGTGGAAATATATATATATATATATATATATATATATATATATAATGGGAGCCAACGGGCTTAGTTATAAAAGGCTCTACAACTATAGAGTAGCAGCTGCTCGATCAGTTGCTAAGCTTTCAACAATGCTAGTCGGCGGTATTAATAAAATATGCCTACCAATAGGACATGAGAAGCCAAATTTTGCTAATTCGTCGACCACTTTATTACAATGGCGACAAATATGGCTAACCGAAACATGCCAATTAAGGTGAAGAAGTTTTCTAACTCTACTGACTACGTTACTCTGGCTATATAGAGCAACCTCGCTAGACAAAAGCTCCACAACTTTAGAACTATCCAATTCTAATTCCACTTTTCTAAAGCCGAGATCCCACGCAATTTGTAGACTAAAGAGAGCACCCCATAATTCAGCCTCCAGGCTGCAACAGATGCCTATATTTGCTGCAAAACCAATAATCCAAAACCCCTCGTCATTTTGGATTACCCCTCCTGCGGCTGACTTGTTCAAAACCTTGTTGGTGGCGCCATCTGAATTGATCTTGACCCATCCAAGTGGAGGTGGTGTCTAGGTCTGTTGTTGTGTGGTGCTGACACGTCTATTCAAACCATGTGCAAAAATCAGGTTCGAAGGAGCCTACTTCTTTTACAAGAGTGTATGTCGCACACCTGATTGCCCTCGCTGTCGTTATTTCCTCTCTGAAGATTTCTTTTCTTTATTCCTGGAGTTCCACAGTTTCCAACAACCTATCTCGAACCACAAAGACCAAAAATTTGCTCCTGCAAAACAGAGAATTTTAGATTAGCAATCAACCATTCCTTAATATCCATAACATACCAGAAAGGAGGTCGACTTCTCCATAATTCTTTACTCCTGAAACAATCTCTAAAGATGTGCAGTAAGGTTTCTTCACCACAGCAAAAGTGGCAAAGACGGTCACATTTGACATGAGTGCTCCCTTCATCAATAACCAAAGAAATGATTTAAATCTTTCCGGCCCTTCCCACTGCCAAACCAGCTTTCATTGTTTGTGCTCCTCATCCCCCACTTGTCCTCCGTCAGCAATTTGTATGCTGATGTGGTAGAGAACTTTCCTGATTCCGTAAATTACAATTGCGCATATGTCGTTAGAGTCGTTTGGGTTTAAAGCTAAAGAAAAACAGGTCATTGAGCCGTGGAAATCCATTCCACATAGCCGTAAAAGCCTCAAACTGAACGTCATTAAACAGCCCAAACTTGGGACCTTATTGGGCCAGTCCATGTCCACTTTCCATATCACAATTGCCCATTTCCCCTTTTTCGGTTTTCGCTTCTAACTTTTTCCCTTGGGGGTTGGGTTGATTTACCGTTCGCTATACACAAGAGAAAAATGTAGTAATAAAAATAATCGTAAACTTACAACATTGAATTTGAAATAACAATGGAGGTAGAAGCAATTGGGGACGAACTACAGTTAGCGTTTCCTCGCTGGAATCCGATTAGACGACGGTTCAACCCGGATTCCCCCTTCTTCGCTGCTGGGAACGTTGAAAGAGAACTCCTCGCCAAGCAGGTTCTCTAATTTCTCCTTTTAATTTTCAGATTGTGCACCCATACATGTACAGATTTTTTTTTTATTATTAATTTTTTTTTTCCTGCTTGGCGGAATTGGTATGGTTTCGTGTTTGGTACCACTGTTATTGTTCAATCGATCAGATGGAAAAGGTTAAAGAAAAACCGGTATCGCTAAGAACATTTGAATATGCATTTTATGATTGCAACTTTTAAATGCGAGTTTAAGTTCCACTCTTAGAGTGTTGTTTGGACTTATAGGTGCAGTTAAACTAATGAAATTCCTTAGTAGACCTAAATGGGCGTGAACATGTAATCAAAGTCTAAACCTAGCCTTAATTCACGGAGATTGTTTATCTCCAGGTTGCACTGGATTTGAGTGAAGAAGATAAGCATCAACTTCGCAGCTTTGAAGACCTGGAAAACAGGTTTGTTTGCTTACTTCAATGATTTTATTGCTATGCTTATAACTGTAGTTTTCCTTTTGACTAAGAAGTTATTTTCAATCTATTAATGATCTGATCGGAATGGTTTGTACATTGTGCTTTCACATTTATAGTGTTAATTGAAACAGTGAGATTGATAGAAGCACATGTAAAGTGGGAATAACAGTGTGTTTTTGGACTAAGAATGGGTCAAAATTTGGAGATTGTGACTTTTGGATTGAAAACTCATTCGGATTTGCTGGTTCTAGATGTGATTTGCTTGCCTTACATTGTAGTTGTCTAATTCGGTTGCGTTTGAAATCTTTTTTTTTTTTTTTTTGTTTTTGGGGTGGGAGGGAGGGAGGGGTACACACAATTTGACTAGCAACATACGGTCCATGATAGGAAACTTGATAACTTTATTCTCCAGTTCACCTTAAGAAACTGTCGAGTTATCTGACCTAACATTCTGACTTAAGAAACTTGATAATTTTATTCTTCCTGTGTTTTGATGCATTGTTCTCATGATATAAAACATTTATCTGTACAGCTGATGGATGATTATTCCCTATTTGCTGGCTGTCTAACAAAATACACACTACTTACTTTGTTGTCGTCGTTGTTGTTGTTGTTGTTGTGCACTCGGTAGCAAAATATATTGTCCGGTCGTTGGTTGTGGCGCGCTATTGAGGTCTTTGGACGACTTTGAAGATCACTACTCTTCGAGACACTCAGCATCTTGTTCAGTTTGCTCAAGGGTTTACCCTACCTCCCGCCTGCTAAGTATTCATGTTTCTGAGGTTCACGACTCTTTCTTTCAGGCAAAGGTCGCCCGTGGTTTTCCAATGGTAATTGTCGATCATGAGTTTAAAATATCTCGTAGAAATGGAGTATGTTCGGCATTAACTAATTCCACTTTCTCCCTGTTTTGCACCCTTTCAATAGTACGAATGTCTTGTTGAAGGCTGTGGTCTGAAGTTGAAGAGCTACAAGAGTCGACAGCAGCATCTGGTCGATAAACATAAATTTCCGGTTTCATTTGAATTCTACAAGAAGAAAGTACATCCATCCAAGAGACATAGGCGAAGGAACCTGCATAAAAAAGTATTGAGAAAGACGGAGACTGATGGTTCAAGTGGTGATATGCAGATAGAGGAAGATACCATGGATGAGCTTGTTTCATCTGTTTCTAAGTTAAGCACTTCGGAGTCTCCTTCGTCCATAAGCTTTGGCCGTCGGCATACTCGTGGGTTGACTTTTGTTCCTCGAGCGGTTCAAAAACCTGAAGCATCTGCCAAAATGAAGAGGTAAAAGTTAAGAATTGAGAGTTAATTCCTGTATGGTGGGCAATTTTGACTGCGAGGAATCTGCGAGAACATGACCAAGCCGAGAGTGTTAGCTAATCATTATACTTGATGATGGATATTGTGCGTCAAGGAACATATGCAGCTGGCTGGGATGGGATCAAGCTGATTACTTTCTCGGTGGAGCTTTCACAATAGCTACTGAAATGCCGTCGAAAAAACTCATCCATGGTTCCACATTACGGATATTGGTTTGCTGTTGTTTGTAGTTGGATGTGTGCAGTGCAGTAGCTATTAGAGCAAGTGTTTTACCCCTCATTTGTGTTCTAACCTTCTGGATTGATCTAGCCCTGGTTATGTTTTCACGTGTATGGATGTAACCAGGAGGTCTGTACTACTGTGTAAGCTTTTTGATTGTCAGGGAACAGTTCTTATGCGCAAGTTTTCAGTAAATTTTTTGTTATCTTTGTTTCCAAATTTTGGGGTTGAAAACAAATAAAGTGAAATTGAGTAGGTGAATGACGTCATAAGGGGTTTTGTGAAGGGGTAAGGATGTCATTTAATCCAGCCTCCAAACTCCAAACCGAGTCGAAATCTGGGAGTATTGGAACTCTATTTATAATTCCGACCAAATCTGTGAATTTTGCGCAGCCCACCAGAGGAACAAACGAAAGCTTCAAGCAAGCAGAGAAAGATTATTATTATACTTCCATTTTTCTTTCGGTTAACCGGTTCAAATGGATTCTTTGGATACCGTTATTGATCCCCTCAGAGGTTTCGCCAAGGATAGCGTGCGCCTCGTCAAACGTTGCCACAAGCCCGATCGCAAGGGTAAATTCTCCGGTTCCTTTTTTTTTCTTTTTTAGTAAATGTTGGGAGAATCCATTTAGATTCATGGATCTGATAATTTTGTAGAGTTTTCCAAGGTTGCGGTGCGCACGGCAATTGGATTTGTTGTCATGGGATTCGTGGGTTTCTTTGTCAAGCTCATCTTCATCCCCATCAATAACATCATCGTCGGATCCACCTGATAATTTTTTAGGTATTTTTTTTTCCATATTTGTCTTGTTAAAAGCTTATCCTTTCGTTTCTTTGTTTGATTATTGGATCAGTTGGTCTTTTAGAAATTGGACGACTAGGTGTTGGAAATTAGTTTATAAGATTTCCCAAGATGCTTCAATGCTGCCTCGGGTTTGTTAGTTTTAGATTTATTGGGGTTTAAGCGCAGTAATATTTGTATTCGGTCTGGTTTTTCCTAAATGTGAATATGTGAATTTGCTTGTATCTCCTGATGCCAATATATGATTCCTCAGAAACGGCTGATTCCTCTGATTTGAAAAGGTCAGACAGGTGCTTTGATTGAGCCGATACAAGATTTGATCCTTGGTGCAGGATTCTTCTAGTTTTAGAAGAATACGGGGCAAACTGAAATGAAATAAAGAACTTGAAAGAACTAGCGGTAATTGCGCCTGGTTTCCAATGTTTCTAATCTGACTTGATACCATCCAATGGTTTGAGATATGAGATAGCGTTAATTATTGCAGTTTTAATCTGAGATAGCGACATGTTTGCTTGACAAATAAGAGTTTCTGGGGGTTGGGGACGGGCTTATTGGAATTGAGTACAATAAACCCAATTTGGGGGTACTGGATTTTACAATGCTAGTGTCAAAAACATATCCCATTTCTCATGGCAGCTCTTGTGAGTATATCCATATAGATCAATCTTAAAGCTTCTAAATGTGTTGGCGTTCCCTTTTGTCGACTATGGTTGAAGATGCAATGCTTGTTTAAGCATTTACTTTCCTCTAGGATGAATGTTAATTGATAATTAATCTTCATTGTGCTGATGTTCTTGAATGGAATTTTCAGGTTGATCTACAGCTTTTGCAAGAGTAGTATGGCAACTGTCAAAGTAGCACAAGAACCTTTGTAGTGCAGAGCATTTACATTTTTGCAAAGAAGACTTATCATTTGTATTATGTAGAATTCGTTGCAGACATTCATTGACTTACAATGATATTCAATTTCATTGTACTTTTGCATTGCAGACTTTTGCGAGTTTGATGTTTAGTCATTATTCTTTCCCTTATCCTCTTCTAGTAGATCTCATGGCTAAGCAACAAGTTGGTCATGTATAGTTTTGTTCAATGTTAGGGGTTTTAGAGCAGAAAATATAATCACAAACCTAAGACACAGCCCTGAATCCTGGAAAAGTCAATTCTCTGCTCCAGAGATGAATGAAGTATAGATTTCATCGACACAAGCATAAAACTGAAGTATGACCAATCTTACTAGAACGAGCTTAGACAGGAAAGCCATAAAGAAATTGAAAAGGCTGCTGTTTACATGACTTGATAAATATCCAATTACAAGTTAACGACAACCCTAGAAATTGTTTTCACAATCAGCATGCAACATTGTCGGGTGAATCTTCTTCTTCATTGCCCAATGCAGCAGCATCAGCAAGTACCAGCTGTGGCTCCAAAAGACTGCCTTCTTTTCTTGCTTTTCTTCGCTCACGCTGTAGTTTGAATGCCTCTCTTTTGCGCACCCTGTAACTGTCGGGATTTTCAGGTTGCAACTCCCTTGGGTAAACACTAACCTGTTAACACGACAATATGGTCATGAATCTGTAGTAAAAACTAATAGCAGGAACAACGAAAAGCACATCTAAATCATAGAGTAAGGAGTTCATGGATCACCTTCTTCTTGTCAGGTCCAAACTTCTCAAACTTCACAAGTCCATCAATCAAGGAAAATAGAGTGTGATCCCTACCGAGTCCAACATTCTTCCCAGGATGAAACTGAAAAAATAATGCCCAAGGTTGGTTTATCAGAAGACTACTGTGATCATAACTTGGCGGAAAACTTCTATGGAGTTGACGAGGTTGAAGATGGACAGAGCAGAGAAGTAAAACAAAACAAAGAAAGAATTAGACAAACAACACAACAATGAAGTCTTCATCCATCCCACAAGGGAGGTTAGGTTATATGCAGCATTAGTCTCCATTGTGCTAGATCATAACGCAAATTAGGTATAAAATCAACAGAACCTCAAGAGGATCTTTTTGTGAGCAGAAGGAACGAACTTTGAAGGGGAGAAGAGCATAAATGCTCAAGAACATCAGTAGTTCAAGTAATGTTCCTTTTCATTCGCGGGCTACAACCAGGGTAATGCACCCTCTCTACAGATATTAACGAAAAAGGAAGGGCAAACACATAGAAAATCCCCTAAGCCAGTAGAGAGAAGAAGTAATATCACGAGGATTATAGAGGCGTAAATTGAGCTGTATCAAATATACTATCCCTCATCTTCCCAGGGGTTGGTTATAGATCATATCGTCACTTCACTATGTGAAATCATCAGTTATATCCATGTATTACTTTTCTATCAAGCATCATTAGATAGAATCACTTAACACACAACCTTCCCCAGTTCCTTAAATTGGGGAAAAATCATCCTAAAGCCTAAAATGACACCTATCCAAACAAAATCAGAACTCATTTAAGCCTTCATCCGCTACCCAGTACCATACATTTAGACAATTACAAAAGAATCAGTTCTACATGGTATAACGAATTGTAATGGTAAACCGATATAAGGGGAAACGCAAAATTTCCTTTTAAAGGGGAAAAAAAAGGACCTTTGTGCCGCGCTGACGAACGATGATGGCGCCGGGCTTAGCGACTTGATCGCCGTAAATCTTAACGCCGAGCCTCTGGCCAGGGGAGTCACGACCGTTCTTGGTGCTTCCTGCCCCTTTTTTGTGGGCGGACTCAATCGTCAAGGGTAAGGGCACCGCCAGTTGCTGCTGCGGCAAGGGAAACGACAGCTGATGAATTCCTGCGACGGCGGAGGAAGAGTCCCCGGCGAAGAACGGAGAAGATGAGCTGGAAGCTAGAGACAATCCTCGAAATGCAGACACCAAATTGAGAGTGACGGTAGCCATGGTTAGAAGTTCTCTCACAGCAGCCTCAGAAATCCAAATCCAGCATCAGATAGTAAAATAGTTTGTTAAAAAATGGAGTCTCTTTGTGAGAGACAGAGAGGCGCACACTCCTTCCAGTCGGAAACCTTATCGATTCTGCAACTCTGTGAGTGAATGGTTGGTATAGACAGAGAGGCGCACACTCCTTCCAGTCGGAAACCTTATCGATTCTGCAACTCTGTGAGTGAATGGTTGGTATTTTAAGTTAAAGCTTAAAAAAACGGGAGCGCAAAAGAAATGGCCCCCAAAACAAAGGGGTAAAAAAGTAAAAAAAGGTTACAGGTAAGCAGTTGCAAATGTCGAGAGTGGGATTTGAACCCACGCCCTTTCGGACCAGAACCTTAATCTGGCGCCTTAGACCAACTCGGCCATCTCGACTTCTTGCTATTACTTTCTTTGATAGCATATATATATATATATTATCTTTATCTTCACATAATCCCCTAAGGCTCCTATCTTGGGTCACGAAGAAAACTAGACCAACCCGAGAATTTTTTTCAAAAACAAAGAACCAAGATGAGGAAGTTCACTTCTGCCACGATATCAGTTTGATCATATTTTACCAACCAGCAAATTGAAAGGTTGAAGAAGAAAATGCAGAGTAAAATTATACTCGAAAAGACTAGAATAACTAGAGTGCTAATAGAAGTATTGAACATCCCATCTGCATCTGAATGATGAAATTTCTAAAACAGCCGTTGCTGTAGGAATAAAATACAAACACCAATCCTTTTATCAAAGCACAAAACACAGGCTACACTCCACTAAGTATCACAGCTGTGTTATCTTGGCTGGAAAACAGGGGATACCCTTCTCCGAACAATTTCTTGGATATGTTCCACAGGCAGAACTGATGCATCTGGCTCGAAATTCGCTTGCTCCATTTGCTGGCGAATCTGCAGATCACATCACACCGTGAGGGCACAGGCATTACAAAATACAGTAATGTCTTACGAAACTATTTACATTTCGAACATATTGATATGTTTTCCCCGCTTGCAGAAAAGTTTCACTGGGGCTAAAGTTTGTGAAAACTAGAAGTTTGAAGGGCCTAAAAGTTGCACCTTCTCCAGCACTGCAGATTGGTCATCCAAGTGAAAATTACGCAGGTACTGTAGCATCTCCACTTGCTGTTACAAAGTTAAAAGCCTCATTTAGTTCACTCCCTCCTAATTTATCCTTCAACATATTCTCATCCTCAAGTAGCAAACCTTTTACCTGTTCTTGAAGTTTCTGATGCATACTCATTCTCTCCGCAAATTTTTCAGGTCCGAGCTCTGCTTCCTCACAAGCCATCTCTTCCCTTTCAAACACATTAGCGAAGAGTTCTAAATACTTCACGTCACAATAATGTAGTATGAGATAATTCGATAGCAGAGAATAAGTTTGTGGATCGTAGAGTATAAGCTGAAAAAGTTATCAATCAGTAAGGAAACTTTATGAAGGATGGAATGGATGTTACTAAAACAAGTTCTCTAACATTCAACAGCTACAGTCAAGCTACAAGAATAAGCCTGCGGAGAATATCCAGAATTTAACAGAAAAATAAAAAAGAACTTACTTGGCAACAAATCCATAAAACTGAATCATTAAATCTTGATCACTTTCATAAGCCACATTTACTTTCCCAAGACAAGAAAGACCAAATATGGGATCTGCAGTGTCAGATACAGAAGCTGTAATCCAAGTGGAAGCACTAAAATACACATCAAAACATAGCAAAATTCAGTGAGGCTTGAGATGCACAAACACAAAACATATCGAAATTCATAAGCAACCTACGAGGGCATGAATTTGAAATGTCAAGAAAACAACCTCAACCGTTAAACACAACTTACCAACTCCCATCTCCAAAAGAATCTCCTCCTGAATCCGGGTAGTTACAGCAACCGCTTCCTGCAAACATACTCGGGATTAAACTCAGGACGGCATGCAGTATTCTATTCCATCTACAAAGATTCTCACTGAATGAATCATTACACGTAAGCTAGTTCAAGCCAAAAGGGAAAGGGGATCAAAGAGAAGAAGAGAAAAGAAAAAGAAAAAAAAGAGGCAGTGCCACATAGCATTTCATTCTGGATACGCTACATTGGGGGCAACAGCACAAACATTCGAGTAATACACAAATCTCAAAGAAACAAAAACTCAAACAGTTTGTATGCGCTATAAGTGCGTGTTGCTAAAACAAGAAAAGGGAAAATATACCTGCTTGTCAAGGACGGCTTCAGCAATTCTTTGCTTCACCTCTGAACCAACCAAAAAAATAAAATAAAATAAGAAGGAAAATCCGTCTGAACAACAGGGTATATTAATCAACACAGACGAATGGAACAAACCAATATTTAATATACCAGGCTGAGAAGTGAGGTAGGAGAAGCGATCAAATAAGTAGAGCAATTGATCTTTGGACAACATTCCTGAATTCTGCAAACCCAGCTGTCCCTCAGAACCTGTTGACATTGTTATCTCTTGAATCCGATTGAAATCTTTTTGGGTTAAACAGATTATTTGACGGGTATTTCTGTCCGCACTCAAGTTTTGCTGGGAAGAAAGAAGATTATTGTGTATAATTTATCAGATTGGTATTTTTTTTTATTTTTTTTTTTTGGTGGAATTTGGTGCGTGACCAAATGTGGTGGTGGAGGTGGACCTTGTAAAACAGAAATCAATGGTCCTAACTAAAACAACAAACTCCAGAAGTGAGTAACTTTGAGCTCCAAGCTTTCTCTCTTTGTTTATTTTGAGGTTAACTTATCACGCGAAAATAGGTCTCCATCGAAACATCCCCAAAAACTAAACTTGAATTAAATTCCGATATCAGTCACGCACGGCATCCTCATCCCATCAGTGATGGGCCAAAATTGAGCAAAACATAAGAACATTGAATTTCGAAATGCTAAACAGTAAGATTTATTCAATAAAGATTTAAATGTCAATAATTAACAACCAAACCAACCACCACAACTGAGACTGTAGAAAAAAATTATAAATAAATTATAAAAAAAAAAAAAACCAAAATACAAATGTTCCTATTTATTTAGTAGTCATAGATTTTCATTTTTTTTTCCTTCAGAGGTAATAATAATAACAACAAAGGAGGATAACAAGAAGCAAAGCAATCAGAAATCTGCGTCTAATTTGAAGACGTGGGTGGCCTCATTTCCGTTCAAACTGGACATAACCGAAGCCTTTTGGTACTCCCCAACTCGTTTCTCGAAGAAATTGGTCTTGCCTTGCAAACTAATAAGCTCCATCCAGTCAAACGGGTTGGAAGCATTATACAGTTTCCCATAACCCAACGCCCCGAGTAACCGATCCGCCACGAATTCTATATACTGACTCATTAATTCCCCGTTCATTCCCACCAGCGCGCACGGCAGCGCGTCGCAAACAAACTCCCGCTCGATCTCCACCGCATCCTTCACAATTCCCTTCACCCGTTCTTCGCTCACCTTCATCCGCAGCAATCCGTAGAGCAGGCACGCAAAATCGCAGTGGAGGCCCTCGTCTCGGGAGATTAACTCGTTGGAGAAAGTCAGACCCGGCATCAACCCGCGCTTTTTCAGCCAGAAGATGGCGCAGAAACTGCCGGAGAAGAAGATTCCCTCCACGCAGGCGAAGGCCAAGAGACGCTCCGCAAAGGACTCGGAGCCGTCAATCCAGCGAAGGGCCCACTTGGCCTTCTTCTCGACGCAAGGAATGGTGTCAATCGCCCGGAAGAGGCGATTCTTTTCGTCCACATCCTTGATGTAGGATTCCAGAAGAAGACTGTACATCTCGGAGTGAATATTCTCGATAGCAATCTGGAAGCCATAAAAGGCCCGGGCCTCGGAGACCTGGACTTCTTTCATGAACCTGCCAGCCAAGTTCTCGAGAACGATGCCGTCGGAGGCGGCGAAGAAGGCGAGGACGTGGGTGATGAAATGACGCTCGCCGGAGGAAAGGGTTTCCCAATCGCGAAGGTCCTGAGAAAGGTCGACTTCCTCAGCTGTCCAGAAGGAAGCTACGGCCTTCTTGTACATTTCCCAAATCTGTGGGTACTGAATTGGGAACATACAGAAGCGGTCGGGGTTTGGGGCCAACAGAGGCTCTTCTGGGAGGGCCGGCATTTTTAACTTTGAATTGGGGAGAAAAGGGATAAGGAATGGATGGTCGTTGATGAGAAGGAAGACGAAGAAGAAGAAGAAGAAGTGAACAGGCGCAAATGAGGTGATGGAGGCGGGAGGTATGGGGTTAGGTTTAAATAAGAGAGGGGATTAAGGGAATTTAGGGCAGAAGAAATTTTCAAAATGTGGCGGGGAGGTTTTCGAAATATTTTTGGGGGAGCGGAGGACAGAGAAGCTTGCGGGAGAATTTTTTCATTGAAATTCTTTTTGGAGGTAATGGCGCCAAGGTTTTTTTTTTTGTTAATGCGGGAATGAAAAAGCTTGTTGGGGAAGATTTGATTCCTTTTATTTGAGTGGGGAGTTGTCAAAGTTTTGAAATTTGAATACTGACCTCCCTCTGGTGCCTCTCTGGAATAAGTTCAATGTTGGAGTATTTACAATAATTAGGTATTAGTCCTTAATTAAGAATTTAGACGCGAGTGAGATTGTTGCAATAATAAATGCCGCTGATTGTTCATTTCCAGTGGTATTAATTTTTGTTCCTGCTTCGCTTTTGTTTTCTTAAGAAACCACCATCGTAGTAACTGTAAAACGGGGCTTATCTCCTAAGCAAAGAGTAAGGGTTCTGTCCATTTCTCCCAATAGCGTGACAAACCATGAAATATAAGTTCTTCCTATTCTTCTTGCGGGGAGGGGAAGGGTGGTTGTGTCGTCGAAAGAAAACTCAAGTCTGACTCTGACGTACATAAATGCATTCTTATTTTTATGTTCTCAATGCTTGGAAGAAGTATGTTCCACAAAATGCAAATGAAACCAATCCAATCACTACTAGTACTAGCTCGGGGACCACTAATATTCATCATCAGTTTAAAATGAAATGATAATTACATCATCCAGGGTGGGACTAATGTTCATGCGCCCCCGGAAATCTAGTTAGCCGCTGAAAAAAAGTTGCCCTAATTATATTTACACATCACCACCTGTATCATTCAGCATCAATTCTCTCCAACACCAACAGCGTCCAAACTTTGCATTTGTCAAAACAGGCAAAAGGAACTCTTACCAAACTTGTTCTACACAGTGTTGTGACTATGTCAATCCTTATTTCCAGCAGACTCTTCTTCATCTGACTCCATCCAGGGTTGCTTCGGGCCCTGCCCTCCAAATAAACATGAACTCGTCACAACGACATCTCAGAAAAGACAACCATCTGATTTCTTGTATTTCTATGCGGACCCATGAGATTATGTCTATACTTTCTTCAACAATTTTATAACAAATGCATGGCAGCAAAGCTGACAGGAAACTATAACAAGTATGCATGAGTACATGATGACTTCTATGTTTTAGGCAGCGTTGTTTTATATCATCTATCCACCTAGTTTTACGAATCACACTGACCAATCCAAACAACAATGCTGATCCTACAGCAATTTGTAAATACAAAATGTTTTTACCTTCCCTTGCCGCAGAATTCTCAATGAACTCCCGGTCATATCAACCACTGTGGACGGTTCGGCCACTCTCACACCAGCATCAACCACAAAATCAAGACCCTACATTTATAAGAAACACTCACTGTCTTCTCCAAGTTCCAACACATCCAGCTATGAAAGGGGTATAACCTCACGTAAAAGATAACATCATGATAGCCTTACCTCAGGACCATACGCGTCCGCAATTAGAACAGGATCTAATATCCATTCATCCTCTCTCAACGACTTTACGCTGAGAAGATGAAAGAAATACATTCAGTGTGAGCAAGCACCGCACCACTTCAGTGCATTTAACAGCTACTCAAATAATCTGCTATCTGAATACCATCCATTTTAGTCATTTTGACCACATATGTAACCCACCTACCTTGTGGCGATCAAAGGGGCATCCAACTTCTCCAGAAGTGCTTGGCACACAGGGTCATCGGGCATTCTAACTCCAATGTTTTTTCTTGTTACATACTTCGCAGATGTAGTTCCATATCGCGTACATTGCCTTGGCAGCTCCTTGCTTGCGGTTAAAATGAAAGTGTACTGTACATGGAAAAATCACGCTAATTATGCTACTGTTATGAACTTGAACCATCCAAATTGGGTTCTTTCCAGTGTCCATGCACACAGGAATCACAAGGATAGCCAGAACCAGAAAAAAAAGCTGCAGGATATTAAAATAACCAAGCTGAAAATGCTAAAGAAACAATACTTTGTTTTGCTCTTGGCTTAATTTACTACACAAAAACACAGTATTTCAGGCCTTTTCAGTATGAGTTTATAAGGTTGGACAGAAATCCTAACGCAAATCGAACATTCTTCAAGGCAGCAGAGTAGAGGAATTTTTCAACTTACCGGACCTGGCAAACAATGCTTCACTGCTCGAAAAATATCCGTATTGCCTTGGTTATTTCCACGGGGAAATCCAGTTGTATATGTATCTATATCCCGGAACGAGCGGCATATGATACTAAGGGGCTGGAACAAGTGATTGAAAGCATAGTGGAAACATTAAAAGGTAAATCAAAATAAGGCAGAATGCAGTTGATAAAACAGTGTTCACATCCTATCAGAAGTTTTAAGAACAAGGGTTCGAAATTATTGATAACATGCCTTTGCATCCTGTATATTTTTTATCCTGCAATGCGAACAGAAGAACAACACAAGTGATTTAGAGAAACCAAGGAGAAAACTGCAACCCCCCACCCAACAAACAAAAAAAAACCAAAAAAATGACACTGTTAAGCAAGTTACATGAGCTACCTACGGAGACGTTCAATTGCAGAGTGGCTCTTTAAATCACAAACCATCGCGTACCTATCAACAAATCCAAATTATGTAAGAGCAATTACCAGACATCTTATAAACAAAAGAAATAGACTACCGCACACAGATGAGTAGACTCAAATAGGTAAGGGTAAACCCTCAAAGCTTTCATACATCTCTTCCTCATAAAAAAGGGAGGAGGGGGTTGTTGTTCTTTTTGAGAAAATCTGAAAATCTTTCCATTTTTGTTCTAATTTTGCTATTAAGGGAGAGTTTAAGCTAGTAAGTGCGCCAACAAAGCAGCAGGCTATCCAAAAATACCAACATAAAGCATAAATAGAACCGAGGGGGTGAATAGATTCTGATAACTACTCTGATGCTCACAAAGGTTTCCCTAACATTAGCTAAATAAGACACCTTACGAACAAAGTGAGTCTAAATTAAGCAATATCACCAGAAATGCAGAAGACATACTTGCGGATATAGGTGTTATACTCACTCAAAATAAATAATAATAAAAAGAATCTATCTACTGTTCTAGCAAATCAAAGTTCAAACTCCAACCCACTGGAGTATACTGAAAAGGGTAAAAAGAATCCAGTCAGAAGATGGAAGACAAACGTACACAGTATCGGTGGGAATGACTCCAACAGCTCCCTCCTTCAAAAGCTCAACCACGGGATCCAATTTCCAAGAGTCCGATCCAGATGGTTCAACGTTAATATACATCAACCCGTCCTTCTGAAAAACCATCACCGTATAACAGCATTTCAGCAATTGTTTCTTCAAAACATAGAATAAGGCTCAAAATATCAAAGGAAATCCAATCATTTTTATGCTTCGCATATTTACTCATCCTGCCAACAAGCTACCTGTAGATAACAGCATTTCAGTAACCCTTTTCCATTTTAAGAATTAATTTAAAGCCCTAGAACAGTTATGGCATATAAGAAACTAAGTAAGAAAATAATCTGAAGTTTTATTATCTGACTAACGATAAAGATGCTGTATCATTAAGCAGACAAACCCCATCCGTCTGAGAAATCATCATTATGTATAACAACATTCAGTAACTCTATTCCAACATAAGAATGCGTTTTACAGCTACAGCATCCAAGAAAAAGTAATTTTGTCAACAGAAACTTCAAAGAATCCAATTCATTTGCCTTATTGTGTCCAAGAAAACAGCTTTAGACCTTGGTAAAGCGAGGTACAGAATACTTGATGCGTTTGGGGCTTCTTTTCACAACTGCAAAGGCTGTGAACTGACGCAGTGTGTGTTCCCGATTGTCTTTCTTAAAGCAAACATAGCTTTGTACAGGACTCAGAGACCGGCGGAAGGAGAAATTTTCTGGAGGCACAATCCGACGGCCACAACCACCAACGGCCAGGATTTTAGCTTCCACCGCCATGTCTCCCAGTGAAAGGAAAAGGGGCTTCTTCAAAACGGTACTAGTATGGTAGAATGGTGATCACCGTTCACAAATACATGCAGAGGATTATCATCCCCACTCTCTCTTTTCCAGTTTTCAGTTTTCAGTAGTGTCTGGAACTTTGTTCATAAATTACATTAATATACACGGTGATTGTCATTAATTCGGTTTATCTTTTTGTTCTTGAGCTTGGGCTGTATTCTGAGACCAGCATGGAGGGATGAGGCTTTGGTAAAAAATTACGGGCCTGCCCCTTTTTCTTTTAACATTTCCCTTTTTCTTTGATGCTACTAGTAGGAGTATTTCATTTGCTAACTACCACAAAATAATCAAATACCTAATATATTTTGGAAAATATAAGTATAGTGAGTGAAATGGTGACTGAGTTGGCCCCCTATTTTATAGCCATTTTTCAGTAAAATTTATATCTTTCCCTAAAAAAATTACATTTCTATCTTTAAATTATATCTTTCCCTTAAAAAATTACACTTCTACTTTTAATTAGCAAAGACACATGAGTCACTTCTACCCTTAATTACCAAACACACATGAGTCACTTGGGCTTGTTTGGAAGTCCATTCATTTTACATTTTAACTCATTTTACCTCTTAAACACAAAACTCAATGGAAAAGAAAACATCATCCAAACAACTTTCTGATTTACAATAGTTCAGTGACAAATTTGGCAAGATTCCGTTGTTGAGTGATTGTTTTTTGAAAAGTTGAGTGATTGTTTTTTGAAAAGTTCTTTTTTACAGTGACTATAATTGACAGTATTTAAGTGTTTAGTGATGACTCGTACTTTTTTCAAAATGTAGTTCAAAATAATTTTTTCAAAACTAACATCCAAACAACTTTTTGTTCAAAATACCATCCAAACAACATTTTCATTTCTCATTTAGTTTTCAACTTGAAATATTTTCTACTTTTAAGTGGCAAAATGAAATGTAAGATGACGTCCAAACAAGTACTAAAATAATTTTCACTATAATTTTTCACTGGTTGTACCATTACTGGTATATTTTTTCCATCGGAAAAAAACACCTTAGAACAACATTTTCACATTTCTTGTGTTCTTCAAATTATTAGAAAATATTTTAAGATTTCGTTTTCAATTGAAAAACATATTAAGTGAAACGTATAACAAATCAAAATACACGGACCGGAGGAAGCATAATTTAATTCGGTACCTTGGTTTTCGGGTTTTGTTTTCCACTAACAAAAATTGAGATAGGATCATATAGATCAACAGAGTCCAGTGGGATTTTCTCAGTCAAAGTCACTTTTGAGGCGAAACAGCCTTGGTAAGAAATCAAGTTGAAGACTTGAACAGAATTCAAGTCGATCTCTCAAGTCAAGACGTTACTAGGAAAAAAATAATGGCAACGATAGCGAGCATACTAACGAAGATGAAAATGTCGTTCTATCAACCTCTATTATAAAAGATGGTAATGGGAATAGGATAACTCTCAAAACAAACCATATCGGCCACAAAGCCAAGGATAATACTGCGAATAATCATTCTAGCAATTATAAAGGGGATTACAAGGTAAAGAAGCTCTACCCAAAACCAGCTTAAGATGACTGAACAATTTTAATCTTAGTTCAAAGCAAAGAAACCTACAGATTCACCACCGTATATCTCCCCATCCTTCCTCCTTTATCCGACCTCTTCCTTTGAAAATCCACCAGCAAGCTTCTAGGTAAGCCAGCTAACGCATTCATCTGGCGGGAGGTGGCGGAGCTTGGGATTTTGCGAAACCCACCCACACAAAAATTCCAACAGCAAGGATTACCCATCCAAATATGTCATACTTAAGGTCACTGCTCTTCTTCTTCTTGGTACTTTGCTGAGAAAGGAAGTACACATGACCACATAAAATCAGTACAAGTTAAACTGCAATGGCTCATCTCAGGCACTAGAGCAAGAAGACATTAAATGGTATATTGCAAGTTTTCAAATTCCAACAGCCAGCAGCTATTAAATGGTATACTTTAGCCATCCCTTAGATTCTTTGCCTTTGCTGTTGGGATTATTCATTAAGAAGTTTCCAGCTGCTTCTGGTAAAAACATCTACGAGACCTCTCGTTTATTGGTGATAAAACCCAAAATTGTTTTTAGATCTCTAGCTAAAGGTGATAAACCCCAAACTTGTGTTAAAAAAGCAAGAAGCTAATGGAGCTAAGGGCAGCGCAACAAATTACAGGTATAAAAAGAAAATTCCTGCTCGACAATTGAACAGGTAAAAAACTGTCATTAACTTACCTTAGTGCTAGTTGAAGTTGAAGGTCCAGGGGCCGACATAGCTTGTTGCAGGGGGGCGCTCTTGTGGATTTCCTTATGCAACTCAGGAGCCTAGGTGATGTTGAATTACACAAATCAATCCAGAAGCATAAGACCAAATTGCTATCACCCAAATGAATCAATCAAGATTGCCTGTTGCAGGTGTTGAAAGATTGTTACCTTTGCAGTGACCTCCAAGGATTTGCGGTAAAGCTCATTAGTTGGATCCTACAAAGATGATATACAGCGAGAATACACAAAACAAAAAATGATAGACAGTGAGATTAACAAACAACAGATAATATAAATACACAGTTGTTAATGTGTTATCAGAACATATTTTACAGCAAAAATTAACCTACCTCATCAGCAGCTTGTTGAAAATAAACTGTTGCTTTATCAAAAGAAACCTTGGCTTCATCTTCATCAGGAGTCATGAACGCCATCGAAGTATGAGCATTACCTAGGATCCACAGGCTTTCATGATGTTGGGGATTCACCGACAATGCCTCTTCCAACTTAGAGATTGCATCTACACAATTATATTAAGACGTCAATCACAAAACAGTAATACATAACAAAATACAGCTACTCTTATCCACTAGTAATCAAAATCTAATCGGAACCATTCTCTTTCACATCAATTGGCTAGTGGCGACATTAAATATCAAAACTACTGAGCACGGAGACATGATTATAAAATATATAAGCTAAAATGCTGAACTTATAATAGAGCTTAAACTTGTTCCTCCTTTCTTTCGGTTCCATTAAAGAAAGGAAAAAAGGAAAGTTAAGCCACGACCGACCTGGAAATAATTTGGAACCTGCAGAGCTACAGTTGTCTAACTAAAACTAAAAGACTTTCTACCTACGGCTCTCACTTGGAGTAGAGTTAGCTTTTAAGTTAAAAAAACTTAATAATAAATAAAATCCAAAGCTGGCGAGACAGCAATTATTGGTAGTACAAACACAAACCAACATAAACGGTTGAGCAAAATTTCACTTCAATATCAGCTGAACAGTTAAACCAACAAAGGAATCAATGAAATTCAATTACAAAATCCAATCTCCCCACCCCTTTTTGGGTCCAAAATAGAATAAAATTACAGGAGTACCTAAAATCATCTTCTTCGAGTCGGAAACGCTCTGAAACTGCGATAACTCCAGCAACGCTCCTCCCCATTTGTTCAGATTCTGTATTATAGCAACAAAAAGGAAAGAATAAATAAACTAACTGGAATCAAGCAACAGAAAGTAAAAGTTCTGGTTAATCGGTGCGAACCTCAACATCAGTGGGATTTAGGGCATAAGCTTCCTCGGCCTGCCTCCGGGCGCTCTCGAAATAGAGTATGCGATCAAACTCGTTTTGCATGATTTCAGGATTTGCGGGAAAACGTAAAAGAGAATAGTAATAACTGCAACTCTCTAAGTACCAGTTGTATTCAAAACTAGGGCTACTACTGTGAATGATGATATCAATTGAAGAAGAGAGAAGATCTATTATATACGGGAATACACTTCGATAAGGTACAAGTCTTTTTAAGCGTAAACCCAATTTTTAACCCAGGCCGACTGGGCTAGATCTGTTGGGACTCAACTGGGCCTGCCTGGTTTGGCCCTAAGTAGACTTTTCTGGCTGGTTGGCCCCACTATTTGTTCCTTATTCGAAAATCACCCCAATATTTGTGGAAAGCTATAAGTTAAACCCCTTATTCTCAAGACATATGATGAAATTAAAAAAAAGTTTAATGGAGGAAATCTGAACTTTCCGATCTGTATGCTGTGATTCTCTCGCACCTACTTTTTCCTGTAGCTTAATTCTTCCGATTTGTGCGAATCTAGAAGATTCTCCGAGGAGGAAGAGGTGCTTTGGCTCTTTACTGCTCCTTTCACTTTGTTATTTCTGCCATTGGTTTTTGATTACTTAGGTGTGCAGATTCGGTGTTTTTTTTTTTTTTTTCCCCTTCACTTTGTGTGTGGTTTGTTATGCCCAAACATTTGTAATTGTTGCTAATGTCTTTGACGTTGAAGATTTGAATTAGTCCTGTCTCGACTATCGTAGTGATGATGCTGCATTTCTCATGTTGTTGATTAGATGCTTGATACCTTCATGTCTAATATCTGAAGAATAGCTGCTTTATGTTTGATGGAATCTTCCATTGAGAGATGAAGCTTTGAACATATTTTCAATGATTTCTTTGTTATTTACCACCTTGTATGGTTTCTGGTCAAATAATTCCAAGTTGATTGTCTCTTAATCCCAATGAAATTGATATTTTAACTCTGATATTGCCTCACATCTTTAGATGTCTCACCCAAGAGTCCTAGGTGGGTAGTTTCTCAACCGATATATATAGTTCAGGTAGCTCAAGGGTTAGAAGGAATGAAGACCGGCAAGTTACTTATTATCATAGGCCTAGCTGCGATGTTGTAGTTTCGTAGAAGCAAGAGATTATTGTTATTCTCATTTGATTCGTAGGCTAAGACCCGCTAATTAGTTTCAGATTCCCCATCTCTCAGTTCTCTCGTCTTTCGGCTGTCTACAAGGTTGTACACATTTTCCATTTTTGAATGCCTATGTCAAGAAAAGTAAATTATTTCTCTTGGTTAGCTGACATTGACGTAGAGAGTCAGACATTCCCTTTTCTTTTATCCTGTGTTAGAGACTGCCTTTATATGCTTTGCTTGTACGGGCTAATCAGCAGGCAGTTCCATTCTCTGTCTACTTTTCCCTCATGTTTGGGTATTTAAATTGTACTTGATTCTAAATAACAGTTGTGAGAGGCATGAAGGATACTTTGCATTTGAAATTTTCAATGCAGATTTATTTGATTTTGGGCCTTCAGTGATACTTAAAACAGAAAACAAGCATCATAATTGCAAAGTACTATCAGAAATAATATATCATCATCAATATTCTATACACTTTGATAATATCTCATTTAGGGCAGTACAGTTAGTCCACCTTGTATCATACGGTGCTTAGATGAGCTAGTAAAATTCAACTTTAAGATGATTACACTTTGACTGATTGGTTTCGTGGTTTCATTTGTGTTGGTTGACATTTCAGAAGGAAACTCGGATGGAAGGATTAATTAGTGCCAGGGTGATTCCAGTTCGTCCACATTGTATACAACAGAATCCTCTCTGTAGGCTACATCCATTCCCACTTCCAAGAATGAAGACCATTGGCACCTTTAGTAATGGTAAATCTCTCGCAATGGGGAATTCCAAACCATTCCCTCCCTTAAATGCTTCTGTTCAGCCCGTGGAGGTCCCACAAGGGGGTCACTTTGATAACACATTGCCGTCAAAAGGTAAAAATCGGAGGTCTGAGAGAGACATCTAGTAATATTAATCCTTGTGATGCTTTCAGCTCTATATTGCATTTGTTAGTTTAATGGATTTTATATGTCAATTCAAGGCGTTATTAATCTATAAACGAACATTGGAGGGAGTAACAAAACCTAACAGTTACAGTTTCAGAGTTTCTTTTTATCTGGCTAATTGTTGCATTCTTTCAATTTGTAAGAGGTCCTTGAGGTTTGGCGCAATGCCGATGCTGTGTGCTTTGATGTGGACAGTACAGTGTGCCTAGATGAGGGCATTGATGAACTTGCTGAGTTTTGTGGAGCTGGACAGGCTGTTGCAGAATGGACTGCTAGGTTATATAGATGCCTTATGTTTAGAATAGATTACCAGTTAAAATACCTATAGAGTTGAATTCATTATCTACACTTGGGCATATTCATAGGGCAATGAGTGGTTCTGTTCCTTTCGAGGAGGCCTTGGCTGCAAGGTTGTCCCTATTTAACCCATCACTCTCCCAGCTTCAGGACTTCCTTCAAAAGCGACCACCGCGGTAAGAATGCTCATCAGGTGATTGTTGTAAATTGTTTTAAGTTCTTTTTGGCAGTTTGGAGTTCCATACGCATCTTTAACCTTGTTTATAAATGGTGCATGCTGTCTGAAGTGTCTTAACATGCAATATGGATCAACACGCTGGGATCTCAGTTTATGTGGTTTAACTGGTATCTTCTTACAGAATTTCTCCTGGGATTGATGAGCTAGTCAAGAAGTTGAAGGCTAAGAGTATTGATGTATACTTAATCTCAGGAGGCTTTCGTCAAATGATCAATGTAAGTGATTATTTTCTCAATTAACTAGTTAATCTTGTCCTTAGACCCAGAAAACATATCAGTTGTTTTTTTATTGATTTTTAAATTCTTGTTGATTTGATATATTTGGTTGCCTATTGGTCGGTAGTAATAGTAGTTTCTATGTCAGTAAAAAGGCCTCCTCTAGTTGAAATTTGCAATTTAGTTCATTGATCGGCATCTTTTTTCTTTCATTGCCGAAGTCAATCCTCAGAAACCTGATCTGATCTGCAATATGGTTTCTTTGCTTAAATATTTACTATTTGCTCTGTAGTTGGTAAAGTCCAGTTTCACTGATGTTATTTTATTGGCACTTGTATTGTTTAAAGTCTTCGGATTGTTACTCTTCTGGCCTCAAACACTGAATTTGATTATACTACATGCATTTCTTGACAGCCTGTTGCGTCAATTCTCGGAATTCCGCTTGACCATATTTTTGCCAATCGACTTCTTTTTGGAAGTTCTGGAGAGTTTTTGGGATTCGACATAAATGAACCAACTTCCAGGAGTGGAGGAAAAGCTACTGCTGTTCAGCAGCTAAAGAATGTGAGTTTTAAACTTAAACCGATCCTGTATTGTGCGGCGAGTTTGGGTCTATTGAACTAATAAATATACTTTTTATCCTTTTGTTCAGGTGAAGGGATACAAATCAATGGTGATGATTGGGGATGGTGCAACTGATCTCGAGGTAAAATGTTTTTATTTCACCTGCTTCTCTCGTCTCCCTCTGATGAAGTTAACCTGATTCGAGGAAATTAAAAATTGGTTTTTTTAATCATTTATTTGTCCTTTGTGTATGTGCACACACAATAGCAAGAAAGACAGCGTCATTTTCATTGTTAGTATAATAATAACTTTATTCTTAATGTACCAATGTCCATTATTTAGATATTTGCTATAAATGTGAATACGCCCGTTAGAAAAGAACTGCCTAAAGCTCCAAATTTTAATAAACTCCAGATTAGTATTAAGCAAATTAGTTTTCAAAGTTTAACCGCTATCCATCATACTCAGAATGTCGAAGAATATCTTTCTTAACTGTGGCATCCATCCATGCACGTAGAAATGTTTGATAAGCTTGTATACTTTAATCTTTTCTTACAAAATCTTCCTTTTGGGCTGCTGGTTATTAGGCTCGCCAGCCAGGAGGTGCGGACATTTTCATTTGTTATGCTGGGGTTCAACTTCGGGAGAAGGTTGCATCTAGTGCTGATTGGCTGGTGTTCAATTTCAAGGACCTGATTAATACATTGTGAGAAGCATGCCTGCTATTAAAATTTCCTTCTTGCTCCCAAGCAAAAATAATTGGTTTGCTATGCCGGTTCGTTGTTGTTTGTGATGCTAGAGGCCATTGATACCACAACTTCAGGTGTTTTGGGTGCATAAACATTTACGTTGGTAGCTCATCTCAAAAGTATTAATAAGTGTTTGCAGCTGATAAGCACATATCATTCAGGCTTCAGGGTAAGATTTAGAATTTGGTCCTGGGTGAAAGAGATGGTTATTGTGATTGACTCAATTTTGCTGTTAATAGGTTCTACACCTGAGTTTTGGACGATTATATTTTTGATCTTCAATTCTATATTGAAATTTTTGGTCGAAATGTAAAATACAAACCTTAGTCAAGGATCCTTTTGCTAATTGTGCTTTCTGTATTATGGTGGGATTTGAAAGTTTTTTTGGGTATATTTTGACCGTGCTCTCTCTGTTCTAAAAAAATAGTCCACATCAAGATTTGAGATGTGTACTAGTTTTAGTACAAAATTAAAAACTCAATGTAATATTAGTACAAAATTTAAAATTCAATGTGATCAATTTTTTGGGACATACGGTATAATAAATATCTTATTGGTTTAAGATATGCTGGGACAGTCCATGCAAAACTTGACAAAAGATCTATTAAATGTGGGCAGAGACAAAATTTGAGTCATAAAACCAAGTAGACTCAACTAAGTGCAAATTACTATAAAACAACACCAATTATCCCCATTGACTTACAGCATGCAACATACGGTGGCTTGGCAAAGCTTCAAACATTATCATCCTTTGGATAGCTGACTACCCGCAGTGTTATTTCTAGGAATTCAGAGTATCATGACGATAATTTTATTCAAGTTAAAACGATTACAAGTCATTATTACAAAAAGTTGATATGGGCATCCTCAAGGACCTCAACTATTAATATATCTTCTCGAACTTAAAAAAATACTATAAAATCAACCGCATATGCAGATTACACTTATTGATTCCTTCTCTTTTTTTTCCCAGTTTCATAATCGCTGTTTAAATGGGTTATTCTTTCATCTGAATCCAACGTATACATTATCGAGACTGACTAGTAGTGAATAGTAGTAGCCATTACCCCATCATTGTGCGAAACTGTAACAAAAACTAAATTAGCAGTGCAAGATAGAGAAAGGAAACCAATCATTCAAGCTCGAATGGTCGCGAAATTTAAATGTGTTGCCTCTAATTCTGGGGACACCTCTACTATTATACAAAGGTGGTAGTTTAGATTTGATCATGTTCCGTAATCTCATCACACCATAACCCATGTTCTCGAGAGCAGATCGTCTGTCTACTCTTCTCCTGTCTTAGCCTGTCCAGGAGCATAAACGACAACGTTCCACTTACAGACAGTATTCTATTTTACTACTATTTTATCCATTTTTCTTACTTTCTAAGTTTTGACTCGGTGAATTTTTATCCGCCGGCCGCTCTCACTGGTCTCGTTGCTCCGTTCCGCCTCCTCTGAGTTCGTCTCTTCCGACCCTCACCTCAGACGAAGTAAAATTATTACCCTCATCTTCTCCTTCTCCCTCACTCTAATCTTATTTTATAGTATTAAAGTGCCGTAAATCGTAATGTCGTAGCCATTCATTGTTGGAAAGAGGCAAGTCCGTTCCTTCCAAATACCTGAATTGAGTGTTGATGTCTATTGAAGACGATTTCATGAAGTTGAAATTGAATGATGAATCTATGATTGTTGATGAATATATTCATTCCGGTAATGGGGGAGTTTGCTTTCGTAAAATGATGGAAGGTTTTTTATTCTTAGGTCTTCCCAAATCCCAGTCCAATTTCATTACTGTGTCAAATTGCATCTGGGAATTTTTAACACGGATGGTCTTAGTAACCAAAGGGGAACCATATTCGTCCCTTCAAATTCAAAGGGTCTAACCAATTTTCCCGATGAGGTCAAAGAGACGCATTTGATAGTTATACTTATTAAGATAATTCTGATTTTGTGCATCTTTAAGTGAAAAAGGGATCTGGTTCAACCCAATTAATTGATTAAAAAGTTGACAGTAACTTTGATGATTAAAGAATGACTTCGAGGAGGTGAATTAATTTCAAGTTTGGACATTATTTTGGGGATAGATTATAGTGAAAATATACAAATGCTTGATTTTTGATACTGGGACGGGATATAGATGTGCTTGCAGCAGTATGATGACTTTGGCAATAAAAGAACGGGAAAACAAAAAATATTTATGCTACCACCCCGCCACCACATCATCACCACCTACTACATTATCACTAATTATGCTAATTTATAATTACATTAGTACCAAATAGAATGTTCGGATAAATAAATGAAAAGAATTTTGAATCACATTGTTGCATTGCATCTACTTCCTCCGTCTCTCACTAACAAATTTGATAATTATATTAAGACGAGTAATAATTATAAGATTTTCAAGTTTAATGATAATCGGTTGTGCAAGGAAGAAGGGCAGTGAGTAAACTGTAAATAAAGTAAGACAAATGACAGGGAACTTTGGGCCCTGTAAGTTTTATAGTACCAGAGTTAAAGGCCCAAGTGACCCATAGCCTTTTGAAATTTTGTTTGAATTTCTTTCAGTCCCACAAATGGTGATCCGTATTAATGAGAAATCACCAGCCGACAAAGCTAGCGGTTCACGAAATTAGCGTGACACCCCATTTTAGTATTTTACTACCTCCCCCCTTCCATTTTGCCTGTCGTGAACAACACGCGGCAAATATTTTTTTAGATTTAAAAGATTCTCCCAATCTTTTGTTATGATTTTTATGAAATTGGACGATCGATTGTTATGAAAAATAATAAAATGTTAGTATTTATTTTACAATAATTATTTAATTTGTAAATATTATTATTTTTTAATCATAATTTGTTATGATTGGTTAATAAAACTTTAAACCGATTAATTATTGCTGAAAAAAAAATAAATATGTGGTAGGTATCAACAAATGAGAAGAAAATCTAATTTAGTGGATATACTTGACGCGCGTGTGAATACACCGATCTCATAACCAAAACATAAACATCCTTCCATCTCTCGTTCGGCGGAAAAAGAAATTCAAAACTGCAGTGGCAGTGATGTAAATAAATGCAAAACAGACGGGTATTTTCAAGGTCACAACCGGTATAATATAAGTAGGGAAAAATCTCCGTTGGCTATTCCTTTCCTCCTCTGTCGCATCTTCCGCCGAGGAGATAAAGGTGCGTCTCTCTCTCTCTCTCTCTCTCTCTCTCTCTCACACACACACACACACTTCCACGTCTGATACGTGCTCCACTACTTGTATTTGCCTTCGTTGACTCGGATCCCCAAAATCTAGAGGTTAATTTTTTCAAACTACCGGCCACTCTAATTAGGGCTAAATTTGTTGCAAGTTTACTGACATTTCGGTTCGTCAAAATGCCCCGAATTTTTGCGTTTATGCTTTTCCTTTTGACTGTTTTCTTTTGTTAGCTGCATTTCATCTGTGATAATTTTGGTGATGATAGTGTGTACAATCAATGTCTTGGGGGGCATTACTCTTGGAATCATTGCTTGTTAGACTTTTATAAATCTTTGTTAAGGTTGATGTTTTTATAGTTCTGCATAATGTTCCTTCTGTTTTGGAAGTACTGAATTGTCTAATTTTGGATGAAAGTTGTAAACCACCACACTTAAGATACTATTGAGAGTTAAAGAATGCAGAAACTATTATCTGTGTAGGGTGGGGTATTGAGAGTCAAACTATGTAGAAACTATTAATTTTGTTGGACAAAGTGTGATGAGAACGGTGCAGTATGTAGCAATTAGCATAGATGCGTTCGGATAGTGATCCTGCTCCTTAGAAATTACTCATCGAATTATCCTCAGCTTGTACTTCCCATCTACATTTTCTTGCTGCATTTTGTGGCATAGCTCAGCCCCTGCTTATTAGATAGCTATACTTTAGCTGATCATTGGTACATTTTTTTAATTTTCTAGATCCTGCACTATGGAGACTCTGAACAGCTACTGGCAGTTTGGTGATGATCTTCGAGGACAGGCTAAAGTTTCAGAGGATCAAAAGTGGTTAGTGGCTGCTTCTAAGCTGGCTGAACAGACTAGGTTGAAGGGTGAGCGACGTAATAATCTCGATCTCTCTAAAACCCCCGGTGAAATGAGGCCTAGGCATTACGTTGTTGGATTTCAGGAAGATAATAAGTTCGAAACCCTTAACTTTAGCATGTTGAATTTGGAGACAAAAATGAATGACGGTTTCGGTAGAAATCCTGCGGGGAATGGGATGTACAATATTAATATCAATACTTTGTATCCAAAGGCCAGTACCAACAACATTGGAAATATCACTGGTACCGGCAAGTACATTTTGAACAGCAGTAGCAAGGAACACAACATTAATGGGATTAATACTAACCACAGCAACAATGAGAGCATGAATGCAAACTTGACTGATAAAAGATTCAAGACGCTGCCTGCTGCCGAGACACTCCCTAGGAATGAGGTTCTTGGGGGATACATCTTTGTTTGTAACAATGACACCATGCAGGAAGATCTAAAGCGCCAACTCTTCGGTAATTGCGCATCTCTCTTACTTTAGAACCTTTGAAAACAAGCTGGTAGGAACTTGTGTTGGAACGGCAGTTGTTGTCTGTTCCTTTCCCATTTGATCCATTCAAATGTGTTGGGGGTTTGCATCTTTGTTAATTTTGCAATTCAGTATGGGATAAACTAGTATTGGTTCTCGATGGCTTTTCTTCTCTTTGCCACAGTGTCGCATCTCCTTTTCCAAAATTATGTTCAAAATGACAGGCAAATTTTGAAAGTGCTAAAGACTTAATTGAAACATTCGTGCCATTGGCCGCCCTTTCTTTTATGGGTTCGTAGTGGTACTGTTTTTCTTTACATTTTTGTGTTTGGAAGTGTTTATTAAATTGTCTGGGTGCAATTTCAAGTTATCAGGTAGTGACAAGTGACTGCATGTTACTGATATCTTATGTAAAAATCTCCATCCTTTAGCAATTGGAATATGACTCATGTTTTGAGCTCTTTTGCAGGTCTACCACCTAGATACAGAGACTCTGTGAGGGCCATAACCCCAGGCTTACCTCTGTTTCTTTACAATTACACTACTCATCAGTTGCACGGTATATTTGAGGTGGGCCGGTATTTCTTCTTTGTGCTTCTTAAATTGTTTATTATCGACTAGTTTTCCTAATAACCTGAATTGATCTGGGCTCAAGCAACCGATTATGTGATGTTCTTCTTGATGTTTACAGTTGTATGTATAGTTGTAAGGATGCAAAGTTCTCTAAGATCAAGTCCTTGACCACATATTCTTACTGATGTTCTTAGATTGATTTTTGAACTTTTCGTTTTAGTCATGATTGATCTACGCTTCACAAGTCATTATTTTTTAATGTATGTATTTTTTGGTTTTGGGTTGGGAAACTTTTCATTTCTCAGGCATCAACTTTTGGGGGTTCCAACATTGATCCTACAGCTTGGGAAGATAAGAAATGTAAAGGCGAGTCCAGATTCCCTGCACAGGTAAGTCAAGGGTGTGTAGATCCTAAATTTTGTATTTCTCTGGTTTTAAGATGGGTTATTGTTTTAGTTTGAGAAACCATTTTTTCACTAATGCCATCTATCAGGTGAGAATCCGCATCAGGAAACTCTGCAAACCTCTGGAGGAAGATGCTTTTAGACCAGTCTTGCATCATTATGATGGTCCCAAGTTTCGTCTTGAGTTGTCTGTGCCCGAGGTATGTCAACGGTTTTATGTTTGTGATATCATTAGTTTCTCAATCCCTCTCTTTTTGGCTTCCTGCCTACAAAAAATTCGAATAATCTTGGAGTTTCTGAATGCTGCAGACCTTGGACTTGCTGGACCTCTGCGAGCAAGCAGGTGTCTAGGAACTGCCTTGTTTGTCTGCATTTGTCGGGTACTACTAGGGTATGCTTGATAAGAAGGGGGTGTCGCATACCGGTGTGAATTTGTAGGTTTGCTGTGCCGGGATGTTCAAAATGCTTTTCACGATTTTCCAAAAAAGCGCAAGCTTGGTGGGGAGTGAGAGGGGTAATCCTGGTTGTGTGTAATGTCAGAAAGAAGTAGGATTGGTGTTGGCCTGGTGAGTGGCCAAATAAGTTTAGAATTGTGCTGTTTCTGTAATATGGTGTTGACTGTCCTATGTTAGTTTTGAACTGCTGTCGAAGAAGAGTGTTGTTGTGGTGTAATGTAAACAACCGTGTATAAACCCTTAAAACAAACATGAGGGTGGATGAAAAAAGCCATTTGAAAAGATGAAAGTCCTCAAAAGATGACTATCTGTTATGGCTTCCATTTTCTGCTGTTACTAATGTTGGAGTTTTCCTTGGATAATTTCCTTTGATTCTCTCCATTGCTTCCTCCCCCTTGCTGATTAGTTGTTAAATTTATTTCTCATAATGATGTTGGGAATTTTCATTGATCAATATCCTAAAGTGGAGTATCGGTATTCTTTTCACTTTACAAGTTAATTAAATCTTCAAAAGGATTAATCAGCCCCAGATGAGATTGTGAACCTTAAAAATGACTGGAAATCATTTCACCAGTAACTGTAGTAATGTTTGGTTTTATAATGATTTAAAAGATGATACTGTAGTAGTAATTTATTAGCGTTAAGTAAATTTGTTTTGAGGAAGTATTTCGCGCGTTTCGAGGTTTTAAGGCCGGCCGGAACGCAACTTTATTACCCTCACCCGGGCGTCTTGAGTGACAGAGAGGCAGAGCTCATATTCAAAGTTCAAAAATCCTCTCTTGATTCCCTAATTCCATCTCTCTCTCGGCCTCTACCACAGTCAAGAGTACAAGTTTCAGGATTCTTCTCCGGCCAAAGAAGATACCCGAAACGGATAAAAGAGATGTTGGGAGTTAATCGATACATTGTAAAGTTGAAGGACTTAAGCAGCTTTAGAAATCGCCGATCACTGAACTTCATCGGCGTTGTGGTTGAGTACTCCGTTGCCCGTAGGAGTACCGGCACTGGTCCGTTCTTTTCTTCTTCCTCTCCTATATTTTCCAACCTCCTGCTGTGTTTTTTCTTAACCTCCTCATAAAATTAAAATAGTTTGAAAAGGCATAATTTTTGCATTTCCCCATGACTTGACTATTTTTAATCTGTAATTTTACTTGATCATCAAACTCATGTGCCTCTTTTTCAAAAAAAAAAAAAAAGAAAATTTTTCGCACATCAGTCAGCAACTGATATTGTCTTAGATTTCGGAAAAGATTGAAACTTTTTAGGTGGGATTTTCTATCACTGCAGGATTCGTGAGAATAATAGGCCGGAAATTGCTTTATACAAACCCCGAATAACTTGATTTGCATACTTTCGCGAATAATTGTAGTTTTCAAGTTGATTTCAAGGTTGCTGCACTATTTTTTTTTCCCTTTCCTTTTTTAAAACGGATTCAGATTACTGCACGATACTGAAGATAATTGATCAGCACCAACAGAGTCCGGAGTTGTGTGTTAACATCTTTATGAGAAGCATAGATCAACTTCCTCATATCCGTGCCCACAAAGACATTATTCTCCTTTGTGATTTTAAGGTACCATATTTTACTTAACCATATTTTAGCAAAACCACCTAGCTTAATTTATTTACTTTTCTTTAACACTCAAACTGGGGCTTCGGTTGGTTCTGTTTGAAAACTATTCAGGTTGAATCCTTTAATGACACTGATTGTGCTGTGTATGACCACAAGAAGTCTTCATTTGCATTGTTTGATGGAGATGTTACCAATGATTTCACCCCGTATCAAGCCTCTCCAACATTTTACTTGGCACCCTCAGATGCTGAATTTGTTAGACGCTTGAGGAACTGGTCCCACATTACCCCTTTTGATGCTGGTGTGTGTCATCCTGAAATATATGATATGTTTACTACTCAGATGCAGGAGTAATTTTTAATCGCTTTCATCATTTGTCACTTTCAGTTTTGTTTCTGTTACTGGAATTTTAAAGGTTCTTCATGTTGCAATTAAATATGTTCAAATCTCCTACTTTAACCTTTTGGATATTGCTGTCAACTTGTACTTGCAGATTTCTAGATCTTCGATGTAATATGTTGTACCATGTATGTATTAATTTCAGGCATCAGTAATTATGCTGTATCATTAAAAGACCTCGGAGGACGTGATTTCATTGATTTAGTGTGCAAGGTAGCTTGTAGTTTAACCTTTGGTATCATTTGCTTCAATATTTTACATCATCCCATTTTTTGTTCTAATCGACTGTTTGAATGAAAGGTTTTGCATGTTTCTGAAGTATCCAGTGGCAAATGGATGTTATTCGTGTGGGATGGGACAGATATTCCTGCTCTAGAATTTAGCACAAAGTAAGATCTTGCTATGGCTTTCTCATGTTACATGGCTTCGAATTCTTTCGCTGCATATGTCCTTGTTACACAAGAGGTGGAAAACAGAAGATGAAAAAGCCAAACTTGAACAAGTCTACTTCCTCTTATTCTCCTTTATTTGAACTTTGTAACTCCATTACAGAAATTCTATCCCATGTTTTATTTTGCAATCGAATTTTTTCAGTGCAAAAGTTTAAGATGAGCAAAAATGAGCAAAATATCTGATAATAAGATTATTACATTGAATTAAGACAGTCAAAGATTTAAGGATCTGTAAGTTTTGATTAAAATGAATTCTGGAAAACAGGAGAGTGTGACAAAAATTTTCCTGATAACAAAATGAGTGTTCATATTATCACCTTGGGCAGTATCCTGCTTAGAGGTTTGCATGAGTTATTTGATTGCGTCCCTTTTATTTTTGTGACCACTTATTGACGGAAAAGACTAATACAATGTCATGGTGGGGCGTTTATCTGTGTAGGCTTGGAGCTGATGAGTTGAATCCAGTACCACTACAAGTTGAACCGATGATTTTGCCTGCTAGTGTTCTGTCTAAGTTTCCTTGTATTGGGACTGTGCTTAGAATTGTGATTGACGAATGCTATGAGAATTTTGGTTGCCATTTCAAAATTGTGAACGGATGGGTAAGAATTCGGAATCTTCACTGTAGAACTGTTTCTGGTTTGTGGAAAGGTGTTTGGACTGGAACAACTAAAGTTCGACATTTGTCTGAAGATGACAACAGTGTCACTGCAGTCATGAGGTATCTCGTCCATTTTTTGATGGTGACAAACAGTTAAAGGAGAAGGGTCAATACATTATTTTTCCATTACTTCCCTTAATGTTTCAATGCTTTCTGGGTTTTATGTGCCAGGAAGTATACTGAAAGATCAATGAATTACTTGCCCCCCCATACTAGTTCTAATCCATTAACTGGTATGTTATACTCTTTTTAGTATTGAACTTTGTTTTAGAAGCTGTGATTGTACTAGCTTTTTTTTCCCTTACAGAAATACAAGTAGGTTGAGATACGAAGTTTATTTAACAAAATAACATACTGTTCAGATGTGGAAGAAAATGTGCAAACTGGTTTTACAACCATAATGAAACTTCTCACGTCACCTGTGGTAATTAACTCTATGAAAATGTTTTCCGTGGTTACTGCATGTACCTGTTAATGTATGTTTCCCTCAGTTTCTGTTGGAAAAAACTGCAGGTTCACGGAAAAGTTAAGTGCATTGTCCGTTTTGTGGCTGTTCATCCTTCAGAAGCAAAAGACATAATGTTACCTAATGGAGAATATAGGATGATGAGGGTAACGGTAGAGGATCCAACTGCAAGAATCCATGCATCGCTGTCTTCAGAAGATGCGGTATGTAGTGTAGAACTAAGGTTGCTGCAGTTGAGAGCAGTTTAATGCTTTTATTGTGGAATGTGCAATGAATTCAATTCCAATGCTGCTTCATCTTCAGGTTATTTTCTTTGGAGGGCATCCGGAAACTGGAGAAGTTGCTAACAAGATGAGTAAGTTGCTTGGAATCTCGGCAGAAACTGGGACGAACAGCATGCGAAATCCACCATGGACTGAGTGCTGTGTTGGATTCAGTTCGTTGGATGAAAGTAATGTTATTGGAAGCAGGCAGTATTACATATGCAACACCAAACTAGTTTAGGACTAGAAGTGTAGGTTACATGATTGTACATGGTAGTTTTTGTGAAGCGAATTCTAGAAATAATTTGCGCTTCTTTTCTTAGTATGTATGTATTTTGTGTAGAAGCTGGAAATGACATTGCTCTGGGATTGCTGAAGCAATATATAGCATAGAGCACGTGACATAATCGATTTTGGTCAGCAAAAAAACAATTGTGTTGGGTGATGCGATAAAGATAGATGAACATCATTCACAAAATTTGTGAATGTGATTATTTCCTACATGAATATGAATGTTTTCCTGATTTTGGAGGCAAAACTCCAAATATCTGTTGTTCATTTTGTTATCTCGGCCATTCGCCAAATTATTAGAAGTATTTTTTATTATTCAAATAAAAAAAAAATACACTACTAATTCAGGCGAGCGAAAGTCAAAAGGGGAAAATGAAATGGCGGAAAACGGCTGCCGTGGGTACGGTTTGTGGTCACCAACAATTCTACGTTCCAGTTCTAGTCTACCACTTCCCTTTGAATTCACAAAAAATCCAACGAAAGCTTCCGATCACTGAATAGCGCCGATCGGAATCTAACAAATACGGCTCACTCGCATATGGCTTCTTCAATCTCTCTTTCTCCGGTTCCCCTCCGTTTGGTCTCTGACCACCACTGTCGCAGCTGCTACGTGGCGTCGTTCCGTTCGCCTCGTTTTTCCGATCAGCAGCCGCCTATTCACCGGAGGAAGAGGAGATTCCGAGTATCATTCTCCACTCTGGAAGCAGCAGCATCCTCCTTGCCGGAGGTGTTTGAATTTCGTAATTTGGATGCTGATGACTTTAGGCATCCACTTGACAGACAGGTCTAAAATCACTTCCCTAACAATCATCATCTCCTCCTAATTTCAATTCATTCCGCTTCATTTTACAAATACAGTTTTGAGTTTGTGCAGAACACCCTACTTCTCAGGGCAATTCCTGGTTTGAAGGACATTGGAAAAGCTCTGTTGGGTACCAATCTTACTTCCTTCCTCCATCAAGTTTCTTTCCCTTCTATTTCCTCCTTCCTTCCTTCTTTTGTTGGTGTTTAACGCTTTGAGAAACCACACAGGAACTGTTGCTGAACAAGTCATGCTCTTGGAGAACATTGCAACTTCTATTCTTGTTACTGAAAGCCAGGTTACTTCCGTGTTAACTCGTCCTGGAATTTATTTCCCTGTTAGTTTTTACTTTTTCTTTTTCGGTTTTGGGATCTCCAACATTTAATAATTTCTAATATGCGTCCAGTTTTTTTTTATAGGATGTCATGCTTTGGCCTCTAATTATCGTGTTTGAGCTGTAGCAATTTGTTTAAGATATCGCGGTTGGATTTGCCGATTTGCTGTATGTTTCATGAAGAAGTAATAATGTTGCTTTCAAATAATTTCCTTTGTTTCTTTATCAGCATGAGGTTTCTGTTGTGATGTCATGTGTGTTTTAACCTAGCATGATGGCTAACTAGGATCCACATTACCGACTTACATACTAAGGATAAAGCCTTGGTCAATTTTGCTGTTGTTGTCTTTTTGATTTGTGGTCTTGCAATAAAACTTCCCTTGCCCTTCTTCTAGTTTTTCAACTGTAAAAGAGACACACCATTATAAATATTTTAGTTAATATTGACATAGATAGTTAATTGGTAATATGCAATGCTCCAGTTTTTGATAGTCTGATGTGGGTTTTCTTGTTGGAACAGCTCCCAGAACTTTATTCCTTGATGAATCAGGCCTCCAAAATTTTGAATATTGAAGCTCCTGACCTGTACGTGCGTCAAAGTCCTGTTCCCAATGCTTACACCCTCGCTGTCAGTGGTAAAAAACCATTCATTGTTGTTCACACAAGCCTCATTGAGCTCCTTACGAGAAAGGAGTTGCAGGTTTTCACTCTTTTCTTTTCCCTGCAAGCCTGCATTTTCTTTTGTGTGCATTATGGCTCCCTAACCTCTGTGGGAGATTCAGCATGGGTTTGTTTGTTCACTTGAGCAAAATATTTCCCTTGAATGCAAGGATTTCGATACGTCTTCCAGTCACTTTTATTTTATATACATTGATGAACTTTTCCCTTGATGATTCAAAGTAGATTTGAGGAAAAAGTTTTCCTGTGTGATATCCAGGCTGTCTTAGCTCACGAGTTGGGTCATCTGAAATGTGACCACGGTGTTTGGCTGACATTTGCAAATCTTTTAACCCTTGGTGCCTACAATGTTCCAGGTATATACGTGACGTGAGCACAACTTTTTTGCTAATGGGTTGCTTCCACCCTAGGTTTGCATGGAACATTTACTGTTTCATTTCTGGATACAAGTTGTATTTGCCTAGTGTTTCATGCTTGTCTACAGTCATCTACTGGGCTCTGAAAAATGATAGTACAAATTTTCAGGTTTTGGTGGTCTAATAGCCCAAAGGTTAGAAGAACAACTCTTCCGCTGGCTTCGAGCAGCAGAACTCACCTGCGATCGCGCAGCTCTTCTTGTTGCTCAAGATCCAAAGGTACAGAAACTTGAAACATTGTTTGATGGTATTATTGGGAACTTTGCATGCAACATAGGATTGAATTTTTGCTTATGATTCCTACAAGAGGTGGTCATCTCTGTTCTCATGAAATTAGCCGGTGGTTGCCCCTCTTTGGCTGATCAACTAAACGTGGATGCGTTTTTGGAGCAAGCTCGATCTTATGACAAGGCTTCTTCAAGCCCGGTTGGGTGGTATATAGCGTATGTCAGAGCATTTTTGCTAGCACTACGTTCTTTATTCACTGTTTCTATTATCTAAATATTTGATTATCCTTCCTCCCAGAAATGCTCAGACCAGGCAACTTTCACATCCTCTTCCTGTTTTACGTGCACGAGAAATTGATGAATGGTCAAGAAGTCCAGAGTACAAAGGTCTTCTGAAAAGGGCAGTGTCTGCCAAATCTGTGCAAAAGTAGAATTTAAAGGAGATGGTTAGTAACAGTAAATAGAACGGGTATGTGCTATTGGAATGGTGCTTCTGTTCATCCCTTTTTGGCATTAGCCTTATTCCTTGCTATATCTTTTGAAAGGTTTCATTAGGGGTCTCCAGTTATGCTTATCCATAAACTATCATTTTAATTGAGGATTACCTTACATATGTTGAGAATATGATGTGTTTATGTTATTAAGTCCTTTTATTTAACTTCACATTATTTTGATTCCTTCTAATTATTTCCCTCCTACTTTATTAGATAGCTGGAGCCATAAGCGGGGGAATTGAGGATATAATCAGTTCGTTTACAAATCGATGCTTGCTGTATATTCATGGAAGCTCTTGTGCTGAAACTTGGATCAGTAGTTTTCTTCAGCTTATTGGTTTACTTAGCAACTTGATGTTCAAAAACACATCTGGTCCTGAAGTCAGCCCTCAATCATTTTGCCCCTTACGAAAGGTATAATGGAGGGAGGAAAAAAGCAAAGGTAACAAAACCTGCAGTTTAGCACAAAACTTGTATTCTACTGTTTGTATACCTTTTCTGAAGAATACAGTTTATAGACTGAAATCTATGTACTTTTGTTAAAGATACATCCACATTACTGTAAAGTTTTGTATGTGGAAAGCCCTAAGCTTTTCATGTGGTAAATTTTCAGTTGTTCAGGTGAAAACTGGTGTGTTCATGCAAGTGCTAGTCTCTCAGAAATGTTTGGCCACAGATAGGATGAGAGAAAACGAGCAAGTTCTGTCAGAAAATTTTTCGGCTGTTTTAGATTTGGAGCCAAGTCTCGTTATGAATGAGAAAAGTGCTGTGGAAAAACCAGTTGCACCTTAGCGTAAACCATTACATGAAAGAATCCAGAATTTTCATCACAAACACCAAGATAAGAACAGGAAGCATATGCTTTTCAACCAATTTACATTCAAATGAATTTCTTCCAGTTGCTCGTTCACTGAAACTACGTGAGGCTTATGGCCAGGATTTGTATTTCAATACATTGCTCATAGAACATGGTTGTTATTGTGGAAGATGATTCCACATTATTAGACACTGTATGAACTTGCCAGTCACTACATAGAATCATACACCGAAATCCTTGTCCACAAATAGAAATAATGTTAGAAGCACGATCCAAGTTCCAGTGAAATAAATGTTCAATGAAAACCTACTCGCACCAAAATCATGACATGAAAGTCAAAAGATTCCAACTTTATTCTTTTTAGACTTGAGCCGCGGAAGCTAATTGTAACAGGACTCGATCGTCAACCCATACCAGTTTGCAAATCCATTACCTTCGCTCTCTTGCATCACCCAAACTGAAACTCACATCGTAATTGGAGCCCTCTGTTAAGTGTTCTTGCTGTTTATACTCCGGCTCCTGCAGATAGAAGCTCTACTGCAGTATTGCCTTCGGGGACACACAAATTTTTGGAGTCAATGTATCTAATTGTTTTTTATTCCTGACCAATCTGGTTATGCAGATTCAGTAACACTAGGCTCTGAATGAAGCAGGACTCCCGCCAGCCATACCATTGGCAAATGCCGGTCCCGAATCAAATCCTCCAGGTAATAGAAGATTACCTTGACACTTCAATATAAGGTTGTCAATCACGGGCCAAGATGTAGTAGAATTGGAATCTCCTCGATCAAATGTTTGGCTTGAAAGCACTAGCTTTACAAGCTCTCCATCTCCCCAGGTTCCTAACAGGTAAGCGTGGGTTTCCCATGAATCCGTGTTGTACTTTTGCTTCATCTTAAACTCTGATCCACAATCAGCAGCTGAAACAACAAGGCTCACGTTGTTCATGCAATCAACACCGACTTTTCTTCTACCACCTAACAATGCCTAGAGTAAATGTTAGCAAGTAGAGCATCTGTAAAACATTAAACACGGATGTGAGCGGAAGCTAATTGTAACTGGATCTCGTCCCTGTACCATCGGTATAAACAGTTTGATCTCCGTCATCTGTAATCTCTTACATAAACTATACACCATACTCCCTCCAACTAGAAGGTCCGAATGCTTCACAGGATTTCACTCAGGACATGATCACACCTCTCAGTGCCTTTCCGGTAGTGGCCTAGCCCATCCAACGTACTCAGACTCATCATCGATCTCACCTCTTATTACTTACTAGGGCTGTCAGCTAGCACTCATCACCTAGGAAGACTTTCATGAGTAAATGTGCCATGAACTATGCAGTAATCCTGGATTCCTGGTAACACAGAATACCTAAGAAAGCCACTTAAATGATGTATACAAAATCACGCAGCAGCATCATCTCCCATGAGGCTCCAACCTGGTATTTTCTTTACAGTTCCTTCTTTCATAACCTTCCTCAGTTTCATGACATCCTCCCATCTTCCAGCCTCCGCATACATATTAGACAAAGCAACATATGCCCCGTGATTAAGAGGATCCAAAGCCAGAATTTCGTTGCCGACTCTCTCAGCAATCTCAGCATTGTTGAAATTCTTACAAGCATTCAGCAAAGCTCCCCAGATTGCCACATCTGCTTTCCATCGCATTCCTCTTATTAGCTCCTCGGCCTCGAGTAGCTTCCCACTTCGCCCGAGAAGGTCAACCATGCAACCATAGTGCTCTAGCTTAGGTTCAATGCTGTACAGACTACTCAACGAATGGAAAATTTGCTGACCAAAATCAAATAATCCGGCATGGCAACATGCCGAAAGGACTCCGATGAACGTGACATCGCTCGGCCTCAATTCCTTCTCTTCTTCCAATTTCTTGAACAAATTAAGAGCTTTTCTGGCATGGCCATGGAGAGCGAATCCACAAATCATTGCGTTCCAAGTAGCAATGTTCCTTTCGTTCATGCTAGCAAAACATTCTTGCGCCTCCAAAAAGGCGCCATTTCTCGCGTACATATTGACTAATGCTGTGCCCAGAATCACCCCTAATTCCAAATTATTTTCCTTGATATAAGAATGAATCTGTTTTCCAACACTTAAGCCGCCTGACTGAGCGCAAGCTGACAGCACTGAAGACAGTGTAACAGCATTAGGTTCAAACCCCTGGGAGATCATTCGATGAAACAACTCAATTGCCAAAGCACCAGAATCACCCTGGGCATACCCACTAATCATAGTGGTCCAAATGCTCAAATTCTTGTGGGGACTTTCATCGAACACTTTCCGGGCATCCCTCAAACCAGCTGAGACCGAATAAGCACGGACCAAACCATTAACGACATGCAAATCCAAGTCTAAACCAACCTTCAAAACGTGCCCATGAACTTGCTTACAAGTTCCTAACGACTTTAAGCTTGAACAAGCTTTGAGAACAAAAGGGAAAGTGTGTTTCCCTGGAGTGATGCAAAATCTGCGCATGTCGATATAGAGATCTAAAGATTTTTGAGGATTTGATATGGGACCACCGCCGCCGGCATGGGCCCTAATAAGGGTGTTCCACATGAATAAATTGGGCTCTTGTTGGAGGTGGGAAAATAGCCTGGAAGCGTAATTCAAGTCGCCGGAGTCGGAGAGGGAACAGAAAGCCAGCAAACGGCTGGCAGCGAAGTTGTCTTGGATACGACCGGAGATGATCATTTGGGCGTGAATTTGCATCAGTTGGCGCATGGATTTGCATTGGTCTGCCAGAAATGAATAGCTGGGAAGCTGTCTTGTGGGCATAGGCGGCGGCGGAGGAGGAAGAGCGTCAATGGTTGGGAAATGTGTCGGAGAGAATTGCAAGAGCCGGCGAAGGCGGTGAGTCTAGGTTTGGCGGGAAGATTCCTTTCCAGACCCGCCCCCGGATTTAAATTGCTGGGCCTCTATAAATTGAGCCCCTCTAATTTTAGTGTCAGATGGGCCTACATTCATTTTAGTGTCAATTTGGAAATTTATTTTCAGAAAACTAAAAGCTGTAATACTCCTCCACCCTTGAAGGTTCTAACCTTTTAAATTCTTTTTTTTTTTTTTTTATGTTACAGAGAAAGGAGGCGAAACGCCTATATTATCCACCCGTCGAGGGTATGAAACCCCCATTACATTATGTTACAACCATGGTTTAACCCCATCCAAGTGATTCATATGAACGAAGAAAATTAGTTATTATTGTCAAACGTGAGTAGTAGAGATGGAAAAATAATTATTGTTAGGCTCTGTTTGGTTGCATTGAATTGACCAAGAATTGGAATTGGAGCTCTTTAATTATAATTCTTGTGTTTGGTTGACAAAAATTGAAGTGGAAGAATTGGAATTGCAATACTATTTTGGGTTCAATTCTTTGTTTTTAATTCTTTTGTGGGGGTAAATAATTAGAATCTAAATTCAAGGGATTAAAAAAAATTTGCGGGTCTAAACCGGGTCGTTTATGGGTTATAACATAAACGGATCGTCCTTTCCTTTTTCCCTTAAGTCCTTTTTTTCTTTTGGCTTTCAGCGCTTGCCCTTTTTGTTTTTCTTTTCGTTTTGTTTTTCTTTTTTTCAGCTTTTTGTCTTATTATTATTATTATTATTATTATTATTATCATCATCATCAACAAAATCAATCTAAAATTAACATTATATTTTTTTTGAGAAAAAAATCAAAAGTATAATTATCCCAAAAAAATTAATAGATAAATATTTTAGTTTTGGGTTAGAATTTTTTATTATATACTGACACAGTAAACACTATAAAATTTTTAAAAATCTTTTATAATGGTTCCATATATACACCTATATTAATATATATATATGTATTAAATAATACATGGCATTTTTTCATCAAAAATTCTGTAAGTTGAATTTTAAATATATATTTTTTCATATATAACTATATACTAAAACTAAAAAATTTTAAGCAAATTCCAAAAAATAATGTCAACATATATAATAGAAATTAATATTCATAAAATGAATTTATTATATACAAAATTTTTTACTAATATAGGGAAAAAATCAATAAATCAAAACTTAAAAAATTTTGAAAAGTAAAAAAAGAGAGGGACACAAGTTTGTTTACATGTTACTTGTTTGTGTGTTAAGTGAGAATTTCACATATCATAGTAATAATTCTTACGCAATAATATTTCTTTTGTTTCCTACAAAAAAATGTGTACATAATAAATCGCAAAATAATATAGCAAATTAAATAAAAAATATTCTTTTTTCAAAAAGGATTAGTTTAAAGGACAACAAAGTAATCTAATATACATGTACACAATGATTTTTTTTTTGTTTTATATATATCCGTGATAGATTATTTTGACATAGGAAATTAATTTTTTTTTTAATTTTTTTTTTTTGACATGAAGTATAAATTGTATTAGTTATATAGTAACAAACTAATTTCAATTCTAAAGTATACAAATTTTGAAGCATCCAAACGCAAGAATTAATATTAGAACCTTAATTCTAATCAATTATTAAGATCTCTCAAACAAATGAATTGAGATTGAATTGCAATCCCAATATTTCAATTTTAATTTTTTTGGATTGTAATTCTAATTCAATTCCAATTCATTCCAACCAAACGGAGCCTTATTGAACTTTTAATAACTTGTATTTGTATAGAGAAGAGAAGAGAAATAGCGATATCATCCCTCCAAAAAATAAAATAACAAACTGTATATAATCCAATAGATCTTTTGAAAATACGAAATACTTTATTTAAAGAATAATAATATATGATTCACATCAATGTGAGCTATCCGAAAGGCATCATCAGAAGTAGATTTTCCAATGGGCGGCATTGAGTGGTTAAATGAGAGCGTGCCGTGGGATTCCAATAGGGGAGATTCTGGTTGGTCCTACGGCCTATCATATTCATGGCTGAGTTTCTCTTTGTCCAACCCCGCTCTCACCTCAGTTTGCTTACCCCCATTTTGTGTTTCTCTTTGTCTTGGAATCATACACCGCTACTTGCTTGTTTGCTACCATGAACTGATTTTATAACACTCCCATAAAATTGTTTCAAATTCTTCCCTTTGTCTCATACACTATTGTTTGCTTGATTATCTTGTAAGGATATAAATATTTTCACTTTCCTCCGTCCCAAAAAAATAATCGACGATAAATTTTAAATATTATATTATTATTAGTATAAATGTAAAAGATCAATATGGACTAATATTTTTTTGGGATGGAGGAAGTATCATTATTTACGATTTCGTGTATGTGGTTTTAAGGAAGGAAAAAAACAAAAGAAAAGAAGAAAAGAAGGTGGTTTGCGTTTTGGCTTCGTTATTATTATTGTAGTATACATAGGAAATCACGAATTTGGGTATGGGAGCAGCAGAAAGGCTGGCCTATATATTTGCTCCGTGTCTCTCTCTCTCGCTCTCTATCTGAATATCAATCAGAGGCGATAGAGGTAAAGGCTTAAAAAGCCGAAAAGGTGACGGCCTTTACTTCCGTGTTCTTCGTGAACCCAAATTCCCCCATTTCCAACACAAATTTAACAAACCATCTCGGTCGATTCCGCCAAGCAAAGATTTCCCTATAAAAAGAAATTTCAATAAAGAGGAGGAAGAAAGAACAAGCCCTCTCTCCCTGTCCGTCACCAGCCATACACAATCACAATCCGTTTCAGAAAGGGGAAAAGAAATGCCTGGACTCATTGCACCCTCTGATTACTCTCGAGAACCACCTCGTCATCCTTGTCTTAAAATCAACGCCAAGGTTTACCCCCTTTTACTCTCTTCGCTTCATTCTGCATTTCACTTCTTTTATAATCACTCGCTGGAGTATATGTCTGTTTGTTCCCATGTAGTAGTAATTAGTTTTCCTGTGTGTTCGTACTTTTACCCTCATATTCGTTTACATGTATGCAGTTTTTTAAAACTAATATGATGATGGCTCTCAATTCCCATTTCCCTTCACCTTTAATATCTGATTCTTGCACTAAGTTTCTTTCTGTTTTTGTTCCCTTAAAACCATTTTTTCCCCTCTGGAGTTGCTTCAGCACTGTTTTTATTGGCTTTCGTTGAGTTCCCTTGGTGCCACGGTTGATACCCTTTTTCAAATTGATGTGTTGGCAATGCTTTCCCAACGTGTGGGACACCCAAGGCTTCAAGCATCCTACTATTGTTTATATGTCAATCTAGCCTGAAATTGCTCCTTTAGCTATGTACTATGTGGTTGGGAAACCAATGTTTTAGTGTTTCACTCTTTCGGTATTTGGGAAACCAATGTTTTAGTGTTTCTTTATCTATTTAGTCTCAGTTTGCTCTATCACTCGGTAATTCAAGTAGTTTTCTGAATTTTGATATGGGAGAAGAAGACTACTGTTTAGGTTCGGCGTCCTTACTTAGCTGCAGAACTGAGTGATAAGCTTCTCAGTGAAATGGCAAAGTGACAATGTTTCACAGACCAAATACTCAAGTATCAATCACACTCCTAAATAAGTGCACTATGATAAGGGATAATTATGTCTTGTCAATCATGTTTCTTCATTCTCTGTGTCACTTCCTTGGATGGTTTCAGTGAGAGAGTATCATTATTTTCAAGGAATTGGGGTGCAGTTTTTTGTTGGTTGTTTTCCCTTTTATTTATCATCAGTTTTTTTTTTTGGCACGTTAGTTTGATGTCATTGATTAAATTTCAACTCAAAATTTAATAGTGCTGGAATTGTGGAGCTTTGCAGTTTTCAGCCCTTAATAATTCGGTTTTTTCATTTTCTTCATGGAGCTGATCTTGTGAGCCATCGCGACTTCTGTCATCACTCACTCTCTTGTGTGTTCTATTTTATTTTCTCCCCAGGAGCCATTTAATGCCGAACCACCTCGTGCAGCTCTGGTTGCCTCCTATGTCACTCCTGTTGATTACTTTTACAAAAGAAACCATGGACCCATACCAATAGTTGAAGACATTGAGAGGTTTGCTTTCATAATTTTAAATTTAGTTGAGTCATTTGAAAGCTTTTGATTTACCCAGTTTTTATCTACCAGATATTCTGTTATTATAACTGGATTGATCGACAATTCGAAGGATATATTCATGAAAGATATCTGGTGAGTTATCTTGTCTCTCAGTGGATTGGCCAAAAGTTGCCACTTACTTGCTAATGTAAATAGAGAAGCTTCAATTTTGTTGTCTAAATCACAGGAGTCTTCCAAAACATACTGTTACTGCCACCTTGCAGGTAATTCAATTTATTCTTCCTTATAACATCTCATATCAACTGTAAATGCAACTCAAAATTTAGTTCACAGTATGTGTCCTTCAGGAAGAAATAATGTTGTGTTTTCTTACATGTTGGGATGGCAGTGTGCTGGCAATAGGAGGACAGCCATGAGCAAAACCCGTAAAGTGAGAGGAGTTGGTTGGGACGTTTCTGCTTTAGGGAATGGTTAGTTTGTTGCCCCTAGATAAGTCAAAGCCGTCATGTGGAACATGCTTTACTTTGTTATGTGCATTCCTGGTGGGCTCAAGTTTTGTATTATGCTTCTTTGTTTCAGCTGTTTGGGGTGGTGCCAAATTGGCAGATGTTCTCGAACTTGTTGGCATACCTAAGTTGACCAAAAGCACACCTTCTGGAGGAAAGCATGTTGAATTTGTGAGCATTGATAAGTGTAAGGTGATCCCTTCATCTCTTTTTAATGTTGCAAGAAAGCTTCCTTCTTGTAAATATCTCTACCTCTTTTTCTGTTTGTAATGAGGTCCTGGTTCGATTTACTGATGTGCTCACAGGAGGAGAATGGAGGACCTTATAAAGCTTCAATTCCGTTAATTCAGGCAACGAATCCCGAAGCTGATGTTTTGCTGGCTTATGAAATGAATGGCGAGGTACATTATGATTCTGAATGCTATTAGACTATTAGTTATAATTCAACAGAATAATTGCTCTGCGTTTCTGTCAGATTTAAAGCTGCTTCTCAAATTCTTTCTTGATTTATATTCTTTTTTCCCGTTAATTTTGAATAAAATGTTTCAATCCTGATTCATTAGCTAACCTCATAATGAAACCACGGCTCAAAGCCTCTTAACAGGGATCATGGATACCCACTGCGTGTTGTTGTTCCTGGTGTTATTGGTGCCCGTTCTGTCAAATGGCTTGATTCAATTAATATCATTGCTGAAGAATGCCAGGTCAGTACTGACTCTGTTTGTTGCATGCGATGATAATTTGTGCTTGATTATTGAAAATACTTGCAGCTTCTCTTTAGTAAGCATAATAGAAAGATTGTGGTACTTGTCAGGGATTCTTTATGCAGAAGGACTATAAAATGTTCCCTCCTACAGTTGACTGGGATAATATCAATTGGTCAACTAGGAAACCCCAAATGGATTTTCCTGTTCAGGTGATTTTTGTTGTTATTTGATTAAATTTTTTACACTTTCTCTGTAAATGGATGATCCTTGCTTTTAAAGAAGAGAATGCATGAGAATATTGACAGTTGAATATAGCTTGTAACTATGCCCAAAACGGAGAACCAAGCTCACACTCTTATCCATCGGTTTCTGTGAACTTTTTTTCACTCTATTGCTGTCAAAAGTTTTAGAAAGAATTTTGACGGCTTAATATTGTTTGATATTCAATACAACTGCAAGCTGTTTCAGGGGGAGTGTAGCACTTATATTGGAATAAATGTAATTCTTATGTAACTATTGTAAAGCGTTTACGTGCTTATCCTTTGATATGATGGTGCTTGTATTGATGCACGTCATGTTTACTTCTGACAGAGTGCTATATGTTCTCTTGAGGATGTGAATCACATAAAGCCCGGGAAGGTTAGCATGCTTTAAGATGACTACTTATGTTTGTGCTTATTCTTGCCATGTGAAACTACACACCATCAACTAGTCTTGTTTATCTAGTGGTTGTAGAAATATGTTGATAGGGGTAGCTTGACTGGCACAAAATACATGAATTTGTTCTCAGAGCAAATGGATATGTGCATTATATGTTCGGAAACATGATTTACAAAAAAAGTGGTTATTTCGACATTCATTTATGTGCTACCTATGGTAATAGGTTTCACAGGTCCTCATAAATTTCACTGTGCTATTATTTCAGATAATCAAGATTTTACATTAGGTCAGAAACTATATACTATTTTTAGATGATCAGATGATGGTGATTTACACTGTACTGTTATTTCACTGTTCTATTTCCTGTAGTTCTTGTTGTAAATGTGCTCATGTAAGCTTTTTTTTGCCCCTCTTTGTTTCTCTTTGTGTTTCTAATCAGATAACAATCAAGGGGTATGCAGTATCGGGAGGCGGACGTGGCATTGAAAGAGTAGATGTATCAATTGACGGTGGTAAAACATGGGTGGAAGCTTTAAGGTACCAGAAACCTGGAGTTCCATACATTGCTGACATAGAGGCAAATAGCGATAAGTGGGCATGGGTACTTTTTGAAGCTGAAGCTGAAATTTGCCAAAGCACAGAAATAGTGGCCAAAGCGGTATGTAAAATATCTCATTACTTTTCAGTTTATACTGATGTAACTGAAGATCGCTTAAGTGAAGCACATTATGTTCAAACTCTGTAAAGAAGAGCATGTCAATCATGATTTCTATGCGGAGCTGGATGCTCATGATATATATGTGTGTGTGTGTGTGTGTGTGTGTGTTTTACCCTCGAAAACAAAATAGGACAGCATCATAGTTGCAGTCTTGCAGAGTTCATGTATATCTGAATTTTCTCAAAGAACTCCCTTGATAACCCTCGGGCTATAGTCGGTGATGAAGATGCTTTGATTCGGTCTCTGGTCTAATCTCCTTCATAGTTGGAGAGTTCATGTATATCTGAATTTTCAAACTCCTGTTGAGGTTCATCTAACCGTTTTCTGTAAAAAAAAAAAAAATTTATCTGCATCTATTATTGTTTTTTATGTGCTGCTGCAAATTTTCATATGAGCAGGTAGATTCTGCCGCTAATATCCAGCCTGAAAATGTTGAAGTCATCTGGAATTTGAGAGGAATATTGAACACATCCTGGCACCGAGTCGACGTGCGACTTACTCACTCTAGCATGTAAGGATCAATCAACAGGGGGCGTGATTGGGAAAAGGAAAACAATGCCACACTTGGGGATGGTGTTTTATGTTCATTCCATGTAATAGATAGTTTCTTTTCATCCATCATTCCTTGTGTGTGTGTGTGTGTGTTTTTTTTTGAAAATGTTCCTTGTGTGTTCAAATAAGTGTAAACCACGATATGACTGGGCAGGGTGAACATTTTACAGCCCCCCATGACCCTGACTGTTCAAATTCCCCTTTTTCTTTGATGTTATTTGTCATTACCGAGTTTATAAAGGATTTTTACAACTACTAGTATTATATTTTTAACATACACGGCATAAACAAAATGTTGTTCACACAAGCCACGCTCTTGAGGGGAGTGCTATTACTCCCTCCGTCCCAAAATTATTATCCAGTTTGAGATTTCACTTTTAGTACAATTTGAACTAAAAATGAAGATTCAAACTGGACAATAATTAAGGGACGGAGGGAGTTATATATATATATATATATATATATATTTTTTTTTTTTTTTGATAAACTGCTATTACATTATAAACTGGACATAGGAAGCTTTCAGAGGCATACAATAGCAATATGGTAAAGGATACATGGACTACTATAATCATCAGTTACAAATGTTGCCATGTGTATAGAAGCATACAATACGGTACTAACCTTCTATAGTGCTAAACTTCCAAATTGATTATTCCACTCTTCGTATGTACCAAGTTCGTTTGCAGAAACTGAAGGCCTAACCTCCTGTAGTGCATTCTCGAAATCCTAAACACACCAAAAAAACAAAATCAAAACTGTTAAAAATCCTTGCTTCCTTCCTGGCGAGCTATCAAAACTCCAAGTGCCATTTGACAGGAAAGAAAGGCTAAGCAGGCAAACATTCATTAGGAGTCACGTCTGTGGGGATTTAGTTTACCTGAACTGTAACGGGTCTCATGTCCTCCTTCTTCAGCTTCGTGATCTCAATTCCCTGTTTGAGTGCCTCTCGTAACGGGCCCATAGAAGCATCGTTCACTAAGTTTTTCATGTCAGATCCTGAGTAACCTGAGAATATGCAAAACATAGGTATAAGAGGACACAAAACTAGAGAGAAATCAGGGTACATGTTGTTATGGAGGATATGGAGAAGCTTAGTAGTTTAGAAATTAACAAACGGGACCTTCGGTCAATTTGCATATGGTACCAATGTCTTCCTTGCCAAGCTTAAATAGCCCATCTTTCTCCAGGAGATTCTGGACTATCCATGCTCTTGCTTCTTCATTTCCAGATACATAAAAAGTCAGGTAAAAAGGGCAGAAAAAGCCATGGTTGGTTAGGAAAAAAGGAGGATCCAAATGCACCTGAGGAAGGGAGCGGAATGTATAGTCTTTTAGTAAGTCTTCTCCTTGCAGCCTCATCGAGCTCCTGGGGTCTATTTGTTGCTCCTGTTTAGTGAAAGAGCCAACTTTCCTTACTTTTATGAAAAAAAATTCATATGCCTTGCAAGGGGAGAGGGGGAGAGGAAGGGGAACAGAGAACGATTTACATCTACTTGAGAGTACGACAAAGCTAGAAATCAATTGAGTACTCCCAATTATCTAACATTCATGTTTCATTTCCAAGTACTGGAAAACAGAAGAATCATTCAGTCCACAGATAGACAGCTGTAGTATGTACTACCCCTGTCCAAAAATTTTGTCCAGTTTAGATTTTTACTTTAGATTTTTACTTTTAGTACAAGTTGTACTAAAAGTATGAAAATCCAAACTATCATTTCAGGGCGGAGGGGTTAGTTGTTAATGGACCTGCTTATATTTAGTTCCCTCTTCAATGCATGAATTCAATACACAGGAAAGTTGGGATCTTAGGTTTTATAGATTACCCACCTATGAGAAGAATTTGTTCACTTCCACTGTCAAAACCTTCCATTTCAATTAGGAACTGTGTCTTGAGTCTCCTACTCGATTCATGCTCTCCTTCAGACTTGCGCTGAAACAGCATATAAACTCTTAGCCTGACTAAAAATTTCGTATATGCAATTGATAATACAGTTGACACCCAAAGTACCATCTTTCTGATCTCTAATCCAGAAAGAGCCAATGAACTAGTATATGGATGCTGGAAGAACATCTCATTTAACCTAATTGACTCAATCCAACATCTTATTCCACTGAAGGTGAATACCTGAGACAAAAGAGAATCAATCTCATCCACAAATATGACGGCTGGTTGGCGACAACTGGCAACTCCAAACAGAGCTCTTACTAACTTTTCCCCTTCACCAATCTGCAATCACCAGTGGAAGATGATGTGACAAAGAATGTGGTTTTGTTACAAACCTGGTACCTCTGTGTGATACTGAACTAACAATGCTCAATGACATGACAATAAACTAATACCACTGGCAAATGTTACTCTCTTTGTCCCAAAATGATTGTCCTATTTGGATTTTTAGTATATTTTGTACTAGAAGTAAAAAGGGACAATCATTTCGGGACAAATGGAGTATCTGTTTTGGCAGATGAGCTTTTTGCCTTATAGCAGGAAACGAAACTTTTCACTTTTTGGTCCATGATTTAGGTCTATGACAAATTAATTAACTGTATCATTTTACAGCGCATAAGTATCAGTAATATTTCGCAACACACAAGTTATCAATATCATCTTACAACACACAAATGATCAGCATCATTTTACAGAGTTTGATTCCACCAGACATGATAAGCTTCTATTAGCTCCCTCTTTCTCTTCTCCTGCAAATACAAATTTCCAAAAAAAAAAAAAAAGTCTTCTTTTAGTAGAAGAAAAGACATACCCATTTGCTTGTCAAAGAACTGGCAGATATGTAGAAGAAGGTAGCTTTAGCCTCCCCAGCAATTGCTTTTCCTATCATTGTCTTCCCTGTTCCCTGAACCATGATGAAATGATAATTAATTGTAGCAAGATTAATTTCAAGAAATAGTGGAAAATAAAATAATGGGAGCGAGAACTTACGGGTGGACCAAATAGAAGAAGACCACGACCAGGGGACCGACATCCTTTAAATATGTCAGGACGTAATAATGGCCAGATAACCATCTCGGTAACACACTTTTTAGCATGCTCCAGACCAGCTGCAAAGCAAGTAAACAAATCCCTAAGATATGATACCAAAGTATATCTGATTGCAGATAGTTTAACCAAGAATAAGATAAGCACAGAAGTCGCTGAACCAACTTACCAATGTCATCCCAACGAACATTGGGATCCCTATCCATGATCTCATTGCTAACATGCTCGATAAGACGAGGTTCTAAGTTCCTTAGTTTCTCAGGAAGCTCACCATCTGGACCACATAACAATTCCATACTTGGGTGTGGACAGGGTGGAAAAATTTGGGTGAGTAATTCATAACCATAATCAAGCAGAATATAGTATCATCTCAATATATGAAAGCATTTTTGAGGGCTAACCATCTCTTGGTTGAATCATCTAATGCATCTTCACCCTTGCCAGCGGTGCGCGAAGTCACATTACCACCACCATTTCCACTGGATTTTATAGGAGGAACAAAATTACCACGAATACCACGCCGAGAAACGCCATAAGATCTGCCACCATATCCTCTAGAAAAGCTGTCTGAAGAACATGAAGCATTAGGTGATCCAGCTAAACCTCGCCTTTGCCTGGTTTCCATCTCCTATTGTAGTAAAAATATAACCACATACGATATGCATGAGTAGGTAACAGTGAAAGCTTCAAAGACTTTCATTTCAGTTAAGTAGATTTGACGCCAAATGAGACTAGATTCCTGAAATAAATATTAAAAGTAAACAGTGCAGCTGAAAGTAATAAATAAAGAATCTGGTTCATTATGCAATCTGCTATATTGGAAATAACATTACAGATGTGAATTTCAGAAAACCCATCACTAAAAAGAAATAATCCCATACTCAACAATTAACAGCACAAATTATCGATTCCGAACTAAACTGAGGCAACAGAGATAACAGAAGCTCCCCATGTAGTAGTCAACTTACCAGTTTCATTCGTGCAGTAACAAAGCCATTGCCAGATGCATCATTCTCAGTATCTTCAGAGCTTGAAGGGGCTTTCAGGCCATCTATTCTTGGGCTGGTAGTTTCCGTATGCAGCCTTTTTGCCCCAAAGTAGTTTACAGCACCTCTTTCATCCACTTCAGCCTTGTTGGGTCCAGTGGAATTCAGGTTTTTTGCGAAATTAGGAGTTGAATCGCCCATTTCAACAAGAATGCAGTCATTGTCGGAGCTATTATGAGGTGCAGAACCACTACAGCTTTTTGGCTTGGAAGGATTCCCATACAAATAAGTTAATTTTGTCTGCAGGAGATTTTTTGAGGCTCTATTACTTGATTTTTCCTGCTGCTCAACTCTATCTCTCTGAAACAACAAATTTTCCGGTGCTGATGGAAACGAACAATTCAAAAAAGGGTAGCTAACAACAAAAGAAACATCAATGGACAGACCTTATACATAAGAACAAAAACAATGAAACATCCACCCCCAAAAAAAAAAAAAGAGGAAGAAGAAAATAAAAATGAAGAGAAAAGAAAAGAGGACAATATCCACTTTACCATCCGCTCCGCGGGTCTTCCCTTGGATTGTGGCAGTGGAAGAATAGCTTGAAAATACTTGGACTCCTTAAGTTTCGCAATATCAACGTCTCCTACTTGGCTGAAAACACAGCTGTGCTCCTTTCCAGCTAGTTCAAATGCTCGGCTAAAATTATTAGCATTGTCAATTAGAATTACGCAACTGACAAACAAATCACAAAGGAAATCACCAAGAATAAACTGCAAAGATTAATTTGTGAAACTGATCTAGACACAGTAGCAAAAAATGATGAAATTAAATCAAAGAAGAGAACTAATGATGATAATTGGTAGAGAACAAGAAAATACCGATCGGACAAAGGTATGAGAGAACTCCGAGCGGATTCGAGCTTGGACAGAGCTTCACGGCGGATAGGTCGGATGAATGCCTCGTCGGCATCGGAGATGGACCGAGAATCGAGGAAGCCTACGAGTCCTAGGGCAAGTGCTTGAGCCCAATTGAAATCGCGGTTCTCGAGGGCGACATCTGCACCAAATAGGAGAGAGTGGAGACGCTTGAGGTTAACGTCGACTTCTTTCCTCCAGCACATCTCCGATTCCAATTCTTTTCCCATTTTCTCCTCCTTCTTCATCTCCGATATCGAGCTCTCACTGTAACTAGCCGCCATTTTCCCGCCAGTTTTATTCGGGTCCGACCCAACCGATACAAAAGACTTCTGATTTTTATTTGTTCTTATGTTATTTTTTTTTAATTTCATTTTTTTTTTTCATTTAAAAAAAATTTGGGCTAGCCCCAAATAAATCCAAGTCCAATGCCCAACAGAAAGCCCAAATAAATGGCCATAACATGAAACACCCAGTCCATCAGTAAACGTTTCCAAGTCAGAGAAAGTAGAAAGTAGAGAGAGAAATAAACAGCAAACTCCGAAAGGGCGAAAGGCCGACGACTCCCAGTCACTTCCTCCATGGAGTCGCCGCCGGCGTAAATAGAAAAGAAAAAAATTAAAAAAAGAACAGCTCTACCGCAATTACAGCAGCCACCACCTCCTCCACCTACTCTTTTCTTGGCTGCCGGTTTAGAACGATCCGTTTCCGGACTGCTTTTTTTGAACTTCCACCGGTGAGCACTTTTCCTGTCATAATTGGATTGCGAGCTTACTTCTTTTCTACTCTTTTATGGTTTTCCTTCTCTCCAATGCTCATTAACTGCTTTGACACTGTCGTCTTACCCCTAGTTTTTGTTTTCATTCTGTGATTTTAGCGTACAGAAGTTAGGGTTTTAGGATTTTTCAGCTTCTATTTTTTTTTTTTTTTTTTGAGATTCTGAGTTCTGAATAGCGAAATTTTGTGGAATTCTGCTTCCTTTTCTGTATAAGGAGGTTATCTGTTTAGAGTTGGTTGTCAGTGACTGAGCGGCTTCTAATCTTATTCATTCTGCTATTCTGATACACGATCTATGTACGTTTAGGGACAAAGACGCTTTTGTTGTTGTTGTTGTTGATTGAGGCTTGAAAAGGGTTTTTGATCTTTTTATTTCTTTCTTGCATTCATGCTTGGACCTTAAGGGATAGTGCATGTTCATGGTTTAAATTTTGTACTCATTTGGACAATCTTCAGGTAAGCCTTTGTGTGCTTGTATAAGAGGCAGCGGTGAGTTGCTAGGATTGCAACTATTTGTGGTTCCGAGGCTGCAGTGTAAAACTTCCATGCTATTTTAAGTGATGAGAGCTAAACTTCGTCAATGAAAATAAGTTGTGTATTTTGTTGTATTTTGACTGGATGGTAGGTTGATTACTAGATTTAGTGTCTGCCAGAGTTTGGAGTTTGTAGAATTTTTGGCTTCTGAGTGCATTGATCCTTTTTTGAGTGGTTTTTTTTCCCTGTTGGGGCTACTTAGGAACTCATATTATCTCGTCCTTCTGTGGGAATTCATCATTTGAACAAGATTTTCTGTTGGTTGAATCACTTGATTTTTGGGAATCACAATTTCTATTGTACTCAAAGTTGCTTTTTGTTTTACTGGGTTTCTGTTTCTTGGATGGCAGGTTCTTTGGTTAGGTATAATCTGTAACTATGTCTATGAACAACAATAATCCTCCTAAAAACCTTGGGGTTCCGTCCCCATTTGGCGGTGCTATGCCTGCAAACATGGCTGCTCATCTCCAGGCCCAGGTTCACGCTCAAGCTCAAGCTCAAGCTCAGTCCCAAGCCCAGCAACAAGTAGGCGCTGGCTTTCCAGGGCAGTTCAATCTTTCTCAACTTTCTGCTGCTCAGGTTCAAGCCTTTGCTCAAGCACAATCTAAGGCTCAGGCTCAGGCTCAGGCTCAGGCTCACGCACAAGCTCAAGCTCAAGCACATGCGCAATATCAGGCTCAGTTGCAGGCTCAAGGAATTGCCCTTAGTCATGCTCATGCCGGTGGCATTCCGAATCTGGGTTCCTCAAATCCTTCCATTTCAGGTTCTGGTGGTAATTCCATTATAAAACGGTTACCTCAGAAACCACCTGTACGGCCATCTGGCTTAGCCACAACTAATGTGGCTTCTCCCCTGAGAGCTATGGAGCTTTCTGCTGCTGCTCGTAAGAAGAAGCAGAAGCTCCCTGAGAAACAATTGCATGAAAGGGTTGCAGCAATTTTGCCTGAATCTTCTCTTTACACTCAGCTCCTTGAGTTCGAGTCTCGTGTTGATGCTGCCTTGTCAAGAAAGAAAATTGATATCCAGGAAGCAGTTAAGAATCCACCCTGTATTCAGAAAACTCTACGTATTTATGTATTTAACACTTTTGCGAATCAGATACGTACAATCCCTAAGAAGCCAAATGCGGAGCCACCAACCTGGACCCTTAAAATCATTGGGAGAATTCTGGAGGAGGGAATGGACCCTGATCAAGCTGCCATGTTTCAGAAAACTAATTCCATGTATCCCAAGTTCTCAGCTTTCTTCAAGAGAGTTACCATATCTTTGGACCAGAAATTGTATCCAGAAAACCATATGATAATATGGGATAATGCTCGATCATCAGGACCGCATGAGGGATTTGAGGTAAAAAGGAAAGGTGATCAAGAATTCACTGCTAATATACGGTTGGAAATGAATTATATGCCTGAAAAGTATAAACTATCAGCTGCCCTGATGGAAGTCCTGGGAATTGAGGTTGACACTCGTGCAAGAATTATATCTGCGATCTGGCACTATGTTAAGGCAAGAAAGTTGCAGTGTCAGGATGATCCTTCATATTTCAATTGTGACCCCCCTCTTCATAAAGTTTTTGGTGAACCAAAGGTGAAGTTTACGGCTGTGACACAGAAGATATCCCCTCACTTGGCTCCTCCTCAACCTATACATTTGGAGCACAGGATCAAACTTTCTGGTAATAGCCCTGCTGGGACCGCATGTTACGACATATTAGTAGATGTACCATTCCCGATACAGAGGGAGCTGAATGCTTTGCTAGCTAACACAGAAAAAACAAAAGAGATTGATGCCTGTGATGAGGCAATTTGTAGTGCCATCAGGAAAATACATGAGCACCGAAAACGGAGAGCATTTTTTCTTGGTTTTAGTCAGTCACCAGTTGAATTTATCAATGCTTTAATCGATTCCCAAAACAAGGACCTTAAGCTTTTGGTAGGGGAAGCTAGCCGCAGTGCCGAGAAGGAGCGTCGGTCTGAGTTTTACAACCAGCCTTGGTATGTTGTTTTTGTGTTACAATGTTCTTTTTGTGTTGCATTTTCCTTCCTTTGTATGGTTTTATTGTGTGTTCTTTTCTGTTGGGAATGTAAAAGGTGTGTTAAAAATGTAAAAAGGTGTATTGGGGAAAACCAAATAACAACAAGAAGTACTGAGAAAACCAAATATAAAACAAACTAAAGATAGATTCATTTTGCCTTCCCCTAGTAATTCTGTGAAACTAATTTGTTGTCTAGGTTGATCATGCTGATGTAAGAATGACTCTAATCTTTGGACACTAGTTATACTCTTCAAACATCTATAAAAACGACATGATTCAACTTTTTTGCGTTTATTTGTCCCCAACTCAGGCCCTGCTTGAATGGAGTTTATGTGCATTCTGGTATATATACATGCACATTTTTCTTCAGTTGACTGGTATTCATAAGTTTCACTTCATAAACAGGGTTGAGGATGCTGTTATCCGGTACTTGAATCGGAAGCCACCTTCAGATGCACCTGGAAGCACATGAAAGAGTGAGGCCTGGAAACACACCAGTGCATCCCAATCCTTCTCGAACTTGCAAGTTTCTGCCGTCAGGAAGAGTTTCCTTCTCTAGGTGGGTAAGATAATATCCTCGTAAAACAACAAATTTTAGGAAAAATCTGTGGGGCAAATTGCCCGGGCTTGGGCTTTTCTGGCCAGCTCAGTGCAAGTGGGGCTCAATCTATTCTCCAGTCATGTCTCTTTGATATTGGTTCTCTAAATTCTCAGGGAAGGTTTCCTTTTGAGTGTATCTTTCTCTCTCTCTCTTTGATGGAAAGAATCTGCAAGGCTCTTGAGGTTTATCTGTAGGTAGTAAGTAGTTGATTTAGAACGCTGAACAGTAGATCAAAGGTTGTTTAGCCCCTACATGCTAACAGTTCTAATATTTTTAGTTGATCTTTTGGTGCTTGTATTTCGAAATCATCTACCTTCTTGGCATAGTGTTTTTACTTTTTACTTGTGGACCTTAAAAGTCTTTTGGAAGAAGCTTCCCTGTCATGAATAGTTCATGATTGGATGTTTAGTGTCAAAAATTGGATAGAAAAGAATGTCATCCGAACTTCTCATAGCATGAGCCATTTAAATGGGAAGAATGAAGGGTGATATTTTATCGAATTGGTTTTACTTCTTTCTTTTTCCTTTTTTTTTTCTTTTTTCCTTTTACTATAATTTCTCAAATTCCAAGTGATAACTTGTTTTCGATACTTGGGGATTGTGTTTTGTGGACAAATTCAAAGAGTCGGCTACAGGCGCGACTTAAAGCAAAAACTGTAGAGGCAATCTTTTGTTGAACAGTGTACATCCGAACTGGGAAACAAGAAACTTTAAATTTATTTAAAATACATAAATCTATATCACAAAACACTGACGTTGTTACATGATAATCTGCTGAAACGAAGTAAACGAGACACCCCATGCCAAGCTGATTCTTTTCTCGTTAATTTGCTGTAGACACTCGACACTCAAGAGCAACCGGTCATTATTTTCTAATAATAGTTCGTTTCAAAATTGAACATGCCTTATTGCTACCAGTTATCACCAGTGTTTAGCTAATCTCCTCAATGTTCTGGAGATAATATACTTTCCTTGAAAAGTCAATCTGACAGTCTTGGTTTCAATGAGAAATGGGATCCACCTCATGCAAACATAATAGAACAATTCATAATGAAGTGACTCAACTTATATCTGCCACTATCAATAGCCTTCCATGTCTGTTCACAGGCCTCAGGATCAGGCCTGCAACTATATATTGCCATGCAATCTCCTCCACCATAAGAACCCGACGCAACCATAGAAGAAGTGGATAACGCCCCTCCAATGACCACCAGCTCATTCCCTAAGGACTTGAACGCAACACCCCACCCTCTATTACAATCTGCCCTGACAGGAACAAGCCCTAGTGGTTTCCATGTATTGCTCTTCTTCAAATACAGTTTGAGCTGATTTGAAGAAGCCTCGATCGAATACAACTCATTATTCGCTACTGCAATCAAAGGAGGTGAATGGCACGTTAAAACCGGATCGTCTTTCAACATGTCAGGGATTAGAATCCATTGGTTTTTGACTTGGTCAAAATACTCGCCACAAGTTAGCTCGCCAAGCTCGTTTCGCCCACCTACCACATAGAATCTGTCATCCATAAAGCATCCTGAACACAATTTCCTCCTCCTTTTCATCCGGGGAAGTGTTTCCCATGATCCTGTCTCAGGGTTGTACATTTCAGCTGTGTCATACACTCGGCTATTAGCACTCGCACCAATCCCACCGGCTACAAATGCATAATTCCCACAGGTTGTGGATGCAAACAGGCATCTAGGGTTACGCATGGATGGACCTTTGAACCATTTGTTGATGGCCAATTCGTACCTCCATATCACGATTCCATCAATTTCCCTTCCTGACACAAGCAACTGAGTCCCTGCACAAACTGACTCCTTATCACCTGAATGAAAACACACATCTGAGGGCACAACCGGGAGCTTCCTTCGTGACTCAAAACCGCCATCAAACATCCACCAACTAGACTCTCCGCTTGCCAACATGCACACAGATGGCTCAGCGGATTTAATTTCACGCCTGATCTTGAATATTTCCCCGCTTCTCACAAGATTTAAGTTTCTCTTGTTTAACAAGCATAATTTCCAATGCTCCCATCTGGGGAGCCTGGCGAAAATCAAACTTTCGACCTGATAATCCAGCGAGGGATTGTTGGAAATGGAATAATCTGCATCCTGAGGTTCTTGATTAGAAAATAATATGGCAGTTTTTTGGTCGAACTCATCCCTGCCAACCTCACAAAATCTCACCTTTTTTGGTTTTGGAGGACCACAAAAACCAACGAATAATCCCTTACCAACATCAGTTACATGTTTCTTAGTCAATCCATTGAGGTGCTTACTTTTTCCCCCTTTAGTGTCTCTCCTCTTTTCTTTAGACATAATTCCAACACCTCTGCATAGAAAACAGCATATCTGAAGCATTAAGAAAGCAGAAGATGGCGAAAACAGCAACCTAAACACAAAAATAAAGACATGTCCATGGCAGGGACCAGCTAGAAGTGAAAAGAAAATATAGAATGAATTTTACCAGATGATAAAGAGACAAATGAAGATAGCTAACTTAGAAATAATCACAGATGGCACAGCTGGTGAAATATACAACGGCAAAGGCAAGGAGGCTGAAAACCCAAAGATGACTGGCTACACCATCAGAATAACAATGAAAAAGGGAACCAGTGATCATATGTTGGAATGCCAATAGCCATGGTCCCATTGTCCTTCCTGCCTGCTTGGTAGTACAAGACAGGAAGCCTGATTATTTCTCAGAAAAACATGAACTCTACACTGCCAGAACAAATCAACCTTTCAAATTATAAAATCAGGAAACAAAACTCATCACTTCAACCACCCCCTCCAACCCTGATAAAAAAAAAAAAAAACACACACACACACCTCAGACACAGAAATATGCTGGCTGTGGCTTGAAGGAAACAGAAAAGTCTCAATTCTTGTGAAGTAAAACAAAATCTCATCTTTCCCCAAAAAAAAACACCTAAACGACACAGAAACAAACTAACAAAGAAGGAAATTTTGTAAATAGTAGCTGGAATCACATGAAAAAGTCTTTCAGTCGGTCTACAAAACAGAGAATAAGAACTGAAACACACCATTGATGAACAGGTAATTTCAGATGGTGGTAGATCAAGTTTATGAAAACAAACCTTCAGAGCAGAAGAACAAGCCAAACAAACTGAATAAAGGGCTGCCAATAAAGCATTGAAGAAGCGTAAAATCAAGAACCAAATAGTGGATCCTTAATGGAAGTAAACTTTGGTAACAAAGGCTTTGAAAAGAAAGAGTCGATTAGAAAAAAAGGGCAGTTGAAAGCAGAATTGAAGTACTGGTTTTGAACAATTTATTTATTAATATTTTATTACTAAAGATTGGAATCATCATCATCGCAACTATCGTTGTGGGGGTTTTTTTGTTCTTATCTTTCTCTGAATTCCCATTCGAAGAGAGATTAAAATATAGCAATCATAAGAGACTATTAATTATGATTGGCGCACGAATCAAACCAATCCAAAGTCACAAACAAACAAACAAACAAATGAAACAGAACAACATTTAAGGTAAGCAAATTAGAATCAAATATTTCAAGCGAAGAAGAAGATAGATGAATTAGTTTGGGAGACTTGTTTTTATGAGTAAAAAGGCAGAGAGATCGAACGTAATGCTGCCACGCCATTGATGGCTGACTGCGTTTCTGAGACCTGGTGCTGTTTTCAAATTTCCCATAGCTAAGATGATGGTAGAATTTCCCCCTAGAAATTTCCCCTACAATCTTTTCGTATGCCGTTTTGCGTTGCTGACTTATGCCGTTTCGTGCAATTGTCATTTTAATCTCTAGGAATTTTCGATTTTAAGAATCAAAAACAAATTCCTCCTACTTGGGATCGGAGGACATTGTAGGAGTATTGTTTTTAGTTATTTAATGGATAGGAGAAAATCAGTCCTCCCTTGTGAAATGTGACTATTGCAAAATAAATGTAAATATTACCCTAAACCCTATTTGTTCCCAAAACACAAAATGATGTTCATAAAATTGTATTCCCTCCCTCCCACAAAAATAATCCAGTTTCAAAATGTACAACTTTTAATTTGGTCAACCTCAATAATATACAACTCATTCAGTCTTCAAAATTTCTAATTTTACCCTTGTTACATCCCAACAAAGCTGCCCCAAATTCCAAATCCTAGAAATCTTTTTCTGTTTTTCTCACCGACAAAATCAATCTTGACCGGCGCTACTATCCAACTCAACCAACCAAGTCCGAACATGATAGGGAGGACGAGCGCCACCACCGGCAATAATTCGTTGGAGACAAGTCCACCACAATCACAACCACAATTCGTGATACCAGCGGCGGTTGCTTCACTTTCCTTGTGGAAGACAAGTCCTCCGAGATTCAATAATATTAGGACAAAGAATCTCATATCGGTGTCGTAAAAGATCTGTCACATGTTTATAAACTTCAAAGGTCACCCCACTCATTGGCAATTGGTTTTGAGATGGGAGTCCAAGGTGACTTTGACATGGTATTAGAATCCATGATCTGTGGACCAGAGATAATTATGGACCCGCGTGTTCGGGCTTGGACCCGTGTGCCTTGGACTTGCGTCAATTGTTTCCGTGCACACGGGTGGGCTTGTGGACTGATCCGGCAGTATATCCGGAGTATGTACCCGTGTGCAGTATATTTGGTGAATTAAGTTGTGTTGTGCAACCCCAATGGGCTAAATACCCTATTGGGCTTGAAGGAGGGTGTTGGGACAAAGAATCCCACATCAGTGTCGTGAAGAATCTGTCACCTGTTTATAAGCTCCAAAAGCCACCCCACTCATTGCCAATTAATTTTGAGATGGGTGCCCAATGTGACTTTGAGAAATAACAACAGTTCGAAATCAGTCTTCATCACCTAACATATACAATCAATTACCTTTGTATATTATTAAGAAATTATCAATCTTTTATTTTTTTATTTTTTATTTGTTTGTTTGATATCTAATGTTAAATTTTTATTTAATCAGAAGGCTTAGGTGAAAATAGAGATGTAAGAAAGGAGGAATGCTACCTGAAAGGATCTTTACGGCGGTGGAGGAAACTATCGGAAAAAGTTCCGACTAAGAAAGAAGAAAACAAGAAAATAGGCGGATGATTTGGGCCTCCGATACAAGCCGTGTAATAAAGCTTAATTGTCAAGGATTCTATGGTCATTTCAGTTGTTTTTTATTTTGATATTTTGAAATTGGACTTTTTTTTGGGACAAAATTATTTATTAAACTGAATTATTTTTATGAGACGGAAGTAAAATAAGTTAGTAATCCCTCCCTCTATCCCAAAAATTGTCATATGAAAACTTAATGAGGACAGTTTTTTTTTTTTTTTTTGACAGAGTATATGTTTTGTGGTTTATTAGTTTGTTCCTTTATCTTAAAACTTCATCTCATGAACCCAATTTGTTTAATAAACAAATAATTCACCCGTCCCGAAATAATTTTGTTGTTTGTTAGTTTGTTAATCATTATTATGAAGAGAGACCATAAAATGCAAGGATGGAACAAAATTGAGCATTGTCCAAATTACAAACTCTAAAACAATAATATAGTCATTCTATTTTGTAATTTGTTAGTTTGTAATATGTACTGATAATTGTTATGAAAAGAGATCATAAAAAGAATGGAACAAAATTGAGGAGTGTCCAAAGTACAAACTCTAAAATAATAATACCAAAACTATATGGATAACATAAACAAAAAAACGTCCATATTATTTTAATGGTTTCACTTTCATCTGAGTGAGTATAAAGACAAGAGATCAATGGGGAAACCCAATGCCCGGAAGGAAACAATAGAAATTTGTCAATGCCCTAAAAGTTGATGGGGGAAAGTGCTAAATTAGAGCATCATAACACTTACTTAGGTATCAACTTTTAGAGTAATTTATTCATCATTAAACAAAGTAGGACTAAACCTGGTTTCTTCCCACTGATTTTGTTGGTGGGATATGACTTTGATTTTACAATTGAAAATACCAAAACCGAGATGTCACCGTCAGAGTCGCGTAGACTCCGCATTTGCGCTATAAGAGGTATTATTAGCATTATTATACATATTTGCGACTCCATATGAATTGAAATTACACAGGTACATTAGAACCACTATACACAATATTTTTTTTATCCTAAAATTATTGTCTAGTTTGAGATTTCACATTTAGTATAATTTGAACATAAAAATAAAAATCTAAACTGGACAATGATTTCAGAATGGATGGAGTACTATTTTTAACATAGCAAGGATAGAAACACAACAACAAAACTGCAACTCCAAGTAGATGTTGTCATGTTGAATTTCGTCTAGTGAAGGTAATATTGAGTTTGAACCCAAAAAGAAAATAGTAGTGATACTTAGCTGTTGACATAAAATGGATATATACTTTCAACATAACATGATGGACACTTAACTGAATTTGTGTCCAAAACAATGGGTAAAGGGATGCTGGGGATTGGTCATTGGCGCACTTTGGCTATTTTTCTAGTACTAGTATAAGTAATACTGATTTCATCCCAGAAAAGTACTTTGCAGGGAAGGAATAATATATAAAACTACTAAACCCACAGAATTAGAGCTGGAAAGTAGTAGATAAACAAATAATAGTAATTCAGTAATCGAAAAGATCATCCCCGCAGGTCCCGAGCAAGCAGCACACACAATACAGTATACACCAAATACTAATGTAGTCAGGTGGGTTGGGCTCTTGAAAAATCTGGAAAGCCGAAGGAAGAACAAGATCCGCCCAACCGGGAACTGAGTCACTTTATTAGCTTGGCCCAGTTCAGATCTGTTAATTACCATAATTGAAAAATAAATAAATAAATACAAATTGATTTTTTTCAGTGTTTTTCTAATTATTAACTCATCCAAAATTTAAGTAATGGTGATGATAAAATTGATGAATTTTTTTCATTCTTTTATCTGCAAAAAAGAAATCTAACAAATTAACTAAAACTTCTCAGAGATTTTGCACAAATTTATCCTGAAACCTCTACATTAGCAGGGAAGCTCTTTTTTTTAAAAAATTCTATACACCTCCAAAGAAAATTTTCACAAAAAAATAATTTAAACGAAGCATTTAACTATCTACTAACTACATACTCCTACCATTTAATTATTATGTTACGTTCAAATTGTACTTAAAATTAGTTTCACAATGTATAATAAAGAGAAGAAGAAGAAGAAAAAGAAACTTCAGAACTCGTATCAGACCAATTTGGGTCAAACTAAGCCCAATATAATTACCCCGATCCACTACGGATCCCTCAGTTCGGCCCATAATGATTCATTTTCGGTTCTTAAAACCAAAATCCCATTTTATCCAGATTATCATCTTTCCACATCCACCTAGCAAATGGCTGCATCCGCCATAGCTAACCTCTTTTCCTCCTCCATCTTCTTCCCTTCTTCTTCTTCTTCTTCCAAACCCCCACAACTTCCCTCCACCACCAACAACACCGCCGTCCCCTCCTCCAACCGCCCATTTGATTCTCTACCCACTCTTTCCTCTTCTTCCTCCAGAACTATCTCCGGGAAGAACGACGACCCGTTGTTGGCCCGACCCGATAATGACGTCCTGTCCGTTGTGTGCCCGTCTCTAGCGTATGCCAACACTCTGTTCTTCAGGTCGGCTTACAATGTGCAGGTGATTGTAGATGACAACGAACCGGAGGAGAAGCTGCTGAACCGGTTCCGGAGGGAGGTGATGAAGGCCGGCGTCATCCAAGAATGCCGCCGCCGGAGGTTCCATGAGAACAAGCAGGACGAGAAAAAGCGCAAGACCCGTGAGGCCGCTAAGCGTAATCGTCGAAGGTGAATTACTCCCAATCCCCACATCATAAATTTCTCATTTCTTTTGCTTATGCATAGCTCCTAGATCAGATTATTCATTCATTTATTTACTGGGAATGAATTGGGTTGTTTTGCAAGTAAAATTAGTACTTAAGTGGTTGATAATTGGGCAAATTTCGAATTATGAGCTTTATGGAGTAGTTTAAGCCTTGAGGATGTGATTTACTTCACACTGCATTCTGCACTCTGCAGCCATTGGTACACTTTGGAGGATCAGGTTGGATGATAGGACTTACTTTTCGTGCCAATGTATAGTGTTACCGACGAATAAGTGTTTTACATAGTACTTATATATGAACCTGGAATTAGTTGCATTACCCGTAAAGGGGGAGTTTTGGATTAGGATTAAGGTGTGTCCTAAATGGACATCTCATTGTAAATTCTACTCATTGATCCATGAATAAACACAGAAAGCTGTAGCAAAATTTGTTTCTTCTGACGTCCGACAAATGGATTGTCTCTTGTGCCTTTTGAACAGACGCCCCCAGTCGCGGAACAGTTTCCAGGACAAGCAGGACGCGGTGAAGAACAAGAAGGATGATGATGATCAAGATAACTGGGATCTTCCTGAGGGTGATCTTCCCTATTGATGACTGCTGCTGAATTTTTTCTTTGATGGGGGACTTTTCCCTTTCTCTGATGTTGCATCTTCCGATTATGTTCTTGTAGAGTCCAAGAGAATCACCTTGTTTTGATTTGAAAATATATATGTATGTAGTACGTTCCATTTTTTCATTCTAGTGATGAAGCTATGACTGAAACATTTCAGAACAAACATAGAGTACTATACAACCAGGATGATCTTCAAGTAGACCCTTACATTTGCTCTTCCAACGCACGGGGATGGTCCATAGGCTTACCAAATCTCTCAATGCATTGTGATTTCTGATATGAAATGACATCATCTCCTTCTTGTTTTCAAATGGGTTCTTAAGAGGATTTCTGTGTGTACATAAGGCATATAAGGATGCTACAACCTTGATCGTGTCAGTGTAATTAAACTGCAACTTTCTTATGTCTTCGTTTAAATTTTTGTGCGGCTACGAGTCTGTCAAGAGAGATCAGGACTGCATTTCCAGAAATTTCCCAACCTTACAAGGATGATTCCTGACGTTTTACATTTCACTAATTTCACATCATTCTCAAACTTGGTACAAAGAGGAGACGAAACATGGATCAGGAGAACATCTTTCATTCTCATCCAAGTTTATCAGGTCCCTACTGTGGGTCGGCAAATGGCCTCTACTTTTACAAGCTTCCAATGGCCTCTACTTCTAATCTAATTTAGTAAATTTGCATTTTGCAATGCCTTGAAACACAGGCATTCTTCTTTCAATGTGTTATTCCTATTATGAGCTTCGAAATGTGGCGGTTCACACACACATCTGCTGAGTCTCGTATGAACTCTATTTTTCTGTGAATTCGCCTCTTGAGGGCCTTCTCTTCTTTTTTCCTGGTTTCTTTTTCTTCGTGCTTGTTCCAGGGCCTCTTTTGAAGACTGCCAAAATCTCAATGCTGCATTCCAACCAACACCAACGAGAATTGAGGACTTGTATTATAAAATATCCCGAGAATGTAGAGTAATCATACACGACAAATAACTACACATATTACTCTATCAGAGACAAACAGAACTAGAATACAAATCTCAAGGAAAGGATGTTGGCAAGGTAATAGCACCTTTGTGTGCCAGGAAAGAAGTTAAATCCATGTGCTTTGTGCAAGTGCCACGTCTTGTTAGCCAGGAGAAACCTACAATCCTGTTCAAATTACTCCTTCAGAACAAGCCAAGCTTACAAAAGTACTTCCACATTTTTTCAGAAAACAAAAACAGCTTTTAGGAGGAACAATGAAAAAGTTGAAGAGCAGAAGAGAAACCAACCTCTTTAAAGCTTTGCCATCCACAACTTACATAGATAAGAGTTTCGGGTAGCAATTGCTGGTCCTCTTCTGGTGCTACTGATCTGGTTCCATACTGCACAGAAGATTCTCTAGCTCTAAGAATCCAAGGTCTCTTTTCATCCTTGTCATTTAAGAAAGGACTGACACAGATAAAAATTTACATCGATATCAGCTTTCTTCTTTGATGATCCAATGTTACTGAATTTCAGAATTGTCTACCTCCCAGATAGCTTAGAATTAGGCTTTACGGATGATAAGGCCTGCAATGCGTCTGCCAAAGATGGTTCAAGACCCTTCCTCGGTGGATCAACCACAACAACCTCAGATCCCACAAGCCAAGAAATGGGTTCCTGAACAAATTTGTACTGTAAGCTCGTCGACATTATATGCAACAGGTGCTTCCATTTGCAAAAAGAAAAATCACAGCAACATTCATCAAGTCAATCGTGTCCAAACATTATGAAAAAATGATTACTACTTCATGAGCATGAGAAGCAGGTGTGCAAATTAAGGATGGATGGTACCAACCACTGATGCATCTGCATGATGCCAGCTGATGTTGCATTCAAGATTGGAGGGTAAACGCTCAACTGTCTTCTCAAATGAATGTTTGGACTCCTTGTTAACCTCGACGCATTTAACTGACCTATTTCAGAAATTTTGAATGTTCATGGATTGGATTGTTCAGAAGTCAATAACACAAAAACACCATTCAAATTTTAGGGTTATTACCGGCATCTCCTTGCTGCAGCCAAAGATAATCCAATAACACCAGCCCCGGCATAAAGGTCAACAACTGCCGCACCATAAGGTACATACTTCTGTAACTTGTGGAGTAAAGAATCAAATGCCTGACAACAAAAATAAACACGTAAACGCAGAATACAAACCCAACCTTTAACCTCATAACTAACTACTTTATGATCAAACAAAGGTTGTTTTGATGAAACGAAAGAAGGGATTCTTTATAGTACTAACTCCATCAAACTTTCTTAATGATGTAAATTCCATTTGTGACAAGTTAAAGATTTCTAAAACATATTTTTCCACCTTGGTATTTGCTTGACCGAAACCAGATGGGGCCAGTGAAACGTCAATTCCTCCAACATGTTCCCAGAAATCTCTTTCTCCAAACAAATGCCTCCATCTATTCCCAAATATAATCTGTCAATTCCAAGAACATGTCAGCAGACTACCACAAATTATCGAATCAGTCAATACAGGAACAAAAAACTATTATTCCAAGAAAGTTTTCTCACATTACTGGAGGAGGTTTGGAAGTTGGCCCACACGGAATGAATCAGATTGCTTTTCCTCCGTGGACCGCCATTTCTCCACAAGAACTTAAAAAAATCCAAACATGAAAATCATCAATATGAAAAACATTACAGAAACTCAAAACAAAAGCAGTAAATGATCTGAGAACCCTACATTTGCTAAAGCATTTAACTTTTCTGAACTAGGTGAGTTCTCGTTCCTCGAATTCCAAACGAGTGTAACCTGCACCTTGCCTGAAAAGGAAAGGAGGCCTTAAATTCAGGGATGCAAATCAGCCTCATTAAATTGTTAAGAGGAACCCAACACATGCATCAAGAAAAAAGGACAATAGGACCCATTCAGGCACAAACCATTATCATATCTTTGAGATACAGGAAGAGAAGTATCGTATGTGGTTACAGCCATCTGCAAAAGTACCACACAACCTGTGAACATATTGAAAACTATGAATTGCTCTCTATCAGTTTTTATGCACTTTGCCTGACAGCATTCCATTTTGATGGGATTTGGATCAATTTTTGGTCCTTAATTTTGTCTTTTTGTGGGAATTTAAATATAGTAATTGATAACAAGAATTACCTGGACGTATCTTAGCTCCCCAGTTCCTTGGTCCTCATCATACGGTTCAACATTCAAATCAGTTATGCCTGATACAAAAATAGTTCACAGGAGAGCAAGTAATCTCAACATCTTAACAACTTCGGACAAAGTTTCCAACTGAATGTGAATAATGTGGAACAAAACAAACCTTGTTTGAGCATTTCCACGGCAGCATTGATGCGAGGGTGATGAGCTGTCCAAGAAGAAGCACATCCATGGACTCATAGATCAATTTAACCGGGAAACGAAATGAAGCTAGCAACGGAAAAAAAGGAAAGGAAAGGAGGTGGCACCTTTGCAATCAGGAATGTCAACCACGTTGTGAGTACCCTCTTGGTAGAGGCCAATTAAAGGATTGGTGGATGAACCTCGAACAGCAAGTTTAGCCCGGCACCTCCATCCCCACTACAAAACCAATACATAATCAGCTCAAAAAAGGAGTTACACTATTGCACAAGAAAATTCAATACGGTAAACAACCCCAACAAGGAAAGGAGTGAGTTTCACACCAGTCTAGTGTTGTGGAAGGTGAAATCAGAGACGCCGAGATTCTTGAAGTAACTAGTAACCTCGTCAACGATTAGCGGGCGTTGGAGATTGTACTCTTGGGTACAACCCGAGCACCTGAAAAATTTCATTGCAAAAATTCAATTCAATAGTGCAGAGGATAAGGTTAACAAGAATTAAAGAAAATGAAGAAGAAGATTTTGTTTGGTCGGAAAACGCACGTTTGGAAATGGGGGCATTGGAGGGCGCAAGTTAAGGAGCTGTCAGGTGGCTCAGCCGGAAGGGATATTAACGGTTGTGGCTCTCGATTCCGGAATTGTTGTTGGGTGGAGGTGGAAGCGGAAGGAGTGGCGGTAGAGGAGGTGGCGTGGCAGGTGACCAGGGGGAGTGACGGTGGCGGTGGATTGGCGGCGAAAGAGAATGAGAGTTGGGCTAAGCCTGAGAGTAAAGAAGCAGCCATCTCACTTACAAGATATCGGCTCCAGTGTTGATGGCGGGAAGTGGAAACGGTCGTGTCATCGATTGATCGAAATATCTATATCATCTCCAATTCTCCAGGACTCCAATGAATCCATAAGGATGACGATGAATCGATGATGTGTAAAACGGGGTGGGCTTTGGCTAGTTGGGCTTCATTGCAGGACTTCCATTTTGGGTTTTTTTTTTTTTCATATTACAGGTATCCGTCAGCGGCAACAGTGACTTAATCGCCTTACTACATAAAAATTGCTTGTTTTGGGACACAATTTTATACTCTCTAGTTTCTCCCCTCCCAAATTCTGTGAATTGTTATAGCATAAATCACAAAATTCGCAAACTACAAATGTGCACTATTCTTCGTACAACTATTAAAAGGGAATAACAACTGGACAATATTTGCAGCCGGATGGAATGGTTTAATAACCAGGAAGGAAAACCCATAAGTCCCCTGATCCACTCTAGAATACGTCTAACACAGTAGTAATTCAGTCACAATTTTTTTCTTCTTTACAGTGAGTTTAAAAGGGAAAATGCATCATCACAAACGGAGGGAAAAAAATTTTCATCAGTAGAATGCAGACCTTTAGTTTCTTCAACAGTAGGAGTACCCCCTTTTCCAAAAAAAAAAAAAAAAACAGTAGGAGTACCAAAGTCCACAACACAGATTCAGCCTCCGCAATAGCTTTTAATTCCAAATTAAAACTAATAACAGCAGCAAAACACAGTTTGGGTCTCGTTCCGCCACCAATATCTCTGATCGAAATCTAGTCATCAGTTCCAAAATAGCGGTCCCCAAACTCTCCCATACCAGGAATCACACGATACTCTTCATTCAATGCCACATCGATTTCTGACGTCACGATTTTCACAGAAGGGAAGCGCTTACTAACACAATGTATTCCTTCTGGGGCCTGAGAAGTGTAGGAAAGATTAATGATGTGTAATCATCATCATCATCATCATTAAATAACTTTAATAAACCGACTTACAGAAATAAGGTTGAGGAAAATTATGTAAGATTCGGGAACTCCTTTCTGTATCAACAGATCAATAGCCTGATTCGCCGAGTTACCTTCCACGCCACGACAATAAGATGACAGATTAGGGGGTTACCCAAAAAAAAAAAAAAAAAAAAGCAGCTCCAGGGGTAAAATACAAGACAGCTTCCCCCCTCTGCAGTGCAGTTTTATAAGGCTACATTGCAGAGCAGAGGATAGACACCAAGGTTTGAGAATGTTAGTACCTGTAGCGAGAACTGGATCGAGGAGGAGAACGTGACGCTCAGAAATATCTTTGGGGAGCTTTTCATAGATAAGCTGCTCAAGCAAAAGAAATCTCACATAGTGAATTCCCAATATGTACAAGGAATTCATGCAGAACAACTAGCTTCAACGAGACGTCAACAAAAACTGACCTGTTTCCCATTGTCACCATCTCGATGGATCAGAATTTTTCCAATCTTAATCCCTTTGCAGCAAGCACGTAAAGCGTTTTCCATACTTTCCCCACTGCATGTTAAACAAATATCAAGAACAGCAACGCAACGATAAAGGTTAGGACTATTCAGACAGTATCCTACAGATAAAGCATTACGACCTCCTTTCCACAATAATAAAATCACCAAAACAACAATAGAATATAATGATATCAATGCATGCACACGAGGCCACCAGTAGAACTGATCGTTCTTAATCCTACGCCAACTTCTGATTTTGTATGACGTTTTGTACGAAAGACAGAAACATAGCGTCGAATGTCATCCAACAGCAGAGATTTGCAGCATCACAAGCAAACTATTCTTAACATCAAGATTAAACATTATGCAGTACCTGATATAACCCTCACCTTCGAACAATTGAAACTCCACATAGTTTCTTGCAAAAATCAACACCAGTGTAGACCGACCCTATAGTATAGAATAGGGAGATAAAATCATCAAAGGGCTTTATAGATACATTTTCTACATAAAGCGTGCCAGATGAACTTCAAAACTAAATAGGGGTTGCTAATATAAGCTGATGAACAAACCTGTTGGTGTGACAACCTGCATCTCGGTAAATGGCAAATGGCCAAGACCATGCTCTACAACCTGAAAGGACATTAAAAAAACAAAAAGAGCAAACTCAGAACTTGATGAAACACAAAAGAAAAGTATGCGCAATTCTTAAGTAACCTTTGTAGCTGAGAATCACCAGACGAATAAGCCGATCTGAGTAAAACACAAAGTCGTGCTTTGATATATCCCTATCGCGAATCAGTGTGTGCATACCTCTAATCTGCAAAGTTAGCATATTGACCATAAATCGGCAAGCAAATTAAGCAAACAGAACAATAATGTAGTGTCTGATTATTCAAGGAGAAATCAATTTATTAACATGTAATAAAAGTGGGATGAAACAGCTGAGGTTTTTTTTTTCCTTTTTTGCTTGAAGAGGAAAATTATGAGATACATATTTACTGCAGCTTCTGCAATATCATGCTAGCTTATGCTTCACAAGATAACATAAAAGATCCTATGAGACCCATCATATAACAGCTAAAAACTTGCCTGAAATGTTGATTGAATAACATAAACATTTGGATATATTTTGCAGAGATCATGCTGGCCAAGCTTTGTCCGTATGTGTTGGACAATCAAATCTACCGCAACGTGATTCTCACCTCCGCGGGGTATTATAACATCAGCATACTTTTTTGATGGTAGTACAAAGTCATCAAATGCAGGTTTGACGAACTTGGCATACTGCAACACCAAAAAGCAACAAGATATATAACTTTTAACAAGGTGATAAAACTTTGAAAATAGTGCAGACGGGAACCACAGTGCAAGTGATCATCAGAGGTCACCAAGCAAGCAATTTCACAAATTCGTGATTAATCAAACCAACGCGAATACAGTCCATTGCAACCACAATGCGCAAGGAAGCAAGCATGAAAGCTAGCGAAATCAAATTTCCAGAATTGGGTCTAATATCATAAACTTAAATATGTCTGAACTCTCAAAGGGAACGGAAAGCTTGCCTGTTCCAGAACTGAGTTTATATCCCTGCCCCTCTCAACTGTGTCACGCCTTATCCTACGAGCTAGCCTCACATCAGCATCTTGCATGATTCAATCACCACAAATTATACGAGAAGAAGATAAGGTGAGGACATCATGGAATCAACCGTTCATTGTCATGAGACGTAAAAAAATAATATAAGAATAGACGTCACAATAATTCATTAATAGATACTAGAGGGTAGCTACATGGTGCAAATGTAACGGCCTCATATGTGAAAAAGACAATGAAGCGAGAGCCACGCAAGAACTAGTAACTACAGGATAATAACAGCAGTAAAATCATGCAACAGAAGAAATAATATGCTTAGAAGTAGAACCTGTGTCAACAAAAACCTTCATGTTCATCAGATTGCGAACGCGTTGATCGTGGAAAACAAGAATCCCCTCCAAAATGATTACATCAGAAGCATTGACCTGTAGAGGAAAATAACCAGGAACACTAAAGGCTAGTCTATGACAATATGGAGCCGGAACAATACAAGTATCCAGGCAAGGGAATGAACAAGTATAGGCTACCTGTCTGAAGCTGTCTGAACATCTTTGATGGGTTTTAAAGTCGTATATAGGAACTTGGACAGAATGCCCAGATTTGAGCTTGTCAACACACTCGAGAAGCTGTTCCGTATCAAATGCATCTGCAATGAAAGAAGCAAACGGCTTAACCAGTAGCTAAAAGACATCACTTATTAGTAATGTCGGCAATCACTGACATCAAGATGGAACAAGTCTTTGAACAACACATATGATTACCTGGATGATCAAAATTATACTCACTGACACGCTTCAATTCTTCTGGTGTCAAACCCCGATAAAAAGAATCCTACAAAATGATTACAAAGACGGCTATTCATTTAGAAACATAAAACCAAGGAAAATATGACCAGGAGGAGCAGAAAGAAATCAGTCAAAACCTGGTTGACTAGGACTACACGGTGATCGTGGAGTTGTTGAATAATCATATCACACACTGTCGTCTTACCCGAAGCCGTACCTCCAGAGACCCCTACGCAAAACGGCCAAACAGAACTTCAATACAAATTTAATCCGCAAAATGGACCATACAGCTTGACGAATCCCTCCTATTTTAAGTCTCCATAATTTCAACTAAATTTGTTTCTGAGGAAAATTAAGCGTTGTAATTAAGTTGACTAAAAAAAGCAAGCAATGAAACAGTAAGAAGTTACCAATGACGAAAGGTTGTTTGGCGGAATCGGTTGCAGAAGAAGGAGTGGGGATTGGAGGAGCGCGCGGCGAGGAGGAGGGAGAGACGGCGGAGAGGAGACCGTCCCCGAGGCGGAGACCGGAGAAGTGAGGTCCGGAGGCCTTCTCCATGACGTAATCGATGGCAAACTCCTTGTTCTCCTCGGTGGTCGACGACGCCGGCGGCATCTTCCGAAAATTAAATAAGGAAAAATTGGTCCTCTTCCTTTGGAATGTAAAACTAGTGGCTCTCACTACTCTTGTGACTATTAAAATTTATTCTTTCTCCAAATCAAACCCAAATTATTTGTGAAACTGCTTCTGCTTCTGCTTCAATAGAATGAGAGAATTTCTGAAAAGAAAATTTTCCGACCGCCGCTTGCTTCTGACGCCAACTAAATAGTGCTCTCCCAGTCTCCCTCCCTCGTTTTTGCTTTTTGTTTTTGTTTTTGTTTTTTTTTTTCCCTTTATAACCTTTATATTTCAGTTTTTCCTTCACCTGGGTTTTGTTGTTCTGAGGGGTCAAACTTCTTTCATTAAATTAAATGAAAATATATATAGATAATGATTCATACAAGAAAATTTTAACCATAAATGAATCATAAGTGTTAATATTTACACGTTGTTTTAATGGATTTATTATCTATTTAAAGATTAGGATATACTTAACATTCAGTCACATCATTTTTTATAAGTTTATTTGTCAAATTTTTCTTGTACGTACCACTATTCCAATACAAAACTACGGCAACATAAGATACAATAATGAAACTCTTTTAAGGGGTATGTTACCCTACCTTTTCAATTGGACTCAATTTCTTTATATGTTAAGTACTTTTTTTAACTGGTATTTACCGTTTTTAATTAATACTCTAATTATATTTAGAAGATACAAATTTAAATTATAATTCCAATTATTATGTAAAAAGAATGTAGACTATAAGGTATTTGGAGATTTTCGGCTCCTTTGAAATAATTAATCGCGGAAAATTTGATGATGATCTTTTAAAGGACTGTGACGTTAATATAACAATAATATATACTCCCTCGTCCCCAAATTATTGTCCAGTTTGATTTTTCATTTTTAGTTCAAATTGTACTAAAAGTGATAAGTCGAACTAGACAATAATTTTGGGACAGAGTGAGTAGACGTTTTACATTTCGGATACTGATTTTTTCCTATATAATGAGAGCGCTAATATAATTTTTAAAAATTTAACCTGCCCTTAATAATAATTAAAAAAAAAAAAGTTAAATTGGGAGAGGGAACCGGGCGACTCCCCATTGTCTCCGCTATTGACTCATTTCTAAGGATTGTGAAATTATAAACAAACCAAAAGCTTTCACATTATATAATATATATATATAAATATAAAGAAGAAGGTTTAAACTTATATAGATATATAAACACTAATGGATTTATGTATGTAAGTTGAATTAAAGGTATAACACCTTCACGTTCATACATACTTAGATACAACACATTTACAAAGACCTTAATTATATTATGACACAGGATTTACTCCTGCGGATGTAACCATCGACCGTTTGTTAAAAAAAAAAAAAAAAAAACCAGGAAAAGGGAAAAAAATTAAAAAAGAAAGAAAAGAAACTATAATGGAGTTGGAATTTCTTTCGTCCCTTCATACATGCAAGCTTGATGCATTCTTTCGTGGTCCCACAAAATCCATTGTGAGGCAGTTACGACTATTTTATTTGTTGTAACCAAATAATTCCAATTACTTATTTACTGTATTTTGGGGGTATATTTATTTATTGGTGTTGGAAAATACTGCGCCAAATCAGGATTCAGGCGTAGAAACGAAAACGGACAAAACAAAATGGAATGAGAGGGAAGGAGGAGTAGTAATTAAAATTTAGTGGTGTGTTGAAGACCTTGATATATAGCATGTATGATTGTATGTTATGTATGTATAATTCTCCATATAATAACTTCATCCCGGGGAGGGGAAAACGAAGAATACATTATGGAGAGAAAATATATAAGCTACAAAATGAACGTCTCCACAAGTCCACCAGCTAATTGCAGTTCCATTCTTCCTTAGACGCAGTTACACCAGCTATGTAACTGTCGTTTATGCATGTCATAACCAATATACATGATTACCGAATTCTGCCACCCCCAAGAACGAGAAATAGCTCGGGAAGCTGCTAAGAAGGACCGCACCCTGGTCGGCGCTGTCCAGCATCTGGAGGTTCAATTGGATGAGTTGAAGGCTGAAATTCTGTGGTCCGACCGTGTTCTTGTTGAGACCAGTGACGAATTGAACGTGGTGCATCAGCTAGTGAAAGAGCATCAAGGATGGGAGGTTCAAGTTCTCCTCAACAAGTTGAATCCAAACGGTGACAATACCCTCATCCGACGCCGCATGAAAGCAATTGGTCTTAATGCGAAGTCTGTTCGGGTGCCTCACCGCCGTCCTAATCCGCCTCCCGCTCAAATATGATCAGTTCCACCCCGCCACATCCTGTTTTCTCTCACACCATCCAAGTGGAGTCTCCATTTTGTTACTTATCATTGTCACAGGGTCATCTTCTTATAGTCCGAGTCCAGTCTAGTCTGTCTGTTATCTTTTTCTCCTTAATCTTCTTGTGGTGGAGTCCAGTTTATTAAGTAGAAGTACTATATTACTAGTCGGCGGCAGTTCATTAGTAGTACAAAATTATTTGTAATCCATCGGCTCTCTGTAATTTGATGTGACTGACATTTGAGAGAGGAGAGTCCAGAATGTTTTCCATTTGAAAGTTTTGTAATATACTATATATATTTGCGCGATTACTGAGGTGATTGATGATTGTTTGTGACGTATTTTCCCTCTTTCATGGCCTTCTGGCCTTAAATTATGGTAGTACTACAATTTTGGGCCTTAAAAATGCTACTCCATGATTTAGTTGATTTTCCCGATAAGAATGCCGCCGGCGTCGTCGATGAGCCGTCGATTACGTTATGGACAAGGCCTTGGGTGTCGGCACCTCACTTCTGAGTTTTTAATCTCCTCCTCGCCGATTTCCGCCGCCTCTCCGCCCACTTTTCTTCTCCTCCTCCGGCCACCGTCTCCGCCATACTACAATTCCTGGACGGTAAATTCCTTGATTTTCGTGGTTAACTTTATTGTCGCCCTTAGTTTTCTCCACATAATAATTTAATTGATCATACAGATATCCAAATCATAAGAAATTTATCAACATCGGATACTTTGGATAGGTTAAATCTCAAGTTTCTCTGTTCTTGTTTCTATTTTCGTTCAATGTTGAAGATTAGTCTTTTCTTCTTTTCTGGACTAAAAGTTCAGCGGCGAATAGCATAAAGGATAGAATTACAGTTTATTGTGAACCGACTTGGATTCTCCTTGTAAATTACGATAGCCACCACCTTTAATTGAGAAGGCATGAGGTGATGTTGCTCCTTAACAGTATATTAAGGAGTTATACATCAATCAGTGCCCACTTCCAGGAGGACAGGCCTCAGGGTGTGCAAACCTGGTGTTTAGCAGCTTCTCCAGGTGAAGATTGGGAAATTTCCCGCTTGACCCTGCAGTTTTGGTAGAAGCAATTCTTAATTTTCGTTTGGTGTGCTTTGTCATCTGTCCATATTTCTTCTACAAGAAATTCTTATGTTTGTTCATGACTCCCCTGTTTTTGCTATATTTAGTTTGAAGTTTTACAGTGATGAGCTAAATATATCATGTCATCTACACCCTCAAGTCATGAAGCTTAACTTTCTGGGGCCTATTTGAGTAGTGGAGAAGGTGGAAAAGGATGTGCAGGAATTATTCCCCTGTTTTAGTATGTGCTCTTCTCTTGCATGCACCGTTTCACCAACACTTTTGTAACTTTTTGGGGGATAGACTGTATTCTGTATGTCCAATTGTAATTCTGAGAATTTATAAGGCATCTGTGCTGATTAAGTTCTAGGGAATTGGACTTCTAGGTTGTTTATCTTGGAAAAAGCTCGGGCTATTCATGTTTTCCTATACAGATCTCAAGTCTCTTGTCTTGGATTATTTAGGTGTAGAAAACATGGAAAGTTGAGAATGTCTGCTGTACCTTTTAAGTGATCAAAAGAAGCACTTAAAACTTTGTCTATTTTTAGACTCCTGTATATTTTTAACTTTCCTTTATTTCCTTTACCTGGATTCTATTCGATTTCAAAGTATTCCCTGATTCAGCTCCTCCTACATCTTGAAGCCTCATCTCGCATGTGGATGATTCTACATGTCACGATAATGAAGGAACGTCTGTCATCCTAACAAGCTTCTTCAATTTAGATTGAATATAGAGGAACTTCCGGTTGATATATAAGTATTAGTTTCTGCTTTACTTTTTTGCAGGGCTATTAGTTTCTGGATTTTCTCAGTAACTTCTCATGTTATGATAAAAGCTTTGTAGGATATGCTACTGTTTGTGTTCTCAAGGTTATTTATTGGGATCAAGTTGAGTTCGTATGTGGTATTGTATCTGTATTCTTGTCTCTATTTTCGTTCCACGTACAATACTAGTCCCATTCTTCTCCCTGGCAAGAGTAAAATTATGTGATGAAATTTCAAGGATAGAACTAGTGTGATATGAGCTGACTTGGTTTCACCTCACTGTCAACTTTGATAGACACACCTTTGATTGAAAAAGAGAGTCCCGAGGTGCTGATGCTCCATAATTTTCTATTAAGGTTAGCCATGAATCATGTCCTGCTCCCAGGGTTACACATCACTTAATGCTACTCTAAACAGCATGTTTGATTCTAGTTTTCCCTTGCGACTTTTATATTATGACTGCAGCTGTATCAGATTTCCAAGTGAAGATTCGGAAATTGCAACTTTACCTTGTGTTTTGGTTGAAGCAATTTTTCATTTTTGCTCAGTGTACTTTTCTCATCTGTCCTGATTACCTAGTTTTTGCTAAAATGTACTCGTTAAAAGTTTACGATGATGACTAAAATTATAATCTCTTCCAGAAATTCAGCTTTAGTATCTAAAGCCTCTTCTTATTGTTATTTATGTCAGGTCAGCGCTTGCAGGTTGCGACTTTTTATTTTTCAGTATCTGCCTTGAGCTACATTCTATTCGGTTTCCAAGTATTCCCTGATTCAGCTTCTCCTGGTCCTTCTTTTTCAGCGCTATTGATTCATGCACAAATGATTCTCTTGAAGCTTCTTCATTTAGGGCCCGTTTAGAATGATTTAGAGGAACTTCTGGTAGATTTTTGTAAGCTTTTAGTTTCTGCTGCATTTTTTGCACTAAAGCTTCTGGATTTTCTCCATGACCTCTCTTAATGTTTTATATAGTACTCTGTAGGACATAACATTCATTATGTTATCAAGTTCGAGGTTATATATTGTGGTGCCAAAGGTTGAGTTCGTAGGTCCCCTACTCCAAAGCTGCGTTTTGATGAGATGCGAAATCATTTTTATGGGTTAATGGTTGCCTTATTATGTATCACTATAGCAATTTATCCATAAGAAAACTTTTGTCAAGAGATCATCCGTTCTCATGATTTGGAGACAAAATACGTCACCCCATTTTCATAACACGATGATTTACGGGTTGTATGTACAATCACTAACAGATGGTATAACCTTTAATTTCAAAGATAGGTTCAAGTGAGGTGTTGCGACTCTGAATCGACTCGGCAGGCAACGTAGTAGATTTCAATTTATGGATCAATAGCGCATGCAAACACTTCGTGCTTACACTAGAAATACACACACACACACACACACATTACAATACATATGACTGGTTGCTGCTAAAGAAGAGTAAAATGTCTTAAATAGTCCCTTACATTTGGGCCTACTTGAATTTACATCCCTTACATTAACATTTCAATATCGTAGTCCCAAACATTATATTTTCACACTTTTTTGGTCTCATTTCACTGTTTCCGGCCTTTAACATGCCGGAATCAGGGGTATTTTTGTCTTTTAATCTAATTTAAATTTTTATTAAAATTTAAATCATTAAAAATATTTTAAAATTCAGATTTCATTATTTAATTGTTAAACTATTATTTATTAATTAAAAATATTATTATAAAATTTTAAAATTTACATTATTTTTAAAATTAATTTTTTCATTTATCATTTATCTTAGGTCAAAGAAAATAGTAATTATGTTGCAATTTTAACTTTGGACCCACTGTAACTTAAAAAATTTACCGAGTTACAAAATTCAATTTCTTAAAAAAAAAAAGAAAAAGCCAAACCATTTTTTTTACTCTGACCGCTATAGTAAACCCTAAATGGTAATTATGTTACACTTTTAACCATAGACCCACTATAACTTAAAAAAATTTATCGAGTTACTGTAAATAATTCAAAGTTTATTTTTTTTATTAAAAAAAGAAAAAAGCAAAACCAATATTTTTTTTTCTTTGACTGCTACAGTTGAATTTTGAATTATTTACTGTAACTCGATAAATTTTTAAAGTTACATTGGGTCCAAAGTTAAAAGTGCAACATAAGGGTTTACTGTAGCGGTTAGTTACTTTGTTTTGTATTTTCTTTTTTTTTTTAAAGAATTAAATTTTGAATTATTTACTGTAACTCGATAAATTTTTTAAGCTATTGTAGGTCCAACGTTAAAAACGCAACGTAGTGGTCAGAGTAAAAAAAATCTTGGCTTTTCTTTTTTATTTTTGGAAAAAAATTAAATTTTGAATTATTTACTGTAACTCGGTAAATTTTTTAAGTCACAGTGAGTCTAAGGTTAAAAGTGTATTAAAATTACTATTTAGGGTTTACTGTAGCGGTCAAAGTAAAAAAATCTTTGTTTTATTTTTTCTTTTTTTAAAAAAAATATTTTGAATTATTTACTGTAACTCGGTATATTTTTTAAGTTACAGTGAGTACAAAGTTAAAAGTGTAATATAATTATCATTTAGGGTTTACTGTAGCAACCAGAGTAAAAAAAATCTTAGTTTTGCTTTTTATTTTTCTTTTTTTTAAAAGAAAATAATTGAATTTTGAATTATTTACTGTAACTTGGTTAATTTTTTAAGTAACTATGGGCCCAAAGTTAAAAGTGCAACATAATTACTATTTACTGTGTACTTAAAATAAATAGTAAATAAAAAAATAGTTTTGAAAATAATGATAAATTTTAAAATTGTACAATAATATTTTTACTTAATAAATAATATTTTAACAATTAAATAATGAAATTTGAATTTTAAAATATTTTTAATGATTTAAATTTTAATAAAAATTTAAATTAAATTAAAAGATAAAAATGCCCTTGATTCCGGAATGTCAACGGCCGGAAACAGTGAAATGAGACCAAAAAAGTGTGAAAACATAATGTTTAGGAATACGGAAATGTTAATGTAAGGGACGTAAATTCAAGTAGACCCAAATGTAAGGGACCATTTGGACATTTTACTCGCTAAAGAATGACTAATTCTACAGATGAGGGTATCATCAATCCCTTTAACAGCTTCTCGGCACCAACTCTGGCAAAATTTTCCTCCTCAGGTTCCTTGACACGTTCGCGACAAAAGATTTCCTGACATCGAGGGTCAAGGATGATTCTTTCTAGAGCTGAGGCAGTGCCGTTCTCTAAAAAGTACATCACAAGTTCATCCTCTGTTTTACGACCATAATACCCCCGAAACTCTACAACTTTAAGATGCTGAAGATGAGGAGGGCTTGAAAACTTTCTCAATTTCCCTTTCGCTCCGAAAACCGCCTACCCAAATCAACTGGAACATTTTTGTTTGATGAAAATACAAGATGATCAGAAACATGACCTACAAATTAACACTGGAAGCTAAAAGGGCAAAAATTAACACAGGTTCATATATATTGAGAACATTGATTAGGGTGAACCCCCCATTTTGCCTTTTAATTTCATTAAAAAAGTTTTAGTTCGAAAACCAAAACTAACATGTTTAACGGCAATTAAACTTTAGCCAAACGGCAAGAAATCAAATTATGATAGCAGAAGAAGGGAGAGAAATGAAAAAAAATGTAAGAAAATTTTCATCTTGCTGGCTATAACAGACAAGAAGAAATTAACATACCTCCAACACAAACTTCTCCGACTTGGAGGAGGACCTCATGAAAGAATGAATTAAATGAATAATGCTATCATCTTCATGAGCACAAACATGCAAGACTAATTCCTTCAAAGCTGATAGTTGAGGAACTTGAACAAAAGTTTCCTGGGATTTATGTACGAAAAAGAGGAGTTAAGTTGATAGTTATCATCATCAATACTAGCTAGGCACTGTTACGCTGAATTTCGGTATATATGTTAATTGAAAGTTGAGACTAACCTCTCCCATGACATATAAGTCAAGAACCTCTAATCTTGACAAGAGGCTGCAGGAAAGCAGTGGGATTACTCGGCTGACAGAAACTCCACAAACCCATACATCCACCAGCATTGGCACATTCTCAAGCACCAAATCACCCACCCGGGTAAATTTAAGCGAGACAAGACATGAATCACGTACAGTGATAGATTTTAAATACCGACAATAGGTTAACTCGAGATATTTTAAAGGCGGTGATGAGCCACACACTACAACACTTGACAAATCGCGCGAGCTTGAACCACTTACTATTAGACGTTCAAGAAAATGGAACTTGTTCAAGAAAAAACTAAGAGTCTCCCCGGTCACATTGACACCTTCCAAAACTAATGATGTGAGGGACTTAAAGTCGGTGAATGCAAGGGTACGAGTGCCTTTGTCATGAACGTCAGTGGTAGGAGATTCCTCTGAAATACTACTAATGTTGTCGGAATCTTGGTTAAGGATCTGACAGGAAGGGAAAATATAAGGCTTTGAAATTTCATGCGAAGGGCAGCCATATTTTAGTAAGTCCAATTGGAGCCTTTGGACTCCCCTGGCAAATGCAAAGCGAAGCCATTCATCAATATCACGTTGAGAGGATTTGTCCAATTCAAAGCAAATCCGAAACTCGTCAATCACCATGGCTTTGTGTAATTGCAGCACCTTATTCACCCATTCAACAAACTGGCACCTTTTCTTTTTAAGGAAACTCTTTTCATTTTTTCTTGTTGCTAATCCCACCAGTACTTTCGAACCATCAAAATCGAGCCCAACAGCAGCAAACATCCAAAGTTCTACCCAATGTTTTGACACAAGACTTGTTCTAGCCATTTCTTTCAACTTTAGAAAAGATAGAATATGAACAAGGATCTCAGTCGGAAGCAGACTAATACGATCCGACTGCTCACTTTCTGCGACCTATTTGGCAATTGGAAAAGTTATAAACCAAATTATATATATATATATATATATATATATATATATCTATACACACTGATTAGATTAGAAAAAAAGATTACTATCCTGATTAATATACTCCTCAATTCCAGAAATTAACCCACTTTTTTGAACTACATGGACTAGTTTTTTGGGACCCATGGAACATAAACAGGACAACTAAATTAATCGAAATCAAGGCAGGCCGGCCAGCTCACCTTCCTCAGTTGAAATTCCGAACGAAGCCCTGCCATTTGTCTGAGCTGAAATTGATTTTTGCTTACAACTTTGCTTGCAGCTGCTCCTCAAGCTTGTGTCCGAACTAAAGCTGATTACAAAAATACAGAGATCAACAAACAACCAAGACACATTCTAGAAGCTTCCATTTAAAAAAAAAAAAAGAAAAGAAAACGTCTTTATTAAGTTTCCAAACTGATGAGTTCCATTAGCATCTAAACTTATTAATCTTTTATATAAATTTCCAGACTGCAGAGCAATTTTTCCATCTCAGCAATCGAAAAAATTTAAAAAAGACACACACCCTTTAACCAGCAGCTAGGTCTGATTGAGGAACACAGAAGAATAAGCATAAAAAAATAATAATAATAATAAAAAGAAAAAAAAAACCAGAGAGATCGAGAACTGGGGAATTTGGCACTGAAACATAAATTACCCGGTCAAGCTTTTTAGGCGGAGGCGATGACAAAGGGTTAAAGGAAGCCCGAGCGGATTCCCCGAGTTTAAATAGTTCACCAGATTCGAATTGAATCCCCATACCTTTTCGGATTAAACTTTTGGTTTTCTTTCTCTTTTTCCTTGTTGAAATAGGAGTACATTGTTTGCTAATAATTATTCTTTGGCACTTTGCAAGCTACCACAAAATAAAAGCTTTGGCGCGAAGTTATCAGATTTACTTGCGTACCTCGCATGCCTAAGCAAATTTTAGAAAATTATCTTAGGGAATGAAGGTTAAGATCACCAAATAATAAGCATGTTTTTACTAAATGTTTGATTATTGGAAATCAATTTCGTGAGATAATTAACCACATAAAAAGTTCGAGAGATATAAAACATATTGTATTAATTAATGTAGTGCATTGTAATTAATAGTTTATTAGGTACCTAAGTTCAATTTGATACAGGTAGAATTTTTTTCTTTTTTTTTTTTGAAAAAAAAATGAAATACTCCCTCCGTCCCATAATTATTTTCGAGTTTGAGTTTTAATTTCTAGTTTAAATTGTACTAAAAGTGAAAACTCAAGTTGTACAATAATTTTGGGACAAATGAAGTACATATGTATCTAATTAGAGCCACCTCATGATTGTTGGGGGGAGGGGGGGGGGGGAATAATAAACGGAAATTGCCATATAAATATTCAATTCAAGGCCTAGAGTAACAAAACAAGTATACGATGTAATTCAAGTGTCGACAATGGCTTGTAGAAGATGTTACTTTTCCATTATGTTGGTATAAATTAATTGTGTCTAGAGTGTCTTTTTGGAATTCTCATTGTATGTGCGTGTGTGTTTGTCCAGTGAGGTGGAATCCATATAATGATATAAACAGATTATTATAGGTTAAAATGTGTTAATTTGTTAACAAATATGTTAAAAACATCAAAGGGTTGCAATTTGAAAATGTAAAATATAACCAACATATATAGCTCATGAAACAAACTCTTAAGGAGGAAAATAAATCGAAATTTCTCACTCCGTCGGGGATACCTAAATATATATGTGGTCTCAACATCAACACTCGTTAATTTAGACTAAACTCGAGCGAAGAAACGGAAGGCCAGAACCAACAATAATGGAGCAACAAAAACTTCAACTCTGTTTGCCGGAGAAGAAGCGGCCTCCGTGGAGGTGGTGGATGATGAGGAAGAAGAAGAAGAAGAAGACGGCGTATCGGTAGAAGAAGCAGCCACGGTGGTGATCTTAACCTTCATTCCCTGGCCGCAGTGACCGGCGGTCCCGCAGGCAAAGTAGCGGGTACCGGGCTTGGTCAGCTTGATGACGTCGTTGCCGCCGCTCTTGGAGTCTAACGCCGTACTGGTGTCGCAGCTCTTGTACGCGCTCTCCCCCGCAAGTTCTACCACGCTGTGCAGCCCCGTTGTGTACTTGAACACTAATTCGTGTCATGTCCCCAAATCAACACATGACCCGGTTAAATTAATCATTCCAAATTGAATTTTGAAATTTGTACTGAAAAGTTAATATAGACTATATTTTTTTTAATGAACATGAATATTAAATTGCCAATTTCACAACCCAAAAAAAAAAAAAAGTGATTAATTTTGGCAAACCAATAGATTTTTACCGAAGAAATCAAACTAGAGGCGTACGTACCAAGTTGATCTCCAACCTTGAATGTCTGGGAGGAAGCCCAAGATTTGAAGTCGGTGGATTCATCCCAGCCTTGACTTCCTCCCACAACATGTTGGGTGGCCATGGCTTCTTTGCTCAGCATTCCCAACATTACTACCACCATTACCATTACTCCAACCACAATACTCCCCATGCTTTTTTTTTTTTTTTCCCTTGATGATGGATTAAAACTATTGAAACTCTTTACTCTCGTAAATTGCATGTAAACTAATAACATATTCTCCTCATGTATATATACAAGGAGCTTTGGACACTTGGGGGAACATATACGTGAACATTTCATAATGAACGCAAACGATCTGTACTAGAGTTAGTTGCATTTATTGTTGTATCTTTTGCTGCAAGGTTACTCCATCTATGTTTTTTTTGGTCTCCGTCACGAGTCATGATCATATCCAGGTTGGTACAACAAATCCTTCGATTCAAATAGTTTTTTTTTTCTTTTTCTCTTTTTCCCTCATGCATGACTTTGACTTTTTTCTTCTTTGGGATTTTCATTCGACTTGACGTTTAGACTTAATTACCATCAAATACAACAACTAACAAACTTTTGTGTCATCAGATTGAATGCATGCTAAGCAATAAATCACATCGGACCAACCTAGCTAACGGGTTCCTTTCACAGAAATTAATTAATTGATGGTTGCTTCATTTGCATTCCAAGCAATCTCTTTTCTGTAAATCACTTAATCTTACCGCCATATATAATTAGTTATTGTCTCTTTGTCCTAAAAGTTGACAATCAATTTAGAATACATTATGAAGATAATAGTAAATACACGCATGAACAAGTACTGTATGAGCAATTAAAATGACAACGCCTGCGCCATTGCAAATTCGGATACAAGTAATAAATAATCATTGATTTATAATTATTCATCAAGTCCACATAGTACAACCCCTTCATCATTTGGTGAACATTATTTTCGTAACAAAAGAAAAAAAATATAGGGATATGATCCTAGTAGCCTAATTAAGGCTCTTCTAAGGGAACATTTTGAAATGTTTAGAGATCGAATCCCGTTCAGAGTGAGTAGGGTGAAGGTTTATAGGTGTGTAAAAAAAATCTATTGCCTCCATTATCGTACTAAAAAAGAAAAAAAAAAAAGAGAGAGAGCGAGAAAGCGTGTGTGGGGTGACTCTCTTGCTTTCTTAGTGTGGTACATATTGTATATGTAGCGCGCGCATGGTGATCAATATATGGCTGTCCAAAAACGAACCTCTGAGACTAAATAATTTAGTTGAACTTTCGGAAGAAGGAGATGACTTGATTGTAAACAAGGTCCTTGGCATTGGTGGCCAGGATGAAGTCGGCATGGCCATAGTCCTTAATCAACTGAACCTGCAGTTTAGCGGGATCATGGGATTTGATCTCAGACAGTAACCTCTTAACATCCGCGATGTCGGAGAGGGCGTCTTGGCCGCCGTAGCTGAGGAAGAGGGGAAAGCTGGGAGGAATCTTGGCTAAATTGAAAACCGGAGGATTAGGGGATTTGTAGTGAGCCATGTTGTCCTTGGTGTTCCCGTAATTGTATCTCCTCAGTACTCCATCTCGTACGGTTTGAGCCAAGTGGACCAGGTTCTTTGTTGAAGTGGATTGAGGCTCATGCTCCAACAGATCCTTAGCTGTTGTGCGGTTGAGACAGCAATTTACTCCTGTTTTAATTTATTTACCAAAGAAGAAGAAACAAATTACTAAGCCTGTGTATATGTAGGAGTAAATTATGTTACCAAATCAATCAATGAATAATACTAGTAATATAGCACCAACCTGTCATTGCGGCCATGAAGTCGTAACAGTTGACCAAAGGTTGAGAACAATAAAATCGCACCAGAGCGGAGGCTCCAGGGCTGTAAAAAAAACACAATTAATAATGGGGGCACTGTAAATACACTAGCATAGGTTAACCAAACAAATTAAATACACTAGTAGATGCGCCTGAATGAATTTGAGGCTCTCAGTATTAATTAAGAGAGGGATCGATATTTGAGAATTCATACGATGAATTATATATATATTTATGATACAGCTGATAGTAATTAATGTTTACCCCATGGGATTGAATTCTGCAAGTCCAAAAAGTTGGCCGAGCTGCATTGGAACACAAATAAACAAGATACATGTACGTAAGACAGTATAGTAGTTGGTTAATTAATAAGTTGATGAGAGAGGTGAATTGTTAGTAGGTAGAGATGGAGATAGAGGACTGACTTCACCCATGAAGGAACGGGAAGCAACAATCCCGAGTGCAGTGGTCATGTGACTGAGGTAAGCAATGGGGCTGAGCAACGCCGCGGATTTGAGCTTATCCAGTTGCTTTCCTTCCGCCAAGGTAGCCAAAGCCATCAAGGTTCCCAAGGAATGTCCCACGTAATGAACCTTCTGACCGGTTTGTTTTTGCACGAAACCTAAGACCGCGGGCAAGTCGTGGTCAACCAGTTCATCCCAGCTCCAGTCCCAGAATTTTGGGTTGAAGTTTGGGTCAAGGGTGGCATGCCTCCTGCTGTACCTGGTTCCTCTCACGTTGGAAATCCATACGTCGAACCCGTTATCTGCCAGTATGAACCCCAATGCTTGTTGTGGTGAATTCATCAGCCATGTCACTCCATCCTGCATTCATTTTTCATTCCATTCCCCCCAAATTAATAAAATAATAATAGTAAATCTATACTCATCCATGAAACTTGCTAGCTAGAGAAATACTCATGATTGAATACGCAGATACCATCATCCATTTGCTTTTAATTAATTTGAACCCCACAAATGAACATTTGTCGTCACTAGATACAGATTCATATAGTATTTCTGTACTATTTGTACTTTGTACTGCAGCTGTACTTGTAACTCTCTTTTTCCTCAGGTGTACTTCAATCCATCGTGTGATGTTGATTTACCAGCGTTACGGTACTATACTAACCACGCCCTTGGACTTTGACTTTATTTAGAGAATAAAGCAGGCAAAATCTACTACTAGTACATAATATTAACTTGGAATGATTCTTTTATTCAATGACAATAGACACCCAACTGACATACTCCCCCTAGCAGGGAAGATTTTAACGAGTTCCTGCAAATATATACCAAACAAAAAAGAAAAAGGAGATAAAGGCCAACAAATTAGAGTCTTAATTACCACTAGAACGCCGTGTTGCAGCACCACAGGGGGCTTTTTGGCGCTATTATTTCCAACCTTTCCTTCGGGAATCCTTTGCAGGCTTAACATGTATCCATCATCCGTTTTCACCTGTCCACCAAACAAATTTGAATTTATGATTCATTCATCAACTATTCTTATAATTATATTCCCTCTATTCTTAAAAGAGAAAAAAAAATCCACATCGAGTCTTGAAATTTTTACTAAAACACGTCCAAATTAAACGTTAGTCCTATTAATAAGACCTAATAAGTATGGAGCAATTCATTAGTATTTGTAGCTAGGTAGTCCAAAATGAGATACATTTTAATACGAACAACTCTATTAGGCATCAACTCATTTTTTAATCTGGATTATCTTTTATCTTGTCAACGTAAAAATCAGTACACATAACATGAAATGCAGATGTGCACTCTTTTGAGAGGGAAATAAAAAACAGCAATATAATTAAGCTCTTACGTACATCAAACTCCTGGCACTTGTAGCCGTGTTTTACCACTGCCTTAGCGCATATTCCAGATTTGGGAGCGCCAACCCCATCAATAGCAAGGTGGCGGGGGAAAGGTCGCCGTCCGGCCACCGACACCGCCTCAAACACCGCTACCATCACGATGATTAACCAGCCAAAACCGCTCCTATAACGACGGGCCATATTTCCTTTATCCAATTGGAAACTAAATATTGTCTCTATTTTTTTTTAATTTTTTTTTTTGCGTTTGTATATTGTCTTTTGAAGATCTTCAAGAGTTGGTAGACACACTGGTCGTAAGGTGTTTTTTCTTTTTCTTCTTTTTCTTTTTCTGTTTTTTCTCTCTGTTTCTTCCTTTTTTTGGGGGGGTTGATCTACCCCTAGTGCTAATTAACTTACTTTAACAAAATGATTATTGCAAAGATGACAGAAAAAGATAGAGGATATTTATAAGGAGGTAAGGATGAGATTGTCCAGGGAAAAATAATGGTGTATAATAATGTAGATCCTCTTCAAACTCCTGACTTTATGGGAAAACTTTATTTTGATCCACATTACACTCTTTTTGACTTGGTAAAATATGTATTCACTTTCGGATCATCAACCGCTCACTTCGTCCCACTACACTAATCACTCACTTAATTTCAGTTTTTAACTTTAGTCTCCAAAAAAAAAAAAAAGAACAAGAAGAAAGAGATCAACTGAAAATGGTCAAATTTTTCATGCATGGATCACTCTACAGATGACACTCTTCATTTGATCCAATAATTACGGTTTATGATCCTTTTCTTCACCTATGACTATGAAGCAATGTTCAGCAGATTACATATTATTTACGGTCCTTTCCTAACCTATGAAATAATGTGTGGCCACTCAGGTGCATCTCCTTTTTTAAGTACAAGTAGTATTATAAACCTCTATTTTATTAGCATTTTCTGGTCAAAATTTTATCTTTTCCCCAACAATTATACTTTTATATTTAATTATTGTGTACTCGCTGTTTTTTCTTTCACTGACTCATCAATGATCACTATATATATACGATAAAGAATTATTGGATAAATAATCATGCAAATATAATCGGCCCTTAATTTGACAACATTGTAATTAACATGTCGAATTTTTTCTAATCGTGCATACATGATTCAAGACAATGTAACACATTAACATTACATTTTTTTTCACATGATCTTTATTCTATTATTAATAAGTCGTATTTTGGCTTTTTTTTTTTTTTCTCGAGTTGGCTTTAGTTTTACCTTTTAACGTCTCTACTCTCTAGTATTTTCCCTCAACCTGATCAACTTATTTGTTATTCTTCTGAATTGAGTTGGATTTTTTTAGGAATATATATACATTCATTCATTGCCGCGGCATGCATGTCGCTATTACAAAAATAGAAAAGATTGGATTTCTATTGTATTCCGTAAATATGATCATTTCAAGAGAAAGAATCGAGTGATTTGACGGTGGATGAGTTTGATCAAATGAGCAAATCAGAGACGGCCATAAACAATAAAATAAAGAGAACAAAATCAGATATCAAAAGATTATGAGTTATGACTCATGATGACTAACAAATTAAATAGCTCAAAGGTATATTCGGTATCTAATTAAATCTTCGTAATACCGAAATGAACAAATTTTGATTCCACTTACTCATAATTGTTCCGTCCAAATCCCTAGCAAAAATAACAACACATTATTTGCAAATATTTCCTTTTGTACGGCACAAGTATGTGGTATACATAATAGTCATTCATTCTAAAATCTTGTACTCCCTCCGTCTCATAATTATTATCCAATTTGAGGTTTCATTTTTTGTACAAAATGAACTAAAAGTGAAATATCAAAATGGACAATAATTTTGGGACAAAGGTAGTAGTAAATAATACGAAATTTAAGCCGGGATCCTAGAAGGAGCTTGATCAGGGATGTCGAACTTGAACACACAACGGGAAGCGAAGCCTGTTGCACATCCGGCCAAGGCAAAATCACGGTCGCCGTCTACGGTGGACCGACTGGATGCAGTGTGGTTGGAACGTAGCAAGTTATCCCGACTTCCCAACCAGGAGGATTTCACTTCCCATGACATTGACGACATTAATGGTTTCATTGATTTGGGTTTTCGGTTTGATTCCCCGGATATGGATCCTAAGTTGTTTAAAGTTTTGCCAGGCCTACAATTTTATCGTGCCGTGACGAACCAACGCGATATCACTAGTTTATCCAAGTCTTCTTCATCATCAACAACAAGAGATAGTTGTGATATGAGTATGGCTAACAAAGAAGAAACCCCACTCCGCAAATTTTTTGACCTTGGTAAGTACTTAGTTATTTGCACCAATAAATCAACAAATCATCTTGACTAATGAAAGATTATACTTCCTCCGTCCCAAAAAAAAATAGTCCAGCTTGAATTTTGATATTTGTACTAATTTTAATACAAATTTAAAAACTTAATGTGAATTATTTTTTTCCCCTCTATAAGGTGTGAAAACAGTTACGTTTGCCACGTTCAATATCAGTCAGTTTTGCTGCATTCAGTGAGATGTTAAAAGTTTTGCCTTGAAAGTGACTGAAAACTTACTATTAAACTAATGGGTCTGAGAGGGAAAACAAATCTCTACATAGTTTTCGTGTACTACTATTTTCTTGTATTTGTTACTCCTTTCTTTGAGTTGGGCTATTATATGTTACATAGTAATCTCACGTATGTTGTCTACTGACTGATCGTACATATTACGATTGACGATTGTCTTTGTATAGATGATCAAGAGAAGACAACGGCTAGGCTACTAGAGTGGGTAAAAGTGGTTGCAAGCGACGCCCGCCGAAAATCAAGAAGTTTTTCTAGCCACAATACTGATGATGGTTAATTGCAACTAGACGGATGGTTTTTGTTTGCGTTTTGGTTAAGTTGTTTGCTTTACTTAATTTACTACTTAAATGATTGTTGTCTTTGAATAGCCGCCTTAGTTTCTTAAATTTGGTTGCACACGATCTTATAAATCAAAGGCTGAATACTTGAATCCAATGCTTTTTTTTTCTCTGAACGATCAGAGCTGATTGATTATCTCTACGCTGTTTATAGCATCCTCATTAACCATTGTAACATCTAAGTCTTTAATTTGAGCTCTCACCCATTAATTAAGCAGGATTTTCTGTTGTAAAATATGTCGTTGACCGTGACTCTCCAAGGCTAAATTAATATTGCAAGTCATTTTTTGACTCATGATCCCCACTTGATCGTATATCTATTAATTTATATTGTAAGGTTAAGTTGGAAGTTTTAATGGATAGATTTGCCTGTCTATCAATGCACTTCAATACAATAAAGCAAATAGATTGCATTATAATTACAAGTTTAATCATTTATCAACTTTACCAATGCGCATGCATATCGCACGTAGAAGTACTAGTCCCACATTGGGTGAACGTACCCTAATTTGTTTGCAAGAAAAGAAAAATGAAGAGGAAAAAGATTGGGAAATCAATTTAATTAGAAGGAGGCAAAAAAACTATTGCAGAATACTGACCCTCTCTCCTGCTTTGTGATTTTGTATACATATATTCCCTATGTAAGGGACTAAGGAGTGTATTGCTTAGCAGGATGGAATGGGGTCCAGAACCAAACCCCGCCCCAATACATTATAATAGTTCTAATTTAATCAGTTGTAGTTTTTGAAAAAGGAAACGACTTGATTGTAAACGACATCCTTGGCTGTAACACCCATGATGAAGTCAGCATGACCATATTCCTTGACGTACTGGACGTGCAATTTGGCGACGTCATGGGATCGGAGGGCATCCAGAAGCGTCTGAACATCTCTGATGTCCGATAAGGCATCTTGGCCTCCGTAGCTAAGGAACAGGGGAAGGTCGTGAGGAATGTTGGACAAGTTATAAACTGGAGGCTTGGATTCTCCATAGTGGGCTACGTTGTAGTTGGGATTTCCGTAATCGTATTTTCTCAGGACTCCATCTCGTACGGCTGTAATCATACGTTATAAAGGGAATTCACACAAATGAGACAATTCATTACTGCGAATACATATATTTGTATCGTTTAGAACATAATATTGTTAGTGTTTCGTTCTAACCAACGATCTATAATAAACTAGACTTTTAGACTTTTTACCTCACAAAAAAAAAAAGAAAGAAAAAAGTAAAAGGAAATTATGAAAAGACAGACTAGTACAGTAGTACTTACTTTGAGCCAAGTGGACTAAGTTTTTAGTTGAAGTAGACTGGGGCTCGTTCTTCAGGAAAAGCTGGACCGTTGAGGCATTGAGGCAACAATTTTTGCCTGCCATTTTTTACCAAGAAATAAAGCAATTAATATTGTAGTGGTAATAACATTTACAAATCATGGTGTTTATCAATCCACTTGAAATTAATAATCATCAATGAATTCACTATAACTATTATGGTGAAAATTAAGTGAATAATAGGGTAGGTACCGGTTACTGCGGTGAGCAAGTCGTAACAATCCACCCCAGGTTGAGCACAAAAAAACTTCATAAGACCTGCCACGGCCTCTCTGCTAAAATGACAAACATGATGCATCATCATGAATCATACTTATACCACGCGCACCCTCAATTTTATTATACACAAATGCATAATGTGGAAGCCAAGTAGTACAAACATACCCTTTGGGATTGAATTCTGCCAATCCAAAAATTGAGGTGATCTGCAATAAAAAAAATGGAAGGAAAAAAGTTGTTAATGAGAGGAACGGTCAGTGACCTAATTACTAATCCTTTCTACATGATTGATATTCCCTAATTAACTTTGAGTATGTGTGGGAAGGAACAACATTTTGACATTTGACTTACTTCACCCACGAAGGCTTTGGCAGCAACAACACCAAGTGCTGTGTTCATGTGACTGAGGTATGCAATGGGGCTCAACAACGCCGCCGACTTCACCTTGTCTATTTGCTTTCCTTCCGAAAACGTAGCCAAAGCAATCAGCGTTCCCTGAATTCCACGAATAAGCAAAAAAATAGTATCAACTTTAATTACCAAGTACATGAGTTAATATAAAATGTACACATTCATCAATCTGACTATATCCCTAACTAGTAATAATCAGGTGTACACAATAATTAAATAGTACTAGTTGTAATCAGTAAATAAATAGGGGAGTGGAGTATATAGGTACGTACCATGGAATGTCCGACGTAATGAATCTTTTGACCCGTTTGTTGGTGCACAAAACCAATAACGGCGGGTAAGTCGTGAACCACCAGGTCATCCCATGTCCAATTCCAGAATTCGGGTTTGTTTGGGTCAAGGGAGACATGCCTCCTGCTGAATCTGGTTCCCCTAACGTTGGCAATCCACACATCGAACCCGCTGTCTGCTAGTATTAACGCCAATGACTCTTTTGGAGAATTCAACAGCCATGTCACTCCATCCTACATTTTCCAATCATCATCAATCAACCCCACTAATTCTTTTCTTCTTTCTTTTTTTTTTCCTTTCTTTCTTTAGGCCGCAATTAACTACTAGCAAGGAAGTCTTCTTCTTAAAAAATAAAATAAAATAAAACTAGCACGGAAGTAATGAGAGACCACAACAAAAGGGCCTCCAAAATTTCAGCCGGACAGGCGTTCAAGCCCATTAGAGAGCTTGCTGTCCAGCCCGCAATCTCTCTGCTTGTTCATATTTTTAATCATTAAATAAAAATAGTAGCAACTACAATATATTATGTTGCAAGGTCGTCACGGTTTTGAAGATACATACTCCAAAACTTGATTTACGTGGAATGTTGTTACTCCAGGATCTGAAGGCATAGGCCGTCTTTTTTATTTAATTTTTTAATCCAGATACCTTCCTTGTTTTCAAAGGAAAAATAAAAACGTAATAAATAATAAATGTACCACAGTTGCGGCCATTGAAAAGGAACAAATTAGCCAGTTGTTCTAGATAGTTTTTTCACTGTCGTTTTGGAGATTGTAAGACACTCATTTCACCCAATACTACTACTAGTTTTTAAACAAAATGCTGAAAATTGATTTCTGAAAGGGCAATACTAACAGTTAATTAATGTACAAAATCTAAACCGCGTAACACAGTTACATGAGCCGGTTCCCATGATTACAGTACCTAGGGAAATGATGATGAACGAGACTATTGAGTACTGATCAATAAAGTAAAGCAATGGTCAACCCTAAATCATGATTTTGTCAAGTGTTCAATTGTCGAGTTTACACTTGTTTAATAGTATTACTACTACAAATAATTGTCGATTAGCTAGCATAAATGATTTGATTATGCCATGGGGTACCACTTAGCAATAATAATAAATTTTCAAAAAATGACCCAAAAAAAAATGTGGTAGTAATAGAGGTAATTATTTATTTGTTAAAAAAAATTGGAGGAGCCTTACTTACCACAAGAACACCATGTTGCAGCAAAACTGGAGGCCTGTTAGTGGAATTATCCGCAGCCACACCTTGAGGTATCCTCTGCAAGTTTAATATGTACCCATCGTCCGTTTTCACCTGCAAACACCAACAATTTTATCATCATTCACTTCTTTGACCATTGCTGATAAACGGTAAACCCCCACGACACAACAAAACAACGCACATGCAAAAGTAATTATTAAATTACAGTGACCCTTTTTGACATTTCCTGTCTTTTTCACTTTCCCCAAATTCTGGAGCCCTCCTCCATAACCCGTCCCTATGTTTAAGATTAAAAAAAAAACAATGGTCGACTTCTGACATGTACAGTATATCCCTATATATTGAACACGACTTCTGGACAACATTATTTTTGTGTAAAACACCAGAAATTACACCAAAAAGGATGTAAAAATACGAGAAAAGAAAAACAAAATTTTTTTGTGAATTTAATTTTTTTTTTTTGGTATATTTTGATTTTTTTTTTTCACGGTAAAAAGACTCATATAGCGGCAAACAACATGAATTGGAGGAGACCCATTATGGACTCTATAAGTAGTAGTAATAAAAAATAGCAAAACAACAAATTTGAATATAAGGCTGTAATTTTATTAAAAAAAAACGTACATCAAACTCCTGGCACTTGTAGCCGTGTATTGCCACCGCCGACGCGCATATCCCAACTCGGGATGCATCAATGTCAGCTGCAGCAAGGTGGCGACCGGCCCCGGCCACCGCCGCAACCAAAGCTAGCAAGCTGATCATGAGGATGAAGGAGCTGCCGTTGCCCGCACGACCCATATTTCCCTCCCAGCTGGACTAAAATTGGGAGCCTTTTCCTACAAATATAGAGAGTGGGCTTCTGGTTTTGTTGGGGGGGCTGAGGATGTGGACCTCCATTCCAAATGAGGAGGTCTATTTATACATGGGGGAAAATGGGGTGTGCTAGTGTGAACTCTGGATTCAAATGGGAACGATTTGATGATTGTGGTGTGCTACTTATGGTCTTTACTTTTGTGTCTCACAGTATTACAATTTCTTTTTAATAATAAAGTATAGTACTTTGCAGTTAGTATTATTGTTTATTTGGGAGTTAATAATTAAACTGGCTTGCCAAGATCTTCAATGGACACTGGACAGTGGTCAGCTGGTGTTTTCTGTTTTTTTCTGTTTCTTCCTTTTCCTGGGTTTTTGAGCTCTCCTACTGGGGAGGAAATGGGACCTGGCCCCACACATCTCCTGATAAATGGCCCTGCATCCTGTCTAGTAAAGAAATACAGTAATAACGAATTACTAATGCACCAACAAAAAAAAATAAAAAAATTACTAGATTTATTCAATAAGGCAAACAGATACAAAGGGGATTGTGATCGCCTGCCAAGAAGATTTTGCTTGAGTCTCGACGACGCTATTATGGATTACCTGATAGTATGAAGCACTGGGAAGCGATCAAATCAATTATAAAGGGTGTAGAAATTACAAATCAGACGCATGCCACCATTTGATTAAAGGGAGATGAAGCTAACTCCAAAATGAGAAACCGAAAAAAATTACAAAAGTTTATTATAATCCACTTAAAACTTTTTCCTTTTGTCTTTGGTAATTAAAAGTCTTATATTTCGCCATTTAGGAGAGATATAACGATTTTTCTTTTTCAAACGATACTCAAATTTTATGAAATCAAATAGCAAAATATACAGATTGTACAAGAAGTATATAAAAAACAGTTAAATATAAATATAACGGTTCAATTATCGACCACCCACTATTAGATTGGTTCGTGCTACAATTCATTTCACTTATTCAATCACAAAAGCTCAACAAAAAGAGATCAAATCACCTTCAACAATATTCAGAGTTAAACCTCAATTTATTATTATTATTTTTTTTTGTTACACACGTTAAACCTTACATTTGATTCAACAAGAAAAGGCTCCACATCGTTTCTCATACAAATTTAGCGAACATTCTGTAAATATATATTTTGTTATTTTCTTAAAAGAATCAAATTAAGTTATTCGTAATATATAGTGTGTGTGTGTGTATATATATATATATATATATATATATATATATATATATGACACATGAAGGCTACTACGGATATGCATGAGAATGTTGCATTAGTCATGCACGCTTGCTTATGGCTCAGGGATTTTGTTCCTTTGTGGTATTGTGAAAAGTTTATAAGTCGGTGGTTACAACTTACAATATTCTTTTTGACATAAGTGTGGGATTATATTTTATGGGTGAAAGAAACGACAAGGTGCAAATTGGGGGGTTTCCACAATATGGAAGTTGGCTGTAACGGCGGTTCTAACATACAGTATTCGTCTCAACCCACCCTTTTGGTGACGATGAAGATGCCATTATCCTTTTTTTTTTTTAAGATAAGAAGATGTCATTGTTGTTCCACTTGGGAAAACTCCAACTTTTTCGAATCAAAGGAAATACCATCCTCGCTTGTACTTTATAGTCTGATGCGGCCATAATCAACCCACTCAATGGTGGAGCCAATAAATATATATAGGGGGTGCGAAATTAGAAAAAATTTATTAATAAGTTAGGAAATTCATGTAGAGGTGCGAAAATTATAAAAATATATAATTTTTTATTAAAAATTTAGGACATCACCATTAATTACAAAAAACAGTGATGTGTATATTAATGTGTATATAAATCGTATTAATATAAACATTGATGAAACTAGTCTTGAATATATGAAGTTGAGTGCATAAAATTTTATTTTAAAAATATTCTTAAATTCATGAAATATTTTTTAAAAAAAAAAAATTGCCAACCGCAGAGTCGGCCGACCCCTTGCACCCTGGGTTCCGTTTTATGGCAAAGCCCTGATAAAGGATCCTATTCTCCTTTCTAAGAAAAAGAAATATTGTAAGTTATGAGGATATAACATATGATTGTGGCATCAATTTTTGTATGATAAATAGGACAATAGTTTTGGTACACAAAAATAACTTTGAAACGGTGCTTGAGCTTAAACATTTTGAATCGGGAACAAATAGTGTTTGTTTTCAGAGTACAGAGTACAAAATATATTAATGCTTATTATTGATTTATTAATTCCCAACTTGGCAATACTCATGAACCTCCGCAATGATTGTTGTTCAGCCAAATTTGTCTTCTGCCCAGAAACTAATAAATTTAAATCATTGGGTCTTCATGCCCTGGGTGGGTACCTTGAAATCTTGTGCGATTTGAGAGAGTTTCAGAGTTGAAATTGATTGGAGTTGCATCATACTTCATGGATCGATTTGGTTGTGCAAGTTGAAAGCCTTTAGAGTTAAAACTTAAAATGTTCATCAAACAGTTGCGTCGCGATTCAGAGAATGTCGACGGAGCTCAACGTCAATGCATCGTCATTACATTTATTGTCGTCCCTATCAAAACGTATCTGATCCAATTGCTATCATTATTTTCTTAAGAAATCAAAATAAATAATTTTCTCAAATTAACAACTTTGTTATAATATGGGCAATATTCATTTGGATATTGGGATTGCATGTCTTAGTTCACAAAAACCTGATGTATACGCAAAAGTTCAGAAAAGAAACAAGATTTTATAGAAAACCGGTCAATTCATTTGTGTTTTGCGAGGAAAAAGTGCTAACAGAAACTAGAAAAAGAGACAATAGTCAATATCCAAATGAACTGAAGGTAGAATAAAATGTTAACAAAGACGAAACGTGATCCTTAATCCTTATCCTTAAGTTGCTGATACGATCAATTTTGTGTCCGGGTATGTGTATATTTAATTTTTGGCAATTGATAAATAGGGATCTATTTTCTTATATAAAGAGCAATAATTTTTTAATTACCGATAATATCCTTATATAAAATTTTAAAACATCTATTGTAATTAATTTCCGTTATTTTCTCCTTTCTTTTATGGATCTATCTCCTATTCCAATTTTCTTTAAAAAAAAAATAAATTTGTAACTTCTTTTTCTTCTTTAAAACTAAAAAACTTGCCCAACTTTTTTCCTTCTCCATTTTTTTTTTAAAACAAACTTGTGCAGTCTTTTTTTTCTCATTTCATGAGATCTTGAATTAAACTTCCAACACAGAGTAAAAAAAGTGTTGAAACATTATATTTGAGAATTTTCGTGAAGAAAAAAAAATATCAACATAGAATATCATTTGTCACATTTTTATTTGCTTAGGATCGAATTGTGTATTTTATATTGATGATATTCTTTATTTTTTTTTTCTACGAAAATTCTCAAATATCATGTTTTAATAGTTTTGCGTATTCAATGCTAGAAGTTTGAATTCAAAATCACAGGAAATGAGAATAAAAAAAAGTTACACAAGTTTATTTTTAATTTAGAGAAGGAAAAAAAAAGTTACAAAAGTTTTTTTTTATTTAGTCTAGAAAAAAGAAGTTAGGCAAATTTTTTTTTTATTTGGAATAGGAATTGGCTTTTACCTTATCCATAAAAGAAGGAAAAATGTTACAGTAGATGTTAAAATTTTATATAAGGGTATTAATGGTGATTGGAAAGATTTTGTTATTTATATAACAAAATAGCTCTGTATTTATCAATTGCCTTAATTTTTTTGGTTTTTCTTGATTGATATATATGCTTTATCGATGAGATCATTTTAACAAATGCAGACATAAATTTGCATCACGGGCACATTTTTCAGAGTATTTCGACGGGGAGTGCTTTGCGGAATTAAATGAAGCTTCCATAAATGCAATCATGCATTGTGACTAATCGCAGTTTTGGTAAGGTTCAAGAAATCCACTCCACACTCCGATCGGCTAGCTAGTGAAAAATCGAACTAATGAGTTAGTACTATAGACGACCTCACTAATGATGATTTAAAGCCTCGAATACTTTCAAAATTGGTATCTCCCCTTTCTTTTAATGATGATACTAAGACCCTGAACTAGTCTTAAGCGATCACATACACACCCTATTTTGACTAATTATTATTATTATTTCTTTAAGAATCATGATGTGTGCAGAGAATAATTTACAAGAAGAAAGTGAGAAAAAATCAATCAAATCAAATCGTTGAATGTTTTACATTCCCTTTGGGGTTTAAATATATAAAAGTTAGAGGAATGGTTTAGATCTTAGACACATCATTCTTTATTTATCTTATTTAAGTATTTTTTAAACAATGTGTAAATTGTTTTATGATATTTATTTTGGAACGGAGAGAGTAATATAAATCTTAATTTTCAAAAATCAATAGAAATTATTTTTTTGGATAGGGCGAGAAGTATTTTTTGTGTAAACGATAAATATGATCACTTGGTTCAAAGTAACCAGAGTGAAATTTATTTTTTATTGTATAAGTGAGGTTCCAAAGAAATGAAATAAATTACTCTAAAATTGGGAGACACATACCCTGGGAATGGTAAAAAGAAAAAAAGGAAGGAGGCCGGGCACATTTGTGGGATGTGAAAATCGAACGACGGTTATACTCGGAACTGATGTAAGTGATGATCCTTCCTGGAATTGAAAGGGACGTGAAATTTGCAAAATCGGTGTTGTTCCTCCTGCTGCATGGTGGGCTACTGGGCTTTAGTTGGTTTCTCTTTTTCGAAATAAAAAAGCATGGCATCAAAGTTAGACTAGTCCATAAATAATTAACTGTAGTTCCTGAGCCGGACTGGATGACAAGCAGGGCTGGAAGTTACGATGTCGCCCAGAAATTATTAACTATTTCGGCTCTGCATTGAGAAGTTCAAGATTTTCCCAAAAAGCAAAGCACTTGTGAGCTCCATTCAAACGTATTATTAGTCTTGGAACAAATTACCTTAATTAAAATCGACCAAGAGAGGGACGATCCAATACAAACTTGTCCTAATTAAGTTTGGGGATAACCTCATAAAAGCAGAAAAGTAAAGCCAATAAATCATCTATCATCCTTCCACATTTAAGGGGTTAATTGCTTCAGAATAACATTTCTTCACCGTTATTTAAAAAGGTAAATTTGCACCCTCCCTTTTTAAGGTATTGAGTTGGATAGAACCTTAACCTGCGAACAGTTTTCTTATTCACAGTTTTGCAACATCAACGCGAACAAGAAAAAAGACCCTAAAGAAGAAGAACATGACAACATCTTCCTAATTAGAAAAGACCTAAAATTCCAATCTCTATTACTC